ATTGTGGGAGTATGATATGTATTATTGTTGGAGTATGATATGTATTATTGTTGGAGTATGATATGTATTATTGTGGGTGTATGATATGTGTTATTGTGGGAGTATGATATGTATTATTGTTGGAGTATGATATGTGTTATTGTGGGAGTATGATATGTGTTATTGTGGGAGTATGATATGTATTATTGTGGGTGTATGATATGTATTATTGTGGGAGTATGATATGTATTATTGTGGGTGTATGATATGTGTTATTGTAGGAGTATGATATGTGTTATTGTGGGTGTATGATATGTATTATTGTGGGTGTATGATATGTATTATTGTGGGTGTATGATATGTATTATTGTGGGTGTATGATATGTGTTATTGTGGGAGTATGATATGTGTTATTGTGGGAGTATGATATGTATTATTGTGGGAGTATGATATGTATTATTGTGGGTGTATGATATGTATTATTGTGGGAGTATGATATGTATTATTGTGGGTGTATGATATGTGTTCCTGTGGGTGTATGATATGTGTTATTGTGGGTGTATGATATGTGTTATTGTGGGTGTATGATATGTGTTATTGTGGGTGTATGATATGTGTTACTGTGGGTGTATGATATGTGTTATTGTGGGTGTATGATATGTGTTATTGTGGGTGTATGATTAGGAGATAAACATACTGTGTTTTCAATGTAGAGCTAGGTTACCTGTAGATTTAACCCCGCTAAATTTAATTTGGAACCGAACGCGCAGCGTGAGGTTTCAAATGTTAAATTTAGTGCGGTTAAATCTACAGGTAACCTAGCTCTACATTGAAAACACAGTATGTTTATCTCTATTCTACCATGACTAAATAAAACGCGAACTCTTTGGTGTTAGCAAATATACTGATTGAATCGGCATGGGTTGAGTTCAGTGTTTTGAGTGGGTTATCGATCTGAATTACGGAATCAACGAACAAAATATGGTGCTGTATATACTCAAGCAGTTTGTTTACTCCGTAATACTTCACTCGAACGTATGACAGGCATTAAAAGCATATAAGCACGGCAACTTGGTAAGCTAACATGAGGTGGCCATCCCTAAGAAAACAAAGCAAGCTTTGCAAGTCTTTCGCTCTACATCTCACGTCACCATTATGACGTCATATCGCTCACTGTGACGCAAAATATATGACGTCACAGTCATATATAGAAAAGCGCCAAAATTTCAAGCTCTCTGTTGTCTCAAAAACGTAAATACATTCCCTTTGTTGATTTATGTCGTGTTTTTCTGCACGAAATGTATTGCCACACATCCTTTGAATATTGTAATAACCGCATCTGTGCATTTTGTAACCTGTAATTGTAGATATAGTTATTTAAATATGCCTACCGACAATGACTGAAAATAGTACTATTCTATGAATATTAGCTTCCGCGGTGATGCGGCCGTCAAACCAGCTGTTTCAATCAGAGGGGGTTTATTGGGATTTAATAGCCTGTGATTGACCAATCAGAATCGAGTAAATTCCAAATTCATGGTAGAATATGTATTATTGTGGGTGTATGATATGTATTATTGTGGGAGTATGATATGTATTATTGTGGGAGTATGCTATGTGTTATTGTGGGTGTATGATATGTGTTACTGTGGGAGTATGATATGTATTATTGTGGGTGTATGATATGTATTATTGTGGGAGTATGATATGTATTATTGTGGGATATGATATGTGTTATTGTGGTATGATATGTGTTATTGTGGGTGTATGAAATGTATTATTGTGGGTGTATGATATGTATTATTGTGGGTGTATGATATGTATTATTGTGGGTGTATGATATGTGTTATTGTGGGTGTATGATATGTATTATTGTGGGTGTATGATATGTATTATTGTGGGAGTATGATATGTGTTATTGTGGGAGTATGATATGTATTATTGTTGGTGTATGATATGTATTATTGTGGGATATGATATGTGTTATTGTGGTATGATATGTGTTATTGTGGGTGTATGATATGTATTATTGTGGGAGTATGATATGTATTCTTGTGGGATATGATATGTATTATTGTTGGTGTATGATATGTATTATTGTGGGAGTATGATATGTGTTATTGTGGGAGTATGATATGTGTTATTGTGGGAGTATGATATGTTATTGTGGGAGTATGATATGTATTATTGTGGGAGTATGATATGTGTTATTGTGGGAGTATGATATGTGTTATTGTGGGAGTATGATATGTATTATTGTGGGTGTATGATATGTATTATTGTGGGAGTATGATATGTATTATTGTGGGTGTATGATATGTATTCTTGTGGGATATGATGTATTATTGTTGGTGTATGATATGTATTATTGTGGGAGTATGATATGTGTTATTGTGGGAGTATGATATGTGTTATTGTGGGAGTATGATATGTATTATTGTGGGAGTATGATATGTGTTATTGTGGGTGTATGATATGTATTATTGTGGGTGTATGATATGTGTTATTGTGGGAGTATGATATGTGTTATTGTGGGTGTATGATATGTGTTATTGTGGGAGTATGATATGTGTTATTGTGGGAGTATGATATGTGTTATTGTGGGAGTATGATATGTATTATTGTGGGTGTATGATATGTATTATTGTGGGAGTATGATATGTGTTATTGTGGGTGTATGATATGTATTATTGTGGGTGTATGATATGTATTATTGTTGGAGTATGATATGTATTATTGTGGGTGTATGATATGTATTATTGTGGGTGTATGATATGTGTTATTGTGGGTGTATGATATGTATTATTGTGGGAGTATGATATGTGTTATTGTGGGAGTATGATATGTATTATTGTGGGTGTATGATATGTATTATTGTGGGTGTATGATATGTGTTATTGTGGGAGTATGATATGTATTATTGTGGGAGTATGATATGTGTTATTGTGGGAGTATGATATGTGTTATTGTGGGAGTATGATATGTATTATTGTGGGTGTATGATATGTATTATTGTGGGTGTATGATATGTATTATTGTGGGTGTATGATATGTATTATTGTGGGTGTATGATATGTGTTATTGTGGGAGTATATGTATTATTGTGGGAGTATGATATGTGTTATTGTGGGAGTATGATATGTGTTATTGTGGGAGTATGATATGTGTTATTGTGGGAGTATGATATGTATTATTGTGGATGTATGATATGTGTTATTGTGGGTGTATGATATGTGTTATTGTGGGAGTATGATATGTGTTATTGTGGGAGTATGATACGTGTTATTGTAGGAGTATGATATGTGTTATTGTGGGAGTATGATATGTATTATTGTGGGAGTATGATATGTATTATTGTGGGAGTATGATATGTGTTATTGTGGGAGTATGATATGTATTATTGTGGGAGTATGATATGTATTATTGTGGGAGTATGATATGTGTTATTGTGGGAGTATGATACGTGTTATTGTAGGAGTATGATATGTATTATTGTGGGAGTATGATATGTATTATTGTGGGAGTATGATATGTATTATTGTGGGAGTATGATACGTGTTATTGTAGGAGTATGATATGTGTTATTGTGGGAGTATGATATGTATTATTGTGGGTGTATGATATGTATTATTGTGGGTGTATGATATGTATTATTGTGGGTGTATGATATGTATTCTTGTGGGATATGATATGTATTATTGTTGGTGTATGATATGTATTATTGTGGGAGTATGATATGTGTTATTGTGGGAGTATGATATGTGTTATTGTGGGAGTATGATATGTTATTGTGGGAGTATGATATGTATTATTGTGGGAGTATGATATGTGTTATTGTGGGAGTATGATATGTGTTATTGTGGGAGTATGATATGTATTATTGTGGGTGTATGATATGTATTATTGTGGGAGTATGATATGTATTATTGTGGGTGTATGATATGTATTCTTGTGGGATATGATGTATTATTGTTGGTGTATGATATGTATTATTGTGGGAGTATGATATGTGTTATTATGTGGGAGTATGATATGTGTTATTGTGGGAGTATGATATGTATTATTGTGGGAGTATGATATGTGTTATTGTGGGTGTATGATATGTATTATTGTGGGTGTATGATATGTGTTATTGTGGGAGTATGATATGTGTTATTGTGGGTGTATGATATGTATTATTGTGGGTGTATGATATGTATTATTGTTGGAGTATGATATGTATTATTGTGGGTGTATGATATGTATTATTGTGGGTGTATGATATGTGTTATTGTGGGTGTATGATATGTATTATTGTGGGAGTATGATATGTGTTATTGTGGGAGTATGATATGTATTATTGTGGGTGTATGATATGTATTATTGTGGGTGTATGATATGTGTTATTGTGGGAGTATGATATGTATTATTGTGGGAGTATGATATGTGTTATTGTGGGAGTATGATATGTGTTATTGTGGGAGTATGATATGTATTATTGTGGGTGTATGATATGTATTATTGTGGGTGTATGATATGTATTATTGTGGGTGTATGATATGTATTATTGTGGGTGTATGATATGTGTTATTGTGGGAGTATGATATGTGTTATTGTGGGAGTATGATATGTATTATTGTGGGAGTATGATATGTGTTATTGTGGGAGTATGATATGTATTATTGTGGGAGTATGATATGTGTTATTGTGGGTGTATGATATGTGTTCCTGTGGGTGTATGATATGTATTCTTGTGGGTGTATGATATGTATTATTGTGGGAGTATGATATGTGTTATTGTAGGAGTATGATATGTATTATTGTGGGTGTATGATATGTGTTATTGTGGGTGTATGATATGTATTATTGTGGGAGTATGATATGTGTTATTGTGGGAGTAAGATATGTGTTATTGTGGGAGTATGATATGTGTTATTGTGGGAGTATGATTTGTGTCAATGGTCCTGTCTGTGTTGATGTGTTTCTGCACTACTGAGTATGGCAGCAGCAGTATTACCTTGTGTCATCACTTGCTGTTGCAGCCACTGGTCAAGTTCAAGAGCCACCTGTACTTCGAAGAGAAGGACTACGTGACAGAGGCAGAGAAGGTGCTCAAGGAGTCCACCAGCAGTGAGGTAGGTACACCACCCACACAGTACACACCACCTAGATTTGTTTCTTGTTTAACGCTGCACTGAGCAATATTCCAGCTATATGATGGAGGTCTGTAAATAATTGAATCTGGACCAGACAATCCAGTGAATGATATCATGAGCATCAATCCATGCACCCGGGATACTATGACATGCATCAACCAAGTCAGCGAGAATGACCACCCAATCCCATTAGTCGCCTCTTACGACAAGCATAGTCGCCTTTTACAGCAAGCATGGGTTGGTGAACACCTACTCTGAACTGGATCTTCATGGGTGCACACCATCTGGAACAACCATAGACCACACCATCCACAGACTACAGAATACACGCCAACCTCAGGCCACTCTCCACCCCCATCTACACTAACCAGGATTTTATTTCTGGATTTTCAAATCTATAAATTGCTTAGTATTATTACCATTCAACCTTAATGTTGTGACAATGATGTCTTTGAGAGGCATTTTTAGTTGGGGTATGAAGTAAGGAAAAGATATACTACTCAAAAGAAGTTAAGAATCACCCGATTCTTTCATAATGGTAAAGTAAATCTGTCATGACATGAGAGATTAACTATAGTAATATGAAAGAATCAGGTGATCCTTAACTTCTTTTGAGTAGTATATATTGATGAACAACTTCTTTATTACAATTGAGAGCGATGTTCTGAGTAGGTTCTGACACCGTTATCAAGCGAATTGTAAAAAAAGAAGTTGTTCATCCATATATCTTGTCATGACTACTTCATAGTGACAATGGTTACATTATCTATTTTCCAATTTTTTCTTCCAATTTCATCAGGCTGTGTTGTTTCCAGATTATCATGTACAAGAATGGAAGATCTCAAGGCATTGCATACACGGACATATTTGAAGGAGTGTACTACCCTGCAGTCTCAATATTTAAAAATGCAACGGTAAGACCTGTATAAAAATTTGTACTTCAACAGTCCAATGTTACTTTTAAAGTGGTTTTAGTTTCACTAATATAATATGCAGTTAAGATGTGTACTTCATAGTATTTCATTATTTCTATATTGTCTGTTTTTGGGTGCTTCAGATTGCATGTCTTCCCCAGTACCATTAAGCTATCACTCACTCATTCACTCACTCACTCACTCTCCCAAAATGTGCTGCTCTTTCAGGTGAAAGTCAATTTTGGTCCAAAGTTTAAGTACCCACCAAAAGACATCAAATTCCGACCTGTAAGTATTACCACACAGATGAGGCATTCTTGCCTTGTGATCCCATCTTTTATATTGGGTCATTTATCTGATATGATATTGAGATTTTGTTTTCTTAACTCCTCACTCAGCAATATTTCAGCTATATGACTGCAGTCTGTAAATAATGGTTGGTTGGTTGGTTTGTTGTTTAACGCCGCACTCAACAATATTCCAGCTATATGACGGCGGTCTGTTAATAATCGAGTCTGAACCAGTCAATCCAGTGATTGACATCATGAGCATGTGATGACATGCATAACCAAGTCATCAAGTCTGACCACCGATCCTGTTAGTCGCCTCTTACGACATGAATTGGTTGCTAAAGACCAACTCTAACCCAAATCTTCATGGGAAGATTGAATGATAATATGATAGGCAATGGATACACAATACCTTTCGATGTTTGAAGGATAATTTACACTTGATTTACACCAGTGATCAGTAACAATAATCCTATGATAATGACATGCAAGTAAAGGTTGTGTTATATCACCTGTAAATAATCAGGCCAGGCAAATCTGAAGCTGTAAACATGAGCAATATACTGAATAATCCAGTCAGGTGACACACAATCAGTCAGGAGAGACATTGTTATCATCTCATGCTCGTGGCAGTCACCCCAAGAGGATTCTGGGTTAGACAGCCTATGTATGTTGGTAATGGTGACACAATGAGTCGGGTGATTAGGCTGTTTTGTTTGCTTGTTTGTTGTTTAACACCGCACTTTGCAATATTCCAGCTATATATAGTCTGTAAATAATCAAATCTGGACCAGACAATCCAGTGATTGACATCATGAGCACTGATCCACGTAATTGGGATGAAATGACATGCATCAACCAAGTCAGCGAGCCTGACCACCCGATCCCATTAGTCACCTTTAATGACAAGCATGGGTTGCTGAAGACCTATTACCTTACCCCAGTGGCCTGGATTGGTATAAGTCTCTGGTTTGCCTGGTCCAGACTCGATTATTTATGGGCTGTCATTATATGGATGGAATATTGATGAGAAAGTAACTATTCATATCAGTCAGGCCTTACAGCAAGCAGAGGGATTGATCCACGATGTGAGGAGGATTTTATGTCCACTTCCTCTTCTGGCACTGGATTGTCTGGACTAGACTCCATTATTTTCAGGTTGTTATCATATAGCTGGAATATTGCCGAATGTAACAAACTAACGAATGTGACTCTCTTCCCCTGTTGCCAGGTGTCCGAGGCTGCCCAGCAGGCCGTGGTGGACTACACCCTCTCGGACCTCATCTACCATATAGAGAATGAGGGCAAGTTGCCGGAGTTTTAACTATTAGGAGACAATAAGTTACAACCTAGGAGTGGTGGATACAGAAAGATTTGTCTGCCTTTGGGGACTGTGCAGTGTTCACATCCGTGTGTGTCTTCCCAGTGCCTCACGGGGCATGACCTGACCAGGGCAGAGGTGTACACTGAGGAGAGCTGTCATCCGGACTTGAAGCAAGTGAAAACGCTTAAACACTGACAGGTTCTTGTTTGACTGGACAATAGACACATGCTCTGATGCCTGTACAAAAGGAGGAGAATTTATCTCAAGATTGCTGCAACATCTGCTGATGTGGAACTGACCATCCGTTAAGAGAGCTGTTGTGTCAAAACCATCTCAACTCAAGCGCAGTATTAGCTTGTCACATTAGTGCTGTATTGTCAGGAAGGTGCTGCTTACTGATCCTGTATAGTTGTGTGCACTCGGTCTCAACCAGCTGCTGTACCTTGATCCGACATCTGGCTGGTCCACTAGACAAATGCCAACCAGGTCCTGTGTTTTCAAAATCAAAATTGCTGGTCTTAAATTTATAAGTTTGTTTCCCTCTTTTCTTAACCTATGACAATGAAAGAACAGAAATTGACAACATATTTTGAAACATAATGTTGTGCAACAAAAAACACTGTGTAGACATTTTTCTGTGGCGCCAGTGTCCTGGTCATTTTGGCAACTTGAAAAAATGATATTTGCTGCAAAATTTGTTATGATGTTTCAACATGTGCCAAGGATGTTGTCCAGGATAGGTTACATCAGCGATAGAAACTAACAGTTTTTGTCCACTAGTCCTTATAACGTATGACAAATCCCTTAAAAAGGCAAATTTCTACCTGTCCTTACAATACCTAAACTATTGGGCAGTTTGGCAAGGACTATAGGACTAGTGCCAATTTCTATCGCTGTTCATGTGTATTTACGTCGTACATGTAAATGTATGTGATAGTGTAAGAGAAGATTGAGGACTGATTTCTATCTTTATCAAATTTGATTTAAGTTGTTCGTTGATGTTATGGTAACCTGTTGTGATTGCTCGTCACTTATGTTACGGAATACTGGATTATTTCCTGGAAAGGAACCTGTCTTGATGTCTATGTCTTTGAAAGTGTCACTGTCAATCATGTGTTTGCATTATGTTATAGCATGGTTCAATGAATCATGTACATCATTATTGCCTTTTTTAGAAATTTTACAAGAAACAATTCAGTGTTGATGTCTACATAAAGCCAATTTATTCTGAATAAATACTGAAACAGCAAATTCAGGAATCAGTGCAACCAAAGATTGACCACCAATCCATTGAGTCGCCCTGGACACGTCATAGGATGGAACTTGTTGTTACCCTGCCTGACGCTCGGCTTTCAGGGATGAAATTACTGATTTGAGTCAGTATACTGTCTCTATGTTAAATTCTAGCATGGTGGCATTATGAAACTGACATTAGTCCAGACTAGTACAAGTAGCCACACACTCACTAAAATGTACGTCGCTATGTAAGTGCAATAATCTTGGAACAAGCATTGGTCGTTGGGGACCAGTAATAACCCAGAATAACCATGAGGCCACTGAACCTCATTTTTCCACATGAAGTTGATCATAATAGTCAGTAATGCTGTTTTATGCCTAAGCCAAAATATTATCATGGCAGCCTGTTAGCAATCAAATTAGTGGTTTGGTATGTGTTGTTTAATGACGCACTCTGCAATATGATGGCAGTCTGTTATCAATCAAATCGAATAATCAAAGCAATTGATTGATATTATGAGCAAAGGTCCATGCCGTCTGTAAACGATGACACTCTTTCCATCAAGTCACTGTGTCTAAGCGCCTGATCCAATAAGTCACCTGTTACATGTGTATAATGATACGCCTGTACAGTACTGAATCGCGATACAGTGCCCATGATACAATACATCGATTTACAACTCCTGTATCCCGATACATACGATACAATACATTAGTAATTGTATTGGTGTAAAAGGCATTAGTAATAACAAAAACTGTTCAACAACCAGGTTATGCAGATTAGCTGGTATTCCCTGGTTGACTATTAACAACATAACCTTCACAGTGCCACCTTGCCTATATTTTACTGCCCTACAATATCCCATCTTTAATCTCTGAAATTTTAAAACAAATGATTCCAATGTGATTCACCAGCAAAAAGAAAGATTATCAACTTATGAAATAAAAGTACTGTATCGTGATATGAATCGTATCACCCCCATAGCATCTGGATACAAGCAAGGCCTGCTCAGGACCTATTCAAACCAGGAGGCCAACACATCATCAGCGGTGTCTCGCCAGCAACCAATCGACCAGCACAACTAACATATCCCATATTCACAACTCGGGGTAAAAACAAGGCAAGGAAAGGTAGATCGACATGAGACTGTTTAATCAATGCACAGAAATGCCCTTTTTTAAGGGGAAATGGACAAAAAGAAGGCAAATTTGATGGTAAAAGTGTATAACAGAAAACAATGCTTTGAGTATTTGGCTGTACAACTGGAACGTCACACGATCACATCTCACGATCACATCTCACAACCAGCATCTATCTCGGCCACGAACACAATGATACATTCACAACTACAACACAAACCTATCAGTATTTACGCTGTAGCTTTAACTGGAAAGAAATATACCATTAAAAATGAACAGAGATGTGTAACCCTACTCAGAGATGCACGAAGAGCAATAGTGAATGAGTTTGGTTTTACGCCGCTTTTAGCAGTATTCCAGCAATATCACGGCGGAGAACACCAGAAATGGGCTTCACACATTGTACCCATGTCTGGAATTGAAGAGCAATAGAATATCCCAAGAAAGTAGGCTGTAGTAATCTGATGCTGATATGACCCTCACTTGGAAGGGTAGCCATTGAAATAAAGAATACAACTACGATTTGCTACTTTGAGTTCAAGACCCTGACTTGAGGATGGCCGAGTCAGGCCGACACCAATGTTTTTTTCCCTGCAGTGAATATTTTTTTGGTTAGTCTTTTTATATGATGGCAGTGACCTTTGACAAAATAGGGTTTTCTCATTCATATTCATACATATTCAAAATGTCATCTGCATTCGTTTACTGATTTTCATTGTCACACATATTTTGGACCTCTTTGGGGGGGCTTGAGATTCAAGCCTGTATTAAGTTTACACACAACAGAAAAACTGTCACAAGTTGCTGGCAACTGCAGACACCGATATGTGACATTCATTTGTTCACTTTCATCCTACCAGCACTTAGTCATCATCATTATCATCCCATCTGCCACGACTTGAGCACACGACGACATCCATCACAGACTTGGCCTTCCACTAGGCCTACAACAGTATTGTATAGATGAGGTTTCATTGAGTCTCCACCATCTACTATGATTCCTCTGTGTATACTTTCTTCAGCTCTCCCACAAGACTTGACAGCGTAGGGTTTCCACCTTGTTCCTCAATTAGCTCCAGGGCTCTGAAACATGGATGACGCTGACTGAAATATGGAGGACAGGGACCTTTGTGACCGAAACATGGAGGACAAAGGCTGAAATATGTTTGGACAGTGACCTTTCAGACAGAAACATTGAGGACAATGGCTGAAATATGGAGGACAGGGACCTTTGTGACCGAAACATGGAGGACAATGGCTGAAATATGTTTGGACAGTGACCTTTCAGACAGAAACATGGAGGACAAAGGCTGAAATATGTTTGGACAGTGACCTTTCAGACAGAAACATTGAGGACAATGGCTGAAATATGGAGGACAGGGACCTTTGTGACCGAAACATGGAGGACAATGGCTGAAATATGTTTGGACAGTGACCTTTCAGACAGAAACATGGAGGACACAGACTGAAACATGGAGGACACAGACTGAAACATGGAGGACAATGGCTGAAATATGTTTGGACAGTGACCTTTCAGACAGAAACATGGAGGACAAAGGCTGAAATATGGAGGACAGGGACCTTTGTGACCGAAACATGGAGGACAATGGCTGAAATATGTTTGGACAGTGACCTTTCAGACAGAAACATGGAGGACAAAGGCTGAAATATGTTTGGACAGTGACCTTTCAGACAGAAACATTGAGGACAATGGCTGAAATATGGAGGACAGGGACCTTTGTGACCGAAACATGGAGGACAATGGCTGAAATATGTTTGGACAGTGACCTTTCAGACAGAAACATGGAGGACACAGACTGAAACATGGAGGACACAGACTGAAATATGGAGGACAAGGACCTTTGGGACCGAAAACATGGAGGATAATGGCTGAAATATGTTTGGACAGTGACCTTTCAGACAGAAACATGGAGGACACAGACTGAAATATGTTTGGACAGTGACCTTTCAGACAGAAACATGGAGGACAGACTGAAATATGGAGGACAGGGATCACAGTGATAGGTTTTATGAGAAACATTTCATGCCCTTCGGATGTAAGGACACAAGCAACCAAATCACTTTTCATGACCACACAATCCATTTGGTTGGCTGTCATTTGTAAAACCAAAATTTCATACATGTTTTTAATCCAGTGTGACATTATGACGTGCAGTGTTTTAAACTGTTCATAACTGGCTAAACGAGAGAATCAAACGTACAGCTTGACAAATGAATGAGCTGACCAGAAGTCTACAGTACATACACAGGGCTGATGTCCAATATGCCAGTGCCTCATCAAGCTTGTGCGGTTAACACAAATAATCGGCTACATAAGAACACTGATTTATTTCATATGACTATAGTAAATCTGTAATGTCATGATTAACTATAGTCATATGAAACAATCTAGTGTTCGTTAACTTCTTCTGAGTTGTATATAGTCAACATTTCTTCAACAATTGCTCCATTCATCTCATAATATTTGAACGGGGGGGGGGGGGGGGGGGGGGGAACTTTAGGCATACAATACAATCAACACTTTTTTTAGTTGCCTCCTCATTTTAAAAATCTGTAAGCCATTTTATGTTTTTATATTTTCTATAAGGCTTCTCTATAACATCAACTGAAGAAGGTTGGGATTAGTTTGTTAGGTAGAACTATTTGTAGCTCATCAAGTCACACGACAAGGGAAGACATGCATGTTGCCATTTGCTTCATCTGTGGGTACCTGATGCCAGGTGTTGCAGGGAGGTACGTGGGGATGATTTATATAATGGCATGAATGCTGCCAATGTTAGTGACAGCGATGCCACCTATGACGATCTCACATCTTCCACCACCGACATACTGACCTCTGCTCCAGGCTGACCAGTGTCTGCTTGGTGTAGTCAAAGGACCCGATCTTCATCATGTAGTCTACACAGTACTTCTTCAAGTCATTGTCCGTTGTTCTCTGTCGTAAAATGTCGTGTGGCAATTAAGGCAGTTAAACTTGCTAGCTGCACATTTTATAAAATGTGATAGGTATTGTAAAAACAAAAATGGTTTCGGGGTCAAAATGTTCCGAAGCTCTATGAAAAAAAAGGAGAAAAATAAAAATCTGAAATAAGCCTTCCATACCGTTCCCTCAGCTCTAACCCCTCTACCCCTTGTCCCCTCACCTTCAGAAACACTTTCTTGATTACGCTCAACCAGACCTTGGCCTCACATATCCTCTACCTCACGGATCCTGGCCTCATATACCCTCTACCTACCAGACCTTGGTCTTGCATACCTTCTACACTCACAGACCTTGACCTCATGTACCCTCTTACCCCACTTGACCTTGGTCTCACATACCCTCTTCACACACAGACCTTGACCTCATGTACCCTCTTACCCCCACTTGACCTTGGTCTCACATACCCTCTACCCCACCAGATCTTGGCCTTGCATACCTTCCTACACTCACAGATCTTGACCCCATGTACCCTCTTCCTCACCAGACCTTGGCCTTGCATACCTTCTACACTCACAGACCTTGACCTCATGTAATCTCTACCCCACTTGACCTTTGTCTCACATACCCTCTACCCCATGAGACCTTGGCCTTGCATACCTTCTACACTCACAGACCTTGACTTCATGTACGCTCTTACCTTGGCCTCACATACCCACACACCTCACAGACTGTGCACTTCCCTGCACCATTACGGACCTCAGCCCTCCCTGCACCCCTCACCCTCCCTCCCTCCCCACTGCCCTAGAACAAGGATACTGATGATCTGGTTGTTGTCTGGGCTGGACCGGATGGCATGGATGAGAGGGAAGGAGAACTTGCCCTCTGTCAGGTCTTCACAGTAGCTCTTGTTGGCTTCATACTGAAACAGGCCACAACTTATCAGTTCCGTCTCACTTACTGAAACAGGCTACAACTTATCAGTTCCGTCTCACATACTGAAACAGGCCACAACTTATCAGTTCCGTCTCACTTACTGAAACAGGCTACAACTTATCAGTTCCGTCTCACATACTGAAACAGGCCACAACTTATCAGTTCCGTCTCACTTACTGAAACAGGCCACAACTTATCAGTTCCGTCTCAAATACTGAAACAGACCACAACTTATCAGTTCCGTCTCACTTACTGAAACAGGCTACAACTTATCAGTTCCGTCTCACATACTGAAACAGGCCACAACTTATCAGTTCCGTCTCACTTACTGAAACAGGCTACAACTTATCAGTTCCGTCTCACATACTGAAACAGGCCACAACTTATCAGTTCCGTCTCACTTACTGAAACAGGCTACAACTTATCAGTTCTGTCTCACATACTGAAACAGGCCACAACTTATCAGTTCCGTCTCACTTACTGAAACAGGCTACAACTTATCAGTTCCGTCTCACATACTGAAACAGGCCACAACTTATCAGTTCCGTCTCACTTACTGAAACAGGCTACAACTTATCAGTTCCGTCTCACATACTGAAACAGGCCACAACTTATCAGTTCCGTCTCACATACTGAAACAGGCTACAACTTATCAGTTCCGTCTCACATACTGAAACAGGCTACAACTTATCAGTTCCGTCTCACATACTGAAACATCCTGCAACGTATCAGTTCCGTCTCACATACTGAAACAGGCCACAACTTATCAGTTCCGTCTCACATACTGAAACAGGCCACAACTTATCAGTTCCGTCTCACATACTGAAACAGGCCACAACTTATCAGTTCCGTCTCACATACTGAAACAGGCTACAACTTATCAGTTCCGTGTCACATACTGAAACATCCTGCAACGTATCAGTTCCGTCTCACATACTGAAACAGGCCACAACTTATCAGTTCCGTCTCACATACTGAAACAGGCCACAACTTATCAGTTCCGTCTCACATACTGAAACAGGCCACAACTTATCAGTTCCGTGTCACATACTGAAACAGGCCACAACTTATCAGTTCCTTCTCACATACTGAAACAGGCCACAACTTATCAGTTCCGTCTCACATACTGAAACAGGCTACAACTTATCAGTTCCGTCTCACATACTGAAACAGGCTACAACTTATCAGTTCCGTCTCACATACTGAAACATCCTGCAACGTATCAGTTCCGTCTCACATACTGAAACAGGCCACAACTTATCAGTTCCGTCTCACATACTGAAACAGGCCACAACTTATCAGTTCCGTCTCACATACTGAAACAGGCCACAACTTATCAGTTCCGTCTCACATACTGAAACAGGCCACAACTTATCAGTTCCGTCTCACATACTGAAACAGGCCACAACTTATCAGTTCCGTCTCACATACTGAAACAGGCCACAACTTATCAGTTCCGTCTCACATACTGAAACAGGCCACAACTTATCAGTTCCGTCTCACATACTGAAACAGGCCACAACTTATCAGTTCCGTCTCACATACTGAAACAGGCCACAACTTATCAGTTCCGTCTCACATACTGAAACAGGCCACAACTTATCAGTTCCGTCTCACAGACTGAAACAGGCCACAACTTATCAGTTCCGTCTCACATACTGAAACAGGCCACAACTTATCAGTTCCGTGTCACATACTGAAACAGGCCACAACTTATCAGTTCTGTCTCACATACTGAAACAGGCCACAACTTATCAGTTCCGTCTCACATACTGAAACAGGCCACAACTTATCAGTTCCGTCTCACATACTGAAACATCCTGCAACGTATCAGTTCTGAAACAGCCCACAATGTATCAGTTCTGTAACAGCCTGCAACGTATCAGTTCTGAAGCAGCCTGCAACATATCAGTTCTGAAACAGCCTGCAACGTATGAGTTCTGAAACAGCCCACAACGTATTAGTTCTGTCACAGCCTGCAACGTATCAGTTCTGAAGCAGCCTGCAACATATCAGTTCTGAAACAGCCTGCAACGTATGAGTTCTGAAACAGCCCACAACGTATTAGTTCTGTCACAGCCTGCAACATATCAGTTCTGAAACAGCCTGCAACGTATGAGTTCTGAAACAGCCCACAACGTATTAGTTCTGTCACAGCCTGCAACATATCAGTTCTGAAACAGCCTGCAACGTATGAGTTCTGAAACAGCCCACAATGTATTAGTTCTGTCACAGCCTGCAACATATCAGTTCTGAAACAGCCTGCAACGTATCAGTTCTGAACTAGCATGCAACGTATCAGTTCTGAACTAGCATGCAACGTATGAGTTCTGAAACAGCCTCCAAAGTATCAGTTCTGAAACAGCCTGCAACGTATCAAATTAGAGGCAAACAAACATGTAACTGATTCATATTCAAGGTCATAGTCTATCTCTATAGAATATACTGTAACATAGACATGACAGCAACATATAGCTTGTAGGGACCATATGAATTAGTCGGATAAACTGGCACTGTATTCTATCCATTTCCTGGATTCTGATGGAATCAAACAGATTATTAATTCAAATCAGTATTCATTCAACAATTCATTCAAACAAAACATGGAACATTATCTCACAAAACTAGCACAGCATAAGCATTTCTAACTCCTGAGTGCAGCGTTAAACAACAAACTAACAAACTCTTACTCCTAGCTGTGTACTTCATTGTGGCATACAAAATATATAACACGATAAAAATGAACACAACACACTTGTATGCCACACAGAGCTCAGTGTCGATGTGTCTCACCTCTTTGGAATATAGGTTGGCATAGTCGTCTCGGATCTGGAAGTACAATCCTAGTACATCTAACAAAGGTTTAAAGTCACTGAAATATAACAGAAACACTTTTTCATATATCACATAAAATTATAAATATATGAAGAATTTTTAGACCAGACGTTTTTTGGAAGCCTTGAATAAATGTAAATGTGAAAGTTAACATAAAACGGAAAAAAAGCACTGATTTTTTTTACTCCGCTATAACCAGAAATAATTAAAAACATTTACTGTCAGTATCAAGATTAATAAATTATGTAAAATATTATAATCAAAACCAGTTGAAAATTATCTTAAAAACTTTAAAACGCAACAAATTATGAATTGAGAGAGGAAATTAAAAAGTGTTTCTTTTCAATATCCAACCTCAATTTGGAGCCAAAGAACGGTAACACCAGCCTTGTGTACATACCTCTTGTTGTCACTGAATAGTTGCATAAGTCGAACAGCTAGACCAAACAGTCCACCTGTCTCTGAAACACAAAGTCACATTGTAGTATCAAGGCCAACAGGATTACTGTTTCAGTCACGAAAAAAGATTGTTGTGCTTCTGTTGGAAGTGACCGACAGGGTTGTTCATAGCCGGTTAAAAAACACACTGTTGACCTGCTGATGACACACTCAACAATAACAAAGAGCCCCCCCCCCCCAAAGTTGTTTACCACATGCACATTGCCATGTATATATTGTACATGCTCAGCTGATAAATATCCCCCAATCAAGACACTCTTGGAGTACTTCTGATTGAAATCCTTGATAAGAAGTGAGGTGAGGTGAAATGAGGGTTAAAATCGCATCCAAGATTACTGCACTTATATAGCGTATGTGTTTGTGGCTGCTTGTACTGGTTCAGACTAATGCCGATTTTATAGTGCTAGCTGAGGTACCATGCCACAGTTTAACATGACCACAAGTCCAGGGAGACGGTCTGCTAATAAGCGACTTATCCTGCAATTACATACATTACAAATATGCATCCTACAAGCTACCAATATGACGACTATAAAAATATGCATCATACCAATATCCTTTGGATTTTATAGAACCAAAAATATGCATGATACAAGCTACTTATATCATTTGGATATAACAACACTAAAACCGTGCATCTTACAAGCTACTGCAATGACAACACTATTATACCTCTTACTATCCTCGGGCATGATGACATCCCATTTTATGTAGCTTACAATCTCTCCATATTCATCATGACCGCTAAAGCTTTACAATATATCTAATACAAAGAAACATCGGAGATACTGTACGTTACTTGAATCTATATCTCACATCAAGCAACTATGTAAAAACAATGGCTGTATGCGCCACAATGTGACAGACTGAAAGTTGTTGTCCATATGATCTACACCAGACATTTGTAGCTATGACTGCAGTACTGTGTAGAGATATGATTCTACAATGGATATGAGATACTGACTGCGTATCACCATGGTCTTGTAGTCCTCTTCTGTGGGGCACAGCACCGCATCTCTCCAGTAGATGTCCATCCCCTGCCCGCGATGAAGCTCCAGCAGCTGCTCTGTAACCATGGTAACACCCAACAGGTTAGACTAACATTTAGTCTCTGAAATCTTATATTACACAATATCCTTCTTGACTCTAAAGAAAAAAAAAATTCCCTATGCTGATTTGTGGAATAGAGCTAGCTTGAGCTGGCTAGACTTGCCTTTGTATGCATTTCTAGATTATTATTTTTTCATAAAATAAATATATTCCACGGTCATGGTGCAGGACTACCAACAGGTATACATCATGATGAACAAAGAGGACACTGTGGACCGGGACTCTTTAGTTCTGGTTAATTCACTTCCTTCATCATGTTCAGTGTTTCTGTCCTCCAACCATAAACAATACCTTGAGGCTTAACAAGTAATGAGGAACAGACGAGCGAGGGATGTCCTCTACATTTCTCTATGCATGTTAAGCAGAGTTTAATTGACTAAAAGCTGTAGACTTGTGGAGAGTACCGGTAATCTGACCCTGGTTGCTGTGAATAACAGTGAGTTGTGAGATCTTCCGATCGCTTCACACAAAATTTCGCCAAAATTAATTAAAATAATATTAAGGAATTTTAAATAAAATTAATACAATAAGTTACAAACATAAGTCCAGATATACAATGAACACTTTTAATAACCAGACAGTGTAAATACATGATTAATTTGCATACTTCAGAATGGATTTGTTGACATGTTATTTCCAGTGTTACGTGCTCACGGTAATGTCTTTGTGTTGGGGGAAAAAACACCAAAACTCATTATGGTGTGTATAATGCGCACCCCCTTCTATACAGCTGAGTTTTTTGGAGAAAAAAGTGTGCACTTTACTAAGAAAAAACAGTATTGAGTAAATCACTGCCAAGCCTTGTTTGATTACATTACTTCCAGTCACATTTAAAAAAATTAAAGTTCTCACTCTTTGTTTGAAATAATATATGCAATTAACTTTATTATTTTTAATCAGCCTCAGATGAATATGCGCAGGACCATGTTTTTTATGAACAAATGAAATGCATTCAGATCCTTTCGATAGGGGAACAAACGGTAGGTATGAATGCAACACAAAACATATATTTTTCATTAACAATTCATGACATTTGAAATTCAGATATGCAGGACAATTACGTTTTTTCATCCATGCATGTCATCTGATATTATTGTACATGCCACATCTATCCCATGTGACCCTGATATCAACAATCCAACCATCGGCATATGACATGGAGGAGCCATTGACCATCTGATCCCCATTTCATTCGGCTCTTACAACAAGCATGAGGCTCTTACATGCAAGACCTGTGAAGATCCGGGGTAGAATAGGCCTTTAGCAACCCATGCTTGCTGTAAAAGGCGACTATGCTTGTTGTAAGAGGCGACTAGTGGGATCGGGTGGTCAGGCTCGCTGACTTAGTTGATGCATGTCATCGAACCCTGATTGCGTGGATCGATGCCCATGATGTCAAACACTGGATGTCTGGTCCAGACACGAAAATTCCAGACCGCCATCATATAGCTGTAATATTGCTGAGTGTGGCGTTAAACAAGAAACTAACAAACAAATGTCACATGCAAACTACAGAGGTCATGGGCAGGTGCACCTGTGACCTGTAAACTGACCTGTAAATACTGTATTGACCTCCGGATGACCGAGGCTGTGGAGTTTTGACAGCGCTAGGAAGTACACATAATTGGCAGTGTTGATTGTCTGTGGAATTCCGTAAATACTGTGTGCCACTGCAAAATTCCATCATATCACCATGGTTTAGCATGCATCACACTTGCTACCATACCAGACTTTTGTAATCAACAGGAAATATTTACATTGAAAACTAAATCCTACATATATTTCTATCTTTACAATTTACATGCATTAAAATATATATGTACCAAAAGATTAACATTGAATAATAACATAAGACAAAGATAAAACAGGCATTTTCCTTTTTGGGAGGAATGAGTAGCTGTAATTGGGAATTGGGAGTTATCTCCCTTTATCTGTTGTATCACAGGTTCCACTACAACAAGAATTAGTTGTGCAGCCAGCTGCTTTCCTAGAGAAGATGGAGCGTGCAGTGATGAAGCTAGCAGCTATAATTGGATGATACCATGAAAGATTTTGAAATCTCCATTCACCCAGTAATTATTAAATGACCATGTTTTTCAAGTTGATTCTTTATTTTTAACTTCATTATTGTGACTTTTTATACAGAATGTGTGCTTGGTATATTATGTGATTTTATTGCACCTTTAGGTCTGGATATGCATGCATGTATATAGAACGGCAGTTGAATGCAGAATTATAAGTTATTAAACATAACTTTACAGATGTCCATGGGAAATATTTGGTTGCGTGCAGCCTACAGGGCAAGCGTATATTTCAGTAATTCCTACTGTCTATGTTTTTCTGTTTATACATCACCATGGATACGTATTGGCAAGAATTGAAAGTAAATGAAGTGAATCTGGGACCAGTTTGGGTTTTAAAAGTTTTTAAAGTTGAAAACATATTTTACGTTGATATGATCTTGGGGGCATCAATCATGGATGGAATTGACCCATGACCGCCTCCTTTTAAAAAAATATAAATAAACTGGTCCAGACTTGATTATTTACAGACCGCCGTCATATAGCTGGAATATTGCTGTGTGCGACGTTAAACAAACAAACAAACAAAACATTACTATAGACGTCTATGGGAAATCATTTGGTTGGTTGTAACCTACAATGGCAGAGAAGTGTCACTACACAGGTCCCACTCTTAATACCATCATGACTTTCTGTCAACAAATACACTTACCTGGTATTCCTCGCCTCAGCTTGGAATTATCCTCGATGTCATCTATTCTGTAAACGACAACACTGCTTTAGCTTTCACGGAGGAAAGTCATCATATCATACGCTTGCTTTATCATAACTTAGCAGTCTTCTTAACTTAGATCAGGGTTTTAACAAAGACAAGAATATTGCCTCACATATCATTAAAAACTGACAATGGATGCATGTAACCTGCATTGAGATTGTTGACCATCTATAGTAGTGAGTGAGTGGGTTGGGTTTTACGCCGCTTTTAACAGTATTCCAGTTATATCATGGCGTGTCAGCTTAATGTGGGAGGAAAGCCCGAAGTGATGCAGGTCTCAGACGTTTACCACTTCGGTGAAACCCACGAGCACGGGTATGGTGCTGACAAACCTAGAAACATAATTGGGGCGAACCGGGATTCGAACCCACAATCATAGGTTTCTGGCGTGCCCAAGGGACGCAACTCTGCACAGCAAATCGCGGCGCCTTAGACGACTGGGCCACCCGTGCCCCCGACCATCTATAGTAATGGCAGTCTTCACAGGTCGTGCAGTGTTAAGTGTTATTCTCAGTCAGTCTGTAGACATGGTAGAGGAAGTTGTGGTCAGCCTGTGACGAGCAGTTTCAAGGTCACAGACATTTACCCCTTTGTTGAAACAGAAGAGAATGGGTTTGGTGTTGATAGACGAAGGATCATATTTGGGATGAACACTGGATTCAAACCCATGGTTTTACCCTGATCTACAAAACTAGGGCTCCAGTGGACCACCAATAATTAATTGTAAGGGCCCTTACAGGAAATATGAGGGTCCTGTAAAGTAAAGAAATGGTGCAGTGCAGTGCAGCACAGCGTAGTGTAAGATTTGATAATTACTTTAATTACAGGACCTCATATTTCTTGTCCAGAGTATTATTGTATATCCCTAGGGAAGCAATATTTCGGGCATCCATTCTATCCATTTGTTCGTCATGTTCGTACAGGGCACATATTTCTGTGTTGTGTAAAGCCCTGCAAACTCCAGACTTCTCTTCACTCTGGCTTCAGCACCTTCCAAAGGCAAGAGTTAACTGACTATAAAAAGTCTGGTTTCCACCCCTGCCAAACTAGGCTGGAATTATAGAGTTATATTTTCGCTTGACTAATGAGTCTATGCATAGTCCAATAAAAATCACGAAATTGTCATCCGGTTCGTAAACTGCCATGCACATTTTGGTGGATTGCAGGATTTGCAAAGCATGTGTACCGCCAACCAGGCATCAGATATTTTTACCAAATTTTTAATGTTTTCAATCATGTGATTTGATGCCCTTCACGGAGAAAGACCTGTTTTATGACACCTGACCCAGCTGGGGATCTACAGTGACCTGACCCAGCTGGGGATCTACTGTGCCCTGGCCCTGCTGGGGATCTACAGTGACCTGACCCTGCTGGGGATCTACTGTGCCCTGACCCACTTGGGGATCTACAGTGACCTGACCCAGCTGGGGATGTTCTGTGCCCTGACCCTGCTGGGGATCTACTGTGCCCTGATCCTGCTTGGGATCTACTGTGCCCTGATCCTGCTGGGGATCTACTGTGACCTGACCCTGCTCGGGATCTACTGTGACCTGACCCTGCTAGGGATCCACTGTGCCCTGGCCCTGCTGGGGATCTACTGTGACCTGACCCTGCTGGGGATCTACTGTGCCCTGGCCCTGCTCGGGATCTACTGTGACCTGACCCTCCTCGGGATCTACTGTGACCTGACCCTGCTGGGGATGTACTGTGCCCCGGCCCTGCTGCGGTGACTACTTACAGTAGACTGGCGTTGTGAAGCATCTGTATTACTTCTCCAATCTGCACAAGCTTGTCTTCTGGGATCTTCAGCCAGTAGTTGAGGGCCTGAAACATCACCGGCACTGAGACACTATGTGAACACACAGTCGTGCTACATGTAACACCAACACTTCCCTGCCATACATAATGTGCTGCTATACATAATGTACTCAAGGACATTCATGGACATGATGGAACAATTTGTACAATAGCTGTTGTATGACGGACGAGATACAATTGCATGACAGATGAGAGACAAGTGTATGACGATGAGAGACAAGTGTATGACGGATGAGAGATAACTGAATGATGGATGAGAGACATGTGTATGACGGATGAGACACAAGTGTATGACGGATGAGAGACAAGTGTATGACGGATGAGAGACAATTGTATGATGGATGAGAGACATGTGTATATTAGACAAGTGTATGATGGATGAGAGACAAGTGTATGACGGATGAGAGACAAGTGTGTGATGGATGAGAGACAAGTGTGTGACGGATGAGAGACAAGTGTATGACGGATGAGAGACAAGTGTATGACGGATGAGAGACAAGTGTATGACGGATGAGAGACAAGTGTGTGATGGATGAGAGACAAGTGTGTGACGGATGGGAGACAAGTGTATGACATGAGAAACATGTGTATGATAGACAAGTGTATGATGGATGAGAGACAAGTGTATGACGGATGAGAGACAAATGTGTGACGGATGAGAGACATGTGTATGATAGACAAGTGTATGATGGATGAGAGACAAGTGTATGATGGATGAGAGACAAGTGTGTGACGGATGAGAGACAAGTGTATGATGGATGAGAGACATGTGTATGATAGACAAGTGAATGACAGATGAGAGACAAGTGTGTGACGGATGAGAGACAAGTGTGTTACGGATGAGAGACAAGTGTATGACATGAGAAACATGTGTATGACGGATGAGAGATAACTGAATTATGGATGAGAGACATGTGTATGATGGATGAGAGACAAGTGTATGACAGATGAGAGACAAGTGTATGACAGATGAGAGACAAGTGTGTGACGGATAAGAGACAAGTGTATGATGGATGAGAGACATGTGTATGATAGACAAGTGAATGACAGATGAGAGACAAGTGTGTGACGGATGAGAGACAAGTGTGTGACGGATGAGAGACAAGTGTGTGACGGATGAGAGACAAGTGTATGACATGAGAAACATGTGTATGACGGATGAGAGATAACTGAATTATGGATGAGAGACATGTGTATGACGGATGAGAGACAAGTGTATGACAGATGAGAGACAAGTGTATGACGGATGAGAGACAAGTGTGTGACGGATGAGAGACAAGTGTGTGACGGATGAGAGACAAGTGTATGACGGATGAGAGACAAGTGTATGACAGATGAGAGACAAGTGTATGATGGATGAGAGACATGTTTATGATAGACAAGTGTATGACGGATGAGAGACAAGTGTATGACAGATGAGAGACAATTGTATGATGGATGAGAGACATGTGTATGATAGACAAGTGTGTGATGGATGAGAGACAAGTGTGTGACGGATGAGAGACAAGTGTATGACATGAGAAACATTTGTATGACGGAAAAGTGACAAGTGTAAGACGGATGAGAGACAAGTGTGTGACGGATGAGAGACAAGTGTGTGACGGATGAGTGACAAGTGTATGACGGATGAGAGACAAGTGTGTGACGGATGAGTGACAAGTGTATGACACATGAGAGACAAGTGTATGACGGATGAGAGACATTGTATGACACATGAGATACAATTGTATGACGGATGAGAGACAAGTGTGTGACGGATGAGAGACATTGTATGACACATGAGAGACAAGTGTATGACAGATGAGAGACAAGTGTATGATGGATGAGAGACAAGTGTGTGACGGATGAGAGACAAGTGTATGACACATGAGAGACAAGTGTATGACGGATGAGAGACATTGTATGACACATGAGATACAATTGTATGATGGATGAGAGACAAGTGTTTGACGGATGAGAGACAATTGTATGACACATGAGAGACAAGTGTATGATGGATGAGAGACATGTGTATGATAGACAAGTGTATGATGGATGAGAGACAAGTGTATGACACATGAGAGACAAGTGTATGATGGATGAGAGACATGTGTATGACATGAGAAACGTGTATGACGGATGAGTGACAAGTGTATGATGAATGAGAGACAAGTGTGTGACACATGAGAGACAAGTGTATGATGGATGAGAGACAAGTGTGTGACGGATGAGGGACAAGTGTATGACGGATGAGATGATGACACTTATTTACTCACTGCTGCCAGCTTGGTCCTGATCTTCTTGCCAGGAATCTGGCAGATGTAATCGTATGGTTCAAGGAGCACCTGATGAGGAAATACAAAAACAGGTTCATATTAACATCATTATTTGTCTGAGCAAGGTATTGAATTGAATTTCGCAAAATTAATTGTGTATTATGATAACTCATTCAAGGACACTAAAATATTTTGTTACCAGGTTTCACTGTGGTTCTGTCTGCCTTGCAACCAGGCTTTAGTGGCTGCCTCAGTTAACCCTCACTTTAACAATGGGTGCATAATTCAAGTGTTGAAAAAATGACCATCAAGGGTACTGTGTGTTATATTCATATACCAGCAGATGTATATTAAAATGTAAATTTAATAAATGTTCTAAGTCTTTTTCTTTCATTACCATGATTACCACTTCAACTGTTCTCTCGCCTGAACATAACAACACAAGCATACAACACATTTCGAACAGAGAATAATGGTACTGAGCAGAAAGGTCTGAAGTGCAGACGACCACACAAAGCTACAAGACTAACTTCTCCAGTGTATCACCACGTGTAAATATGAAACTGATAAAAATCAAATAAATCACACATGCATTACGGGTCCATCACTTGACAAAACAGTAATACCGTATTCGACGTAATAAGTGTCCCGGGCGCACTCAAAATTAGAAATAGGGGGCTCTTACTGGAATATTATTTTGGTGAAAAAAAAACAGGGTTGAAAGATTGTAAATTTCGTGGTTTATGCTGACAGCCAGAAATGTTTATATAAGACAATGTAAGACGGATATATTGTTCCAGAATTTAATTGCCCATAATAAAGGTGCATATAACTCACAAGTGCGTATTATACGCGAATAAATAAGTCTTGTGTACATTGATCAATCGGAAGGGGTGCTAATAGAGCGCTGAATAGAGCAAGGTGGTAATTACGTCGAATACGGTCATTTGTGAACAGAAACAATAAATGCATCCGGAACCTCCTCTCAGAGAAAAAGTGTGTATCAGTCTACACAATGATTAGACTTGGACTTTCTAGAGGTAACCTAGCTCTTCATTCAAACACAGTATGTTTATGACATTACACCTTTACGCTATGATCAACAACATGTCTCTATGTTACTCCAAAAACATCAAACAACCATGCAACGTAGTCCATGCAGTGGGCATTTCAGCTCCATAGAAGAGGACAACTTGGTCAATCTACCCCACCTTCTCAATTACCTCATCTGTGAAACTTGTCTGCAAAGGCACAGCACTCATTTTTTTGGAGTCTGAAAGTTGGACAAATAATCATATAACAATTATCTTGAACATGAAGAAAACGAAGGGGGGTGGGGCCAGTCCTCTCTCGGATAGGGATTTCATCATGTTCATAGCTGAACATGAAACACATTCGTCTTTAATATCAATGTATCATGCAACGCTTGGTAGATACATGGTATACAAACGGGCTACAAAATTTCAATATTCATCAACGAAATTCTGTGATTAGAAATGTTGTGCACTTAAATAGTTCAATGAATATTACCAAGTGCCTTTAGTGGTATTGTTAAATAAATAAACATTTCAAAGTTACTTACAAGTTGTAAATATGTGGGAATAATTGAGAAATTCACAAAGAAAACATTTTCGTTATGAAATAAATAATAAATAGAATTGAACGAATATATTACTGTTAGTTGGCTGTTGGCTGTCTTGCATCTCAAATGTATGAAGGTCCTTCCTACTGCAGAGATCGATCAAACCTCGAATTTGTATCGCGCAAATATACACTCCCAGTGACACCCGAGATTATATATGCTTGCTGTTAATGAGATGTGCAACAGTTATATTGAGCACCTAACTCATCCAGCATCACCCGGAAACGTCGGCATTCATTTCACGTGTTTCCTGTTTACTACATAAGTAGAGTTACGATAAATGTTTTCGCATTTAGATACGATGTCTAAACAATAAAAAGACATGTTTATGGAAACATTCATAAAACTCCTCTAAACCGTTGTTTTCTACGTAAAAGTACCAATTAACCTTGATTTTGCGAAATAGGAATTTCGAAAATACGAACATGTCAAAATATTACACTCCTTACAGCGACATAGATATTGAACTGAATGACGTCAACGTAACGTGCTGTGGGGAGTTTGTCTGACAGGTGTTTGAGGTGGAAAATTAAGAATGCGTGAACCGCTCAAAAGGTCATCAGTCAGTTAACTGACGGTGAGTTTGTCAATTTGTTTACAGCTAATGCAGTTCCAACATTATAAGTTGCATATGAGATCTACCGTATTAGATCTTGTCAAGGAATCGTGCATACACTACACTGTATACGAGGCGAAGCAATGACCGCCAGTATCAGTGGTCTCAGCAGCTGATCACTCACGAGCATGTTTGTTTGTTTGTAAACGCCACACCACGCAATATTCCAGCTATATGACGGTCGTCTGTAAATAATCGAGTCTGGACCAGACAATCCAGTGATTGATATCATGAGCATCAATCTATGACATGCATCAACCAAGTCAGCGAGCCAGACCTCGCCTGTAGTGTTATGGCAAGCATGGGTTGCTGAAGACCTGTTCTAACCCAGATAAGAAGTGTATGACTTCTACTAAATATTTCCCTCTATAACCTGACCAATTTCTAATTAAAGGTTATTTCAGAATGTGGGTGGAATATATGTATACCACGAAACTATGAAAAATAAAAATGTATTCATAAGTACGATAAAAGCTCTATAGTGCAGAGTGACACATTTGTATTTATTTCAACATTCTCACATGATTGACTTGATATAATAAAGGCCTTAGTCAAGTCACTCACGACTCACTGGTCTGGGTTCATGGAGGAGGTTCATACTGATAAATGCTGATGATGTCAATCGTTGGATTGTCTGGGTCCAGACTCGATTATTTACATATTGCTGGAATATTGTTGAATACATTAAACAAGCAAAACAAACAAAAATCTTGTTTCATGATCCAATATATTAACGGTCAATTATCAGTTGATGTGTAAGTACATAAGATGCATCTGTTATCATTAGATTATCAATAATATCTGTAAAATAACATCACATTTTATAAATAAATATTTCAAAGCTTGAGGTATCTTTGAGATGAGTGTTTAAGTGAATAACCTGGGGCTACTGTATAGTTATTTTCATCTTAAACATTTGTTAAACTAAATAACTATTAGTTTAAGTTTTCAAGTTGAACAAAAAAGTTAGGCGAAATTCAAAATAATTGACATCAGGTTCAGAACTGTTATATTATGCAATAACAGTAACAGTTGGATTCAAATCCCACATTTGCACTATTTAGAATTCCATATGCCTACATGAAGTGCTACTCGAACATGAAGTGCTACTCGAACATGAAGTGCTACACAAAGCACAGTTTGACTTACTATGATCATCCCACGTTCTGTTGCAGGCGTGTCCAAAATGGCGACAGCTGATGGACCAGTGACATTCTTCAGTCTACCCTGGGAGCATGTCATCTGTCGGCACCTCTTCCCCTTCCTGTCCGTGAAGGAAGTCTTTCAACTACGTGTAATCTCCACTCAGTTCCGTGACATTGTCGACACCTTCTTCAGAACGACCTTCACCCTTGATCTAAGTCGGGTGGCAGCAAGGGTCACATCCGAAGCCTTCGTTCTCATGTCACACAACAATCTGTGTTTGAAGAAGCTCACGCTAATCAACTCTAAAGATTGGCTATCAGATACTGTCCTGAAACCCGTGCTACTCAATAACCCCTACTTATTGAAGGTAGATTTAACGAACTGCTCCAACTTGACGAACCTGTGTGTGAATGTGTTGGCAGTGAACTGTCATGCGCTGCAGTTGCTTGTGCTGCGAGACTGCCACTGGGTCAGCAAGGAGGCTCTGACCGGGCTGCTGGTCAACTGTCGGGAGCTCGAGCACGTGGATCTGACGGGCTGCTGGAACCTGGACGATGAGGTCATCAGTCAACTCATCGTCTATGGTAGAAAGTAGGTTCACTGTCGCCTCTCTTTCAGAAATACAGTGTTTAGAATGTGCAAAGGCCCCTAGGCCAGAATCTTTTAATTTTTTGGTTTACAGATTTTTACATACATTTTTTTTTTTTAAATTGCCATCTTGTCTAGTATACCATCCTCCACCCTCAAGATGAACTTGGAAATAATACTCTGTATTTGCTACAGTTGCCGCCATTGTCCCAGAACATGTCTCATGTGAACCGGTAATTGAGTCATTTGCCATTCCTAACATCACAGGTAGCATTCAAAACTAGTAGAATTGCTTGGTTTAAACAATATTTTATTTTCTTCAAAACGGATTGGTCATCATGCACAATGCCTATTTCAAGATCTCTCTAATACAAAAAGATTTACATAAAATATTGCAACACACAGTGAATGATAAAATGTTGAACATCAAATATATATATAGATGCACAAGAAATGTCTAGTATACTTGAAGGACTTTTAAAGCGTGTTACAGAATTGCTTCTTACCAGAGACCTGTTGAGCATTGGCAACTGCCAGGTTTCGCTTACCCGATAATCAAATTATTATTTTTCTTTCATTTTATTTTTCCTTTTGTTGGCGGTTATTAAAAAAGTGATGAATTGATTTTTTTCCACTTTTTCAACCAAGAATCAACATGATCAAGGTGACATTTTGAAGAACAAAACAAAATTTGGAAAGTCTTTTTCAATATTGTTTTCTCAATGCCCTGGAAATACAATCATGTCTGGCTTTAGATTTTTTCACAAACAAAAAATATGTAAGAGTATCAATTTAAGTTAGCAATATCACCCTTCCTCTTATAACCATGACAACCAGACCCCTTTCCCAGCGGTAGAAACTAACAGTTTCAGTCCACTAGTCCTTATAATGATAGCATATAGCAAAACCTTTAAAAATGTCAAATTCTACTAGTCCTTAGGATACCTTTACTATTGGGCAGTTTGGCAAGGACTATAGGACTAGTGCCAATTTCTAACCCTGCTTTCCCCATGGTTATAAAAGTGAAGCATTTCATTACATGTTTACTGGTCTGGAATACCATGTACTAGGAAAATACCCTGATAAGCACATCTGTGTCAAATGGTATCTCAACAAAGAGATAGTCTGTCTCCCAGACCCTAGACAATAAATTGAAAAAGGAGACCAACTCAAGTCTAGAATGATTTGGCAAGTCTAGATTGCCTCAGCTCTGGGATTGTTCTGGACTCCATTTGGATTTGTTTATATTTTGTTATGTAGATATATATATATTTTAAAGTAAGATAACTTTATTTCTGGGATGAAATGTCAGTCTATAAGGAGCCCCTATTGCCTCTAAATGCTCAGGCCATAACTTATATCAAATATGGTACTTCTAAAACCCAGGATTTCTCTTAACTATTGATTATAGCAATGTGGATACCTATAGTGTTGGGGAACTGGTGTAGGCTGATATTGCCACCAACTTTTGTCTTTGTAAACATATTCATTGTTTTTCCGATTCAAGCATGAAAGTCAAAGGTTCCTTGTCTAATATTAAAATTATGAGTAAACTATTTTGAGTGTTTCTGGATTAAAATACTATTGCAACTAAGATTATAGACGGATGTAATACATTGTGCACCTCTGCGTCATGCTACTCATTGCATGCATTTATCATATGCACAGCAGAATAAGCCAATTAAACTAATTGCAGCGCCATCTGGCGTCAAGATTTCAGTGCTCGTCTTTTTGTCATTTGTTTGTATCATGAATTGATATTTCATATATAAATTTCTCAATGAAAATGAATTAATGGCTGCCCAGTCATGCTGGTTAATGTGTATTTGACGACTAGTTTATCACCCCTTAAAAAATTCATATTTATCATGTTAATAAAAATGTCCAAAAGAGTCATGAAAATCAATTATGCAAACATGCAATAAATTACTGTAGTGTAGGGCAGAATTAATCATTTCAACATCAGAAGCCATTGTACCATAAACCCTCCATTCAGTGAGGCTTTGATATCATTTTACACAGATGCTAAAAAAACGGTTCATTGTATGTGATTGTGCAGATATTTATGACATTCTCGGAGTGCATCTGTCTGTCTATTCATATTTTCACCCTTTAAAACGAAATAATGTAATAACCTGGCAATAAGTGTTCTCTTGCTACAATCGTGTTTAGATTTCAATTTTTATGATTAAAGTTTTCACTAGGACGTTGTACCTGAGCATTGGCTTCCCTGCACGCTTATCCTTAATTCCTGGTGACAAAGTAGACACCATTTATGAATATAAATAACAACTTCTTTATTTAAGAGTTTCGGCTTAGATCCTTATACCGTTTTCAAGCAAGGCTGAATGATGATGTTGTTGTTGCATTAAGTGTTTAGGAGGTCGCCTTCTGCCTAGGCAATTTCGGCTGACCTGTCCCTCTTTGGGACTCCTGTGTGTGAGTAGGGTACACCTATCTATTGTGAGTTTGGTGTTCACATAATTTCTGTTTTTGTATTGATATGATTTCTATTTTCTTATATTGATAAGATTTCATTTCTATCCTTGGCTGCTCTGTTTATATACGTTCCAGTAGCTGTCCATCTCTCAGAAATAGAGTTAGTTTGGCCTTCGCTATTGCATCTCTTGGCTTTAGGAGATCTATGACAGATAGCGGATCTAACTGCAATTCTTGTTTTAATTGCTGGGGCATGGTCTGAATGATGAGCATAGTAGAGAATATATATAGCAGCTGGAGGATTAGCAAAAACAAAACTGCATACATCAGAGAGATTAACGTGAGTAGGTTAAACAATGACAACAGAAGGATAAAACTGTAACACCATGATGGACAGAGAACACATGATGAGGAAGCCAATAACACAGGAACCTAATTAAACAGGAATAAGTGTACATAGGTGGGGTGATTATTGCTTTATGAGTTTATAGTAGGTGATGGGATGAAATAGCCATGATTTCTGTTGATTGATGGCTGTGGCGGCGAATGTGGACTGCCTCTGTTAGTTTTCTTTAAGTGAAGTCAATGAGGTTGTTGGAGAGGATTTGGACGTTTCCCAGGTTTTCTGGTGATTGTCATTTCTCATTATTGATGTACAGCATTTCCAACACAGATGGGAGGGGTTCTACAGAAGGTAGTGGAGACAATTAATGTTTATTTATTAATCAATTGTATAAACGTCCTCGACTGTGGGTTTGTTTTTCCGTGCACAGTAAGTTATTTTGATGAAGGGGAATGACAACTAAAGCAGAAATGATATTTCAGCCACTTTAGGTTGTAACCTATCTCTACACTGAAAACACAGTATGTTTATCTCCATGCTACCATGACTAATTAAAACGTAAAGCCTTTGGTGTTAGAAAATATCTCTCTGTTGTCCTCAAATCTTGAAATACATTCTCTTTGCACATTTCTATCTTGTTTTCTGCATGAAAATATTGCCACACATCCTTTGAATATCGAAGTAACTGCAACTTTGTATTTTGTAACATGTAATTGTACATATAATTATTTAAATATACCTACCGACAATGACTGTAAAAGAAGTACATAAATTATTAGCTTCCAAAGAGATGCAGCTGTCAAATCAGCTGTTTCAAACAGAAGGGGTTTATTGTGCTTTGATACCTCTGATTGACCAATCAAAATCAAGTATTTAGCAAATTCATGGTAGACTTACAGTTAAACTAAACATGTAGATGAAATAAAAATTGTTGCCCGTTGAGGTTTGCAACTGCCTATGTGGTGTAGTGGTTGGAGTGTCTGCCAAAAGAGCTGAAGGTTAGTCGTTTGATCCCTGGGCAGCGTCACAACCAAAGATATTAACAATGATTAATAGCCAGGCACTTGGCATGAAGGGGATAAAACAAGGACTGGTTGTCTTGGAGTCAGTATACTATGTCTTGGTGGGGTATCCATGTTAAACTGCGGCATGGTATCTCAGTGTGCTAGCACTATAAAACTGGTCTGGACTAGTGCAGCCATATGCACACACGATGCACATCACTAGCAGAATGAAATAATCTAGGGTGCCGTTGTACAAAGTGATCTTAGCGCTAAGGTGATGGTAACTCTCATACCTTAACATACTTATGGCAGTCGTGGCACTAAGGTTGTTTTGTACAATGGCACCCTGAACACCACATTAAACCCAATTTGACTTCACCTTTCAGAGGGGGCGGTCGGGGAGCCTAGTGGTTAAAGCGTTCGCTCGTCACGCCGAAGACCCGGGTTCGATTCCCGACATTGGTACAATGTGTGAAGCCCGTTGCTGGTGTCCCCCGCCGTGATATTGCTGGAACATTGCTAAAAGCGGCGTAAAACCATACTCACTCACTCACCTTCCAGAGGTTGCTAGATACACCCCTCACCACATAAACCCATCGTCAGTGCTTCACTGTCTTACAAACACCATGGTCCTTCCTCAGTCATAAATACAAATGGCCGCTATGCAATGTAACAGTGGTGCATGTCTATTTTCAGTAGGCTTATAAACTGAGGCCATGTACAACTCATGGAAGTGACATATTTCTCAGATGTATTTACGGGTGATGGAGGAACATGGTCTATACAAACCTGTGTAGTATAGACTGCGAGTAACCCTGACAATTTGTATTCAGGATCCGCTATCTGTCTGTGTCGAAGATCTATGGGTTGACGGACACAGCTATATCTGTGATATCCCACAACAGCCCGAGCCTGCAGCACCTCAACATCCATGGCTGTTGGCGCGTCACCAACGACTCCATCAGGTAGGCTGCTGTCTCAGTGTGTGTAAACTTTTGTCTTCATCAAGACGTTACATCTGATGAAGGGGCAAGAAGTAGCAGTGAAATGTCATTACTAGTAACAAATAAGTTGTTATTCAGGAAAAGATTCATGTCTTCATGTTCTTCTATATGTAAGACTTGATACATATCGGTTCATGGTGCAAAAGACTATGCATACATATCATAAGTTCATGGTGCTAAAGACTATGCATACATATCAGTCCATGGCGCCATAGACTATGCATACATATCAGTTCATGGTGCTGAAAAATATGCATACATATCAGTCCATGGCGCCATAGACTATGCATACATATCAGTTCCTGGTGCTGAAAAATATGCATACATATCAGTCCATGGCGCCATAGACTATGCATACATATCAGTCCATGGCGCCATAGACTATGCATACATATCAGTTCATGGTGCCAAAGACTATGCATACATGTCAGTCCATGATGCCAAAGACTATGCATACATATAAGTTCATGGTGCCAAAGACTATGCTTACATATCAGTCCATGGTGCCATAGATTATGCATACATATCAGTTCATGGTGCCAAAGACTATGCATACATATAAGTTCATGGTGCCATAGATTATGCATACATATCAGTTCATGGTGCCAAAGACTATGCATACATATAAGTTCATGGCGCCATAGATTATGCATACATATCAGTTCATGGTGCCAAAGACTATGCATACATATCAGTCCATGGCGCCATAGACTATGCATACATGTCAGTCCATTGTGACAAAGATCATGCTTACATATCAGCCCACAGCCCCAAAGATCATGCATACATATCAGTCCTTGGCGCCAAAGATCATGCATTCATATCAGTTCATGGTGATAAAGATCATGCACACATATCAGTTCATGGTGCCAAATATCATGTATACATATCAGTCCACGGCCCCAAAGATCATACATACATATCAGTTCATGGTGCCAAATATCATGCATACTTATCAGTTCATGGTGCCAAAGACTATGCATACATATCAGTCCATGGTGATAAAGATCATGCATACATATCAGTTCATGGTGCCAAAGACTATGCATACATGTCAGTCCATTGTGACAAAGATCATGCTTACATATCAGCCCACGGCCCCAAAGATCATGCATACATATCAGTTCATGGTGATAAAGATCATGCACACATATCAGTTCATGGTGCCAAATATCATGCATACATATCAGTCCCCGGCCCCAAAGATCATGCTTACATATCAGCCAAAGGCCCCAAAGATCATGCATACATATCAGTCCTTGGCGGCAAGTTGGTGCCAAAGATCATGCTTACATATCAGTTCATGGTGCCAAAGATTATGCACACATATCAGTTCATGGTGCCAAATATCATGCATACATATCAGTTCATGGTGCCAAATATCATGCATACATATCAGTTCATTGTGCCAAAGATCATGCATACATGTCAGTTAATGGCTCCAAAGATAATGCATACATATCAGTCCATGGTGATAAAGATCATGCATACATATCAGTCCATGGTGATAAAGATCATGCATACATATCAGTCAATGGCACCATAGACTATGCATACATATCAGTTCATGGTGCCAAAGACTATGCATACATGTCAGTCCATTGTGACAAAGATCATGCTTACATATCAGCCAACGGCCCCAAAGATCATGCATACACACCAGTCCTTGGCGGCAAGTTGGCGCCAAAGATCATGCTTACATATCAGTTCATGGTGCCAAAGATTATGCACACATATCAGTTCATGGTGCCAAATATCATGCATACATATCAGTTCATGGTGCCAAATATCATGCATACATATCAGTTCATTGTGCCAAAGATCATGCATACATGTCAGTTAATGGCTCCAAAGATAATGCATACATATCAGTCCATGGTGATAAAGATCATGCATACATATCAGTTCATGGTGTCAAAGATCATGCATACATATCAGTTAATGGCTCCAAAGATAATGCATACATATCAGTCCATGGTGATAAAGATCATGCATACATATCAGTCCATGGTGTCAAAGATCATGCTTACATATCAGTTCATGGTGATAAAGATCATGCTTACAAACAGTTCATGGCACCAAAGATCATGCATACAGTATATCAATTCATGGCTACCAGTATGTTCACTTATTTTTATTTGAGCAAAGTTGATGCATTGTCACATATATTTGAGTGTGGTGTACAAAATGTAAATCATAAGAACACTTTTTGTCAATGGTACCGAAGCTTAGTTCAAATTACCTGTCCTTCTTGTGTATGAAAACATAGAGGAAAGACTTAGGGACATCGTCAATACTTCATGAAGTGTTTAAAATACCTGCCTGCCGGACAGTCTGAGTCTATTTTGAGGGACGGTCAGTTTTGAAAAGTTGTACGCCCGATGGTGGGGAGTGAAAGTTACTAAGTTGGCTATCCACCAGTTTATTGTTATTTTCTGAGAGCTAACATTAAACTTCTATTCTTATGTTTACCCTTTTTCTACTTTCTTTTCGGTAGTCTAGAAAATTATTGAATGGCAACATTTTATCTGGTCTGGTAACTTTGCAAAGTTGCCAGACTGATTTTCTGAGAGGAATATTTGGGAATTTTATACACTGCATCATGGGTTGAATTCATTGAGGTCGAAAGTATTTTGAATTCAGTCATCCAGCTTGTAACTGTAGTTCAGAATGCCCTGTTTTAGGCCTTAGAGGTTGCATGAGTAGAAAATATTCCGCTAACAATATAACATAATAATCTGAATATTTTTTTCATTATTTTATTACAACGTACACATGTTACATGTATTGTTATCTATCCTGTAGTTGTCAAATGTTGGTACGACTTCATTTCATTAATCCAACATACTCGTTTATCCGACATAATCACACACAACCAACCATGTCAGATTAATTGATAGTTGACTGTACAGTGTTTGACCTTGACTTACAAATCCATAGAACTCCCAAAACAGTTCTTTCAAGGGTCCATACAGGAAATATGACGGTCTTGTAAACTTATGAAATGGTGTAGTGTAGTGTAGTGTACTGTAAGATTTGATGATTATTATTATATTACCGGACCATTATATTCCTTGTCAATATTATTGGTTGTCCCTCAAGATGCAACAGATTCTTTATTCTGTGTCTATTCTATACTGTGTACTGGACACACGATTCTGCGTTGTGTAAAACACTGATAATATTCACAAACCTGGGAAGTATTGACAAAGTATTGACAGTGTATTGCATATAACCTCTCTGTATTGCAGGCTCCTGGGAGAGTTCTGTATGGGGCTGAAAGCTTTACAGATCAAAGACTGTCGAGGAATAAATGAAATCAGCCTAGCACGACTCCGAGCACGCGGTATCAAGATGGATGTGCCCCCACCCCCACAAGCACAGACTCTGAGCTATCTACATCGAAATATTCACAACCTCAATGTACAGATATGATGTCTCGTCTGTCTCTAGGAAACACGGTTGTGTGTGTATGTCCTACACGGGAGCTATTCAATGTTGACATTGGAAGACATACCAAGTAGTTCATCTTCCATCAAATTACATGTGTATCTTCCATTATGTAAATCACATTATCGCTAATATGTGCAGTTTGTTTTAATGTTTCATGAATTGTGGGCTTTTGGCCACCAACTCATCTGGGGAGATGGGGCTGTAGAAAATGAAATCAACTTTACTTGTGTATGTCTTTATTATTGTGATCTAAGAAATATGTTGACACCCGAACGCTATCTGTCAAGTTATCCTGTACATGCGTTTTCTCTCTTCAAAAGATATTGCTGTCATATTGAAACTGGCTTTATTTGTCAAATATGCTATTTCTCTTATAAACAAACTGTTAATATTAAGATTCAGCCGAATATGTAAAACTTCTTATATGTAACTTGTATAGGGGCCGGAAGTCTTAAACACAATAAATATCTTTAACTTTGACTTTGGGTAGGTCAAAATCTATAAAAATAACTTTTTGTGTGTGTGTGCATTATTTTTATTTGGCATTAGGAAAAACTAAATGTTTATTACGTTATTCAGGATTTTCACTATTTTGACAGTTACGTCAGTCTGAGAACTTTCTTCTCTGTGTCAGGTGTTTGCAGTGTCCAGAAACTATATCATATATGTATGTGTGTATATACATTGTAATGATTAAACTTTTCCAGAGAACACACACAGGTCACTGCTGCAATCAACACACGTCTTTATTCAATTACTGTACAAATCCAACGGTCCAAACGGTCTAACAGCCCTCTCCTTCATTCTATTCTCACCGTGCACCCGCTTTCCTAGCAACACTATCCCTTTGTCTGCCATATTTGTTCTACTTTCTTTAGAGTTATCCCCCTTACACTTCCCATACATGTATGGTAACACAAGTTACCTCCCTTTCAAGCAGATATTTGTGTTTGTCAAAACACCTTTACGCACACAAGATCTTTCACCAGTCTATGGCTCTTCAGGTGTAATGAAAACTTTATCGTAGTCATAGGTGATGCACAACAGCAGAATTTGTGACATCATAATGTCTGTGACTTAACAGTTAGTGACAATAGTGGGAGGCATCAATACATTATGGTGTGAGTGCACAAATATACATTGAACTACACAGGAAGGTTTAGGTTTCAAAAGCATAATGAACATCTATTCTTTTTCCAGTCGTAAATGTTTGTCATTGTTAAACAATTTATAAAATGGAAAGACCTTATTTTAGCAATTTCTGTTTCTTAGAGTTTAATCTGCAAGTTTGTTATTATTTGTTATTTTATGATCGTTATTTTGTCATGTTTGGATATTTGTATTAGAGAAATAAGAAAACTAACTGGAAGGATTGGAAGCAAGGAATGTTAATAACCATGGTTACAGTTGCTTATAACAGATATATGTATGTTCTTGTGCTATGGACAAGCCTACTGGTACCCTAAACTTTGCAAAAGAAAGCTAAAAAATATTACAACTTGTTTTATTGTTTTTAAGCAAAATGTAGTAAGGAAATGAACCACATATAAACCCTGACAACATATTTTTAATTTGTTCTTGGCAAATTGACTAGGGAAATCTTTAAAGGAAGACATTTAGGTGGTCTGACTAAAGTTTAATTCTAGATGAATAAGTTATGTAGTTATTGTGATGATGATGAAGATGTGTGTGTATCTGTTGTATGTATGTTGAAGGTAGGTGTTGTCATATATGAGTGTCACAGTTGGCAGTTTACACTGACCTGGACTTTCCATGAGGGAACAAGCATGGGATACTGGGACCTATTCTTGTCTGGAATTCCCAAAGGGAGATAACCATGGGATACTGGGACCTATTCTTTTCAGGAATTCCCAAAGGGAGATAAGTATAGGGTACAAGGGACCAATTCTTCTCAAGAATTCCCACGGGGAGGTTAACTGTGGATGCCTTGTGCTTCCAAACCCATTGGGAAGATGTCATTGTGTGCTGGAGACGTCTTCTGCCTCTGAAACACATTGGGGAGACAAGCATGGTGTACTGGAGACGTCTATTGCCTCTGAATCACATTGGGGAGACAAGCATGGTGTACTGGGGATGTCTTCTGCCTCTGAATCACATTGGGGAGACAAGCATGGTGTCCTAGAGGAGTCTTCTGCCTCTGAATCACATTGGGGAGACAAGCATGGTGTCCTAGAGAAGTCTTCTGCCTCTGAATGACATTGGGGAGACAAGCATGGTGTCCTAGAGAAGTCTTCTGCCTCTGAATGACATTGGGGAGACAAGCATGGTGTCCTAGAGAAGTCTTCTGCCTCTGAATGACATTGGGGAGACAAGCATGGTGTCCTAGAGAAGTCTTCTGCCTCTGAATGACATTGGGGAGACAAGCATGGTGTCCTAGAGAAGTCTTCTGCCTCTGAATGACATTGGGGAGACAAGCATGGTGTCCTAGAGGAGTCTTCTGCCTCTGAATCAAATTGGGGAGACAAGCATGGTGTCCTAGAGAAGTCTTCTGCCTCTGAATGACATTGGGGAGACAAGCATGGTGTCCTAGAGAAGTCTTCTGCCTCTGAATGACATTGGGGAGACAAGCATGGTGTCCTAGAGAAGTCTTCTGCCTCTGAATGACATTGGGGAGACAAGCATGGTGTCCTAGAGAAGTCTTCTGCCTCTGAATGACATTGGGGAGACAAGCATGGTGTCCTAGAGAAGTCTTCTGCCTCTGAATGACATTGGGGAGACAAGCATGGTGTCCTAGAGAAGTCTTCTGCCTCTGAATGACATTGGGGAGACAAGCATGGTGTCCTAGAGGAGTCTTCTGCCTCTGAATCAAATTGGGGAGACAAGTATGGTGTCCTAGAGAAGTCTTCTGCCTCTGAATCACATTGGGAAGACTTCATGGGGCACAGGGGATGTCTCCTCGAGCGTGATGAGGGGATGAATGTTGTTTGTCTGTGAGTGGATGAAGATGTCAAGTGTTGCTTGTTTTGGTCCACCTTATATGTAAACACGTCAGTGTTATGAAGTCAACCATGGTGTTACTGTTTGCAACATGGCATGAATGTCAGAAGCATCCGTGAATAATGGTGTGCATGGTGAATAACTCTTGCACAGTGGAGAATAGAAAACTGCCAGTTCTATTGGTGATGCGTACAATCAAAAACAAATGTTACTATGATTCCCATTGCTTACCAAAGTGGATGCAATATGATGTTTTTTTTATGAATGAATGAATTGGTCAAGATTTGTCAGTATAACCGGTGTTGCAAGAAAACTTTCATGTTACATCACTGTGATTTATGTCCAATTGTCAGTGTCAGAGACAAATAAATTCATTTACCTCCGTATTGAATAATCATTGAATTGTACATCACAGTAGCATTTCTTTCGCAGATTATGTATATATGCAGCATAATGAGATATGTCCTCCAAACATCATAATCATAATAATGACTCCAGGAAAGTTTTCTTTCAGAGGCCATGCCATAGAATTCCTTTTCAGTTTTGGCTGTAGACATGATTTTCTACCCAATTAAATTAGGTCACTATTAATGAATATTAGATGTCATCCATTTTTTAAAACTGTGTGACATTTTATTTTGTGCAATTTGTTTTAAAACAAATTATTCAGGACTTGGTTTACATTAACTGACAGTGGATGTTAGTGCCATGAATTATGAATATGATAGGACGACTTATATTATGTATAATGGTGTATTTCATCAAGACAAGCAAGCAGGGAACACTGTCCTTGGGGACAATAAAATGATGTAATGTGGGCAGAGGTGAAAATCTAATAATTTGTTGACTGGTATTATGTTCTATTATGGCCTTAGACTGTACCAGGACAATACAGTCCACTCTGAATACAACAAAGTCTCATACAACCAAAAAGTCAGCTATTTCAAACCTACACTAGTATATTACTCATGTAGAGTTGACTCACTGGATAGAACACACTTTTTGTGCAGCTCCTGTGGAGTATTATATCAAGAGTTGACTTACTAGATATAACACACTTTTTGTGCAGCTCCTGTGAAGTATTATATCCAGGCTTGACTCACTGGATATAACACACTTTTTGTGCAGCTCCTGTGGAGTGTTATATCCTGTGTTGTCTAACTGTGGATATAACAAGCTGATTGTGAAGAGTTATATCCAGATTCAGCTGGATTATGTTTCAAGGTTTGTCAGTACCATCCCTATGCACTGTGGCTTCACCAAAGTGGTAAACGTCTAAGGCCTGGACCCCTTAGCCCACATCAATAACTCAAGTACTGTTCAAAGCAGCGCTAAACCAAAATCACTCATTCACTCGTATGTTGTTCGTGAATCCAAGATTGTTGTTGAACATATATTGTTACTACAGTCTTTCCTTGCAATGTCTGAATGTATATTTATTGGTAATAAAGAATGTTTTCAACATGTTTAATGTGGTTTGCCCAACTTTACTGTCAGTTGTCATCTTCAGCTAGCACTAGGAGCAGTGGAGTAGCCTAGTGGGTAAGGTGTCCACTCATTACACTGAAGGCCCAGGTTCGAATCCCCACATGGGTACAAAATGTAAAGCCCAATGCTGGTTCCCTAGAAATATTCCTGGAAAATTTCTAAAAGTGTCCTAAAACCCACACTCCTTGGCAACAAAGATTGATGGGCTGACAAAGGTAGAAGTTGAACGATTTTAAAATTAATGAATAGTTGCAAAATTGGTTTGTTTGTTTGTTTGTTTAATGACGAAGTAAGCAGTATTCAAATCTGGCACAGACAAACCAGTGGTTGATATTATAAGCAACAACCCACGCCATCAGGGTACGCTACACAGAATCAACAATGTCACCGAGCCTCAGCAACTCCAACTTAGTCGCTCCAACAACCAGCAATAGAATGCTGAGGACATATTGGAGACAAAATTTGTAAAGACTGGTGACAAAAAGTACAGAAGACATGAGCAAACGCTTAACTATTAGTACTGAAATAATCACAAAAGAGAGAATGCTTAGAATAAAATATATTTTTTTCCTTTGATTTGAGAGAAAACAATCCTACATATACTTTTCACATCATTACACTCAACCTAGTACATATCACAGTCGGAACAGTCACTACACCAGATGTTTCAGGAATAATCCGAATGTAGATTTAAACAGGGGGATGTTGAGTGAGACTGGGAATATTCACAAGCATCTGGTGTACAAAATGAGGAACTAATTCAACACATGTAAAGAACAGTCACCACATCAGCTCTGGTCTGTTATGTATGATGCAAGATCGTCATCACTTTAGTCCTGGTTGTCACATATATATGATGCAAGATCGTCATCACTTTAGCCCTGGTTGTCACATATATGATGGCAAATCTTCATCACTTTAGCTGTGGTTGTCACATATATGGCAAATCTTCATTACTTTAGCCCTGGTTGTCACATATATGATGGCAAATCTTCATCACTTAAGCCGTGGTTGTCACATATATGATGGCAAATCTTCATCACTTTAGCCCTGGTTGTCATATATATGTGATGGCAAATCTTCATCACTTTAGCACTGGTTGTCACATATATGATGGCAAATCTTCATAACTTTAGCCCTGGTTGTCATATATATATGATGGCAAATCTTCATCACTTTAGCACTGGTTGTCACATATATGATGGCAAATCTTCATCACTTAAGCTGTGGTTCTCACATATATGATGGCCAATCTTCATCACTCAAGCTGCGGTTGTCACATATATGATGGCAAATCTTCATCACTGGAGTTAATCTTGTCATCCAGAAAAACTTCCGGATCTAACAAGTGAGAGCGTCGTGGCCGCTTATTCTTCTTACATTCTGTGCTGAGCGTGTTCACAGAACATTCGGATAATACAAAGTCTTCAGTGAGGAGAATATCCTGACCAACCCCAGAACCAGCACCATCAGCAACAGCCATGTTGTCATTCACAGGGACATCTTGTGGAGTCAGAATCTCAACACTTTTTCCTGAACTGTCCATACCTTGCCCTGAAATACATCACATCATATTACCAACAGATGCAGCAATCTGGAAGGAAGAGGGTTTCCAAAAGAGGTCAGGATGTCTGGTTGAGTGAGTGATGTGCAATACTGCTCTCACTTCATGAGTGAGTTTGGTGTGACACTGTACTGAACAGTACTTCAGTTATATAACAGTGTGTCAGCTTGAGGGAGGAAAGCCTGAAGTGATGCAGGTCTTAGATGTTTACCACTCTGGCGAAACCCAGGGGTATAGGTATGGTGCTGACAGACCTAACCATGATGAACAGGGATTTAAACCCACGCCGCAGGGACCCAACTCTTGTACAGCGACCTGCTGTGTATCAGTCAACTGGGCCACCTGTCCCATCACTTCATATCAGGGAACAACAACTGTTTGCATTTCGAAAAACATGCAGGCAGCTAAACCTAGGCCCTAGAAGACAAGAGTCTGATATCCACAACAACACCCTACTGCTGCTTTGGGGATGGCTTTCTTTATCAAAGCTGGACTATTATTGTTATCAATCTGTATGACTCCGTACACCCACCTGACAGAGACATGGGGGGGCTGTCCTCCTCCTTGCATCTCTTCCTCTTCCTACTCGTCCTTTTCTTCCTGCCCTGCCCCGCGCTCTCACTGCCTGGCCCCTCCTGAGAGGACCCGGTTAATGCCTGACCTTGTCTCTCCTCCACCAACGCAGCCAGCTCGACTGTGGCTGTGGAAGACATCTGCAGACCTCCGGGATAATCTGCAGTCAGTGAAATGCCTGCTGTCATCATGTTCTCTTCACATGTTTGAGGATCCAAGACAGCAGCAAGACATATTCAAATACTCAGATTGATTTGGCTTGATACACACACTGACATGAGACATTTTCACATACTAGTATCTCTTGATACAATGCCACATCTACATGACTGTATTGGCTTGATTCACACACTGACATGAGACATTTTCACATACTAGTATCTCTTGATACAATGCCACATCTACATGACTGTATTGGCTTGATTCACACACTGACATGAGACATTTTCACATACTAGTATCTCTTGATACAATGCCACATCTACATGACTGTATTGGCTTGATACACACACTGACATGAGACATTTTCACATACTAGTATCTCTTGATACAATGCCACATCTACATGACTGTATTGGCTTGATTCACACACTGACATGAGACATTTTCACATACTAGTATCTCTTGATACAATGCCACATCTACATGACTGTATTGGCTTGATTCACACACTGACATGAGACATTTTCACATACTAGTATCTCTTGATACAATGCCACATCTACATGACTGTATTGGCTTGATTCACACACTGACATGAGACATTTTCACATACTAGTATCTCTTGATACAATGCCACATCTACATGACTGTATTGGCTTGATACACACACTGACATGAGACATTTTCACATACTAGTATCTCTTGATACAATGCCACATCTACATGACTATATTGGCTTGATTCACACACTGACATGAGACATTTTCACATACTAGTATCTCTTGATACAATGCCACATCTACATGACTGTATTGGCTTGATACACACACTGACATGAGACATTTTCACATACGAGTATCTCTTGATACAATGCCACATCTACATGACTGTATTGGCTTGATTCACACACTGACATGAGACATTTTCACATACGAATTTCTCTTGATACAATGCCACATCTACATGGCTGTATTGGCTTGATTCACACACTGACATGAGACATTTTCACATACTAGTATCTCTTGATACAATGCCACATCTACATGACTGTATTGGCTTGATACACACACTGACATGAGACACATTTACTTCGAGGCTCACATTTTGTCCTAGAATAAATTCAATACGATGAAAGATATGAACGTCACAAGGAATAAGAAAGACATGCACATAGACTAATAAAAGTATGCTTGACACATTGACTTTGAAAGATATGACAGGTACATGGACTGTGAAAGATATGACAGGCACAAGGAGTATGAGGAAGGTGTGAGATGGTATTTTGGAACTGTTGTATACCTCTACAGATCTGTATGACACGAGACCACAGTTTGTTGCGAGACAGGTTCTTCTGATGGCCCACGATCAGCAGGTGATGTCTGGCCCGTGTGAGTGCCACGTTCGCTCTCCTGACAACACATTACTGTAACAGTCACTCAAACACACTACATATAATACAGTTACATGTAACCTTGCTGAGCCATGTGGAACTTATCAGCTAAATGATGATGATGATGATGATGATGAAGAAAAGTGCAAAAGCAACACCCTAAAGCTTGCTCAAAGCGCTACATTATTACCCCGGTCGATGAATGAGTGTGCACTCAATTTTCATTCTCAACTTCCTGGGGAGTATACAACTAAATCAACACAAAAGACATAAATTCATTTTTTAAGGTAAGGTTATTTTTCTTTGCCAAATAACAGCAATACCAATGTTTTATTCTTATCAAAGAGATGTCCAAATGAAAAAGCATGGATTTTTAGCAACAACATTTGATGAACATGTCCTTTTGTTTTTTTAAAATATCCTATTTTTGATATTGTTGAAACAGCCATACTTGTCACTGTCTATGAAGCCAATGTTGTTGGTGCGGACACAGGAGAGGATGATGATGTCCTTCTCACCGCCCTGAAAGGCATCCACCGTGGACACCTGGACACACTTGAGCTGCTTGTTGACGGCGGGGCTGGGAGGCACAAACACACCTATCAGCAACTACATTGTAGTATTTCTACCATCTCAGCGACTAACAGGATCGGGTGGTCAGGCTCGCTGACTTGGTTGAACATATCCCAATTGCTTAGATCGATGATCATGATCTTAATCACTGGATTGTCTGGTCCAGATTTGATTATTTACAGACCGCCATCATATAGCTGGAATATTGCTGAGTGTGGCGTTAAACAACAAACGATTATCTACCATCTCAGTAGGGTAGATTCATGGTTGAAGCATAGGTTGTCACGCTGAAGGCCCAGGTTTGAATATCCACATGGGTACAATGTGTGAAACGCACTTCTAGTCTCCCTGCCATGATTTTACTTGATTGGTATTAGGGCTGGGACAGGTAACTCTTGTACTCGGGTTGGGTGGGTACTGAGAAGGACCCGGGTACCCACAGGACAACCCGGAGCCGTGGCTAGTCATGTGATATATTGTTTTAATAGTGACAAACTTATCTAGAACTCTATGGTTACACTACAAGTCACCAATGTTCGCATTTCTTGGTGACTATGCACCTATTCCTCCTGACTTTTATATGTTTGAAAAAAGATAAGCCTTAGTCAACTTCAGTGTATGCATGACCAGGGCCCACTTGCACAAAGCGATCTTAGTGCTAAGAGGATCGTAACTCCCATACTTAGCGCTAAGATCGCTTTGTGCAAGTGGGCCCAGATCTTTTTATACATTTTGCCAGGGCTGTGGTCAAACTATTCAAAATCCGACATTTTGTACCTATCACTTGAGACCTACAGTGAGTGAGTGAGTGAGTATGGTTTTACGCCGCTTTTAGCAATATTCCAGCAATATCACGGCGGGGGACACCAGAAATGGGCTTCACACATTGTACCCATGTCGGGAATCGAACCCGGGTTTTCGGCGTGACGAGCGAACGCTTTAACCACTAGGCTACCCGACCGCCCCTTGAGACCTACAGCGGGTACCCGGGTAGGGTCGGTAATAGGAGAGTGGGTATGTGGGTAGTAAATTTGGACTCGTCCCAGCACTAATTGGTATAAATGTTGTAAAACCATACTCACACACTCACTCACACTACCTTCTTGTTTCCTTGCAACTGCATACAATGTTTAAACCCCTGTTAAACTCCACACAATATGTAAACCTTCCCATTGTAAGCTAAAATAAGTAATTATGAATTGATTATTAATTTTTGTGACAATGGCTGAAACATGGTCAAAATCTAGTTAAAATTGCAGGCAATGCAGGCAATGCAGGCAATAATATATTTCATTGAATTATATTGATGGAACTTTTGGTGAAAATACTGTTAAGATTCCACCAAATTCATAATGTTTGGGATCTCTGCATTTATTCGCCTTTTACAAGAATATGTTCCTGGAGACCTATTTTAACTGAGAATCCCTGCAGGGCTATGAAACAGAATTACTTGTCTGTGTGTAGACTTGTGATGATCTTGTACATCTGAGCCTTGTAGAGCGTGATGACCCCGATACTCCCGGCCTCCACCCCCTCCATCACCAGGGCATGGATCAGCAGCACCACCAGCCTGGCCTCACTCTCGTTGTAGTAGCTCCCCGAGCCGTCCGTCACTTCCTGGCCCCCCACCTCATCGTAGAAACTCAGGGTTGGGAACACAGGCTGGAACAAGAGGACAACAAGTCTTTAAAAACTAGGGACACAATGAAAGAGGAAACACTTATTACCATTTGATATACTTTGCCTTCTTTATCTTGTAAATGTCACTGCATGTCAGCTGTGGCAGGAAGGACAAAAGTGATGACAAGGTGGTTACCACTTAATGAAACCCACAAGCAAGGATCATAATTAGGGTGACACTGGGATCCTAAACTATGATCCTGGCAGGGCAAAGGGAGACAACCCCTTAACCACTGTGCCAGCAGTGCCCCGGAATATTTACACTAATATCGGTAATAATTGCACACTTTTCTTTTGAGTAATATATTTGTCATAACGATTCAAAGATAAACAAAGGTACATTCTGCAATGATATTGCTCTTGTAAACAGATCATGTGGATTGTACAACTCACGGATAGTGGCTGTCTGCTGTCCTCTGTCACTCCATCACACAGTTGGCCACTGTAGAACAAGGTGTTGGCGATGCCACTGATTCGCGGGTGACAGCGGTACTGAGTTCGCAGCTGCACAGGACAGTAGTCCTAGCAACAGGAGGGGAAGGTTGGTCATGTCATGTTATGTTATATTGTTTGTTTGTTTGTTTGTTGTTTAACCCGACACTCAGCAATATTACAGCTATATGATGGCAGTCTGTACATAATCAAATCTGGACCAGACAATCCAGTGATTGACATCATGAACATTGATCCACGCAACTGGGATGATGACATGCATCAACCAAGTCAGCAAGCCTGGCCACCCAATCCCATTAGTTGCCTCTTACAGCAAACATGGGTTGCTAAAGACCTATTCTGACCCAGATCTTCACGGGTGGTCATGTTATATATTAAGGATGTTGCTGAGGTACCCAAAGCACTCTCATGTCAGGGTGTAGGGCTACATAAGGCTAATTAAGTCTTAAAGAGGGACTATGGTCAATGATCTGGTGCTCTATATGTTGTAATGAAACTCTGCGTCTGTGTAACAAAGGTCATCGTTAGCTACTGGACTGACTTGAATCCATCTTGCTAGGAGAGACAACTGGCCCAGCTTTGCCTTTCTTTAACAAATGTTGTACATATGGAACATTTACGACAGAATGCATCACTTGAGTTTTATATACACATATAAGCCTGTCCTGGTATTGGTAAATGAAATGGTAAGGCCAGAATAAATTCAACATTAGATTTTTATCTCAATTTAAAAAAACATAAGGCGAGAGGCATTTTGTTTTTTTATATCTGTTACCTACCAGCTTCATCAACCGGTCAAACAAAGTTTGTTCCAAGCCATCACTGTGGGCTGCCTCAGAGCCTTGTATAGTCGGGTCAAGTTGCTGAACAAACAAGGGAAATATTTCTTCATTATACCTGGATGTTAAATAAAGGTTCAACATACATCAAACATTGTCACTGGTTTGTATTTATAAAATCTGTTCCTCAATCGATCATTTACAATACGTAAGTGAGGGAGTTTTAACACCATTTTCAACTGTATTTCAGTGTCACATCCTCATTTATCCATGGGTAACATATCTATTTTGATAAATACACTGGACCCATCATAGACATCACCTATTGCACATTGTACATAGAAGTCTCGAGTTCAGTGGAGTAATTTGACAGGGATGCTACTTGCAGCGTTGGGCACACAAACTGAGCCAAACAAAGCGGTGCTGACCAATGGGTCCGGGGTGCTTACATCAGCATGTAGATACAACTCAATGAATATATGAAGGCTGACCGGAACTGCAGGGTTGATGACCATACCTTGGGGTCCCCCACCAGCACCAGCTTCTCACAGCTGAACCGGGCTATCGGCAGCAGGGACGATGGCTCTGTCATCTGGCTGCACTCGTCAAGCACCACAAACTACAACCAAACATAAACATAGGTCTAGGATAGTAATTACTTGGTTCTTCAAAAATTTAACTGTAGAATTTCGCTGTCCACATTCTTCAATCAGTTATCAAGGCTGAGTTCTTAAGCTGTTCAAATTTGTTACAGTCGGAAGTATAGTCAATTCAAAACATCATGTAAAAGTGTCCTGGTTAATGTAATCCATCCTGCCACTATATCTTCATGTATTGACAGAGCAATGGAGTTATATTTACGTTTATATTAACACAATAATTTTTGTACGAAAATAATTAACAAATCTGGACTAAGTTCTTGTTAAAATTATTAGTGTAGTGTCCATGACCCATTCAAAAACATACTCTAACTCAAAAGACTGGAAATACCACTAGCGAATCAGCAAAACAAGTTATTCTATTATTCAGGTTAAAGCAGATTTTAGCAATTGCAATACGATGTAGACACCCTGCCTCCTCCGAGGATTGCTCAAGATCCTTTGTGACTAATGTATACACTTACTGGGAAGTGCATGTTGTGGAGGCAGTTGAAGCTGCAGGCCGCACACGTTGCCCCCACCACTCGCACTCCGCCCAGTTTCTGTGAGAAAGACATGAGCCAGTTTATATACTCACCGCCAAAAGAAAAAAGAACATAATACATGGTGGTTAATTTATGAAGAATTACTCATACTCAAAGAGATATCAGATTTGTTTGATGCACAAATGAACATACTGGTATGTTGTGTGAACCGATGCTCATGAACCCACCCCCCTCAGATGCATGACTCGAGATGCACCAACTGTCTTGTGCAGGATTACTGTGTGAAGTTTGGAAATCATGACTGATTGTTAGTTTTGTCATTAAGTGGTACACTTTGGAAACATCTCTTCTAAATGTGCATTCTTTTCTATATGTTTCAATGGTTCACGTTTCTTTTGGCAGTGAGTATATTTGTGGCTGGAGGGGAGCGGGGAAAGAAGAGAGGGGGGCCTTTGATTTTTGTTTGAGAGAATATATTTTCAGTCCGCGCTACAAGACATACAATGACTTGCTATGACAGGAGAAGCCAAATTATTTTGAGATCCACAACACATCCATCATGTCCCGATCCAGTGAATGTTTTTTTCTATTATAAAGGCTGAGGACAAATTACTCTTTCCAAGCATTTTGGGGAACAGAAGAATATTTGTCTTAAAAAGTCCCAGAAGTGCAGTGCCATCTCTCAATATTTCACACATCACTTCCAAATAATGTATATATTTCATACTTCAATGAAATATCAAAGCAGTTGGCAATTATAGGGTTAACCCATGAAGATCCGGGGTAAAATAGGTCTTCAGCAACCCATGCTTGTCGTAAAAGGCTTGTCATAAGAGGTGACTAACGGGATTAGGTTGTCAGACTCGCTGCCTTGGTTGATGCATGTCATTGTATCCCAATTGCGTGGATCGATGCTCATGATGTCAATCACTGGATTGTCTGGTCCAGACTAGAATATTTACAGATCGTCGTCATATAGCTGGAATATTGCCGAGTGCAGCATTAAACAACCAACCAACAAACAAACAAACAAAATTGTAGGATCATGATATTTCTGTACAGAGGGATGTTAAACTGTAAAAAAAACCATGCAGGACTTGTTCTACAGTGCACCAACCTTCTTGTTTTCTCCAAGTCTGTGCTTTTCTATGCTCTTACGCACCAGTCTGTGGAGAGACACAGCTACACAGTTACTTCAAACTTGACAGTTACACACTAGACGGTATGTCATGACCACAGAATTCATATTGACATATCAACTCGTCATATCATGGAAGTTATTATAAGACAAACAAGTTAAGCTTACTGTTGTTTACACATCCAAGACTGTACAGTAGTACCGTACTAAGAGAAGTGTGTAGGCCTACAAAGCAGCTGTAGATCAACAAGGGGCTATAACATGAAGGGGTTATAACATGCACCTACTGTTTGTCTCCTGCAGGGATGTCACTACGCAGCATCTCCTGCAGATCCTTCAGCTCCTGGCTGTCGGACCCCGAGGCATGGACACTGGAAGATCAGTGAGTGAGTGAGTGAGTGAGTGAGTGATTGACTGAGTGGGTGGGTGGGTGTGTTTTTGCGTGAGTGAGTGAGTGAGTTGTGGGTGGGTTTTGGAGTGAGAGGTGGGTGAGTGAGTGAGTGAGTGAGTTTGGTTGAGTGAGGCGAGTGAGAGAGTGAGTGAGTGAGTGAGTGAGTGTTGGGCATATGCACTACAGTAGTACCATGTGCAATGGGGAGGTCACACAGTCTCTGACTAAACACCACTAGACTGTGCAGCACAATCTTAATTATCTGAACCTCTAAGTCTGGTAACTTCAGGGAACTGTTGCAGCACATAGGACTTTGAACCTTCTTACAGTGTGGATAACATGCATATTTAGAAACTATGAGAATGCTAGCTAGCATTTTGCATGAATGGTGCTCAAAGTGTAGGTGATTAGGATTTTCCTTTTATACCTATATGGTAGGACAGGCTTGGCAATTTTCTTCACACTGCCAACACGAATAAAATCTTCAAATCCAAGATTGAGCAAACTGAAATAAATAGTTGAGACCATCGTCAGTTCTTCACACATTTGTATACCATGTTCCTACATCTACCATGAATACATAAGGCTGGGCTGCAGTATAGTCGCAACTGTCAACCATCAACAAATCAAGCTATGGTTCCCAAGAGAGTAACACCAGCGAGTTCTGTGGACAGTGAGCACACAGATCACATCACACTAACAGCGATATGTCTGCTGAAACATGTGCCACAGACCTGCAGCCATCTACTTTACAAATCATATCTTTAAGTGGCATTTAGAAGTTGGTATGATAAACAAGGGATAGTTCTATGGATATACAACTCACTATAATAAAGAAAGTTGTGAATCCATACAACTATCTCCCTTGTTTACTTTACATATTGCTTCAATATAACACAACAGTCGGGTTCTCACTAAATTTATGCAAAGAGTAGCACTCTTTGGGAGTGAGTGAGTGAGTATGGTTTTACGCCGCTTTTAGCAATATTCCAGCAATATCACGGCAGGGGACACAAGAAATGGGCTTCACAATTTGTACCCATGTCGGGAATCGAACCCGGGTCTTCGGCGTGATGAGCGAACGCTTTAACCACTAGGCTACCTGACCGCCCCTGCACTCTTTGGGCTTCAATGAGTTATATACAGTAATTGTACAGAAGGAAGAGATTTTATGGATGTCAGCTTCTTTATTATGAGGAACACAACATTTCGGTGTATATGCTTACTCCCTCATCAGGCAATGTCATTTCACCTGATGAAGGAGTAAGCATATACTCTGAAACGGGGGGTGTTCCTCATAATAAAGAAGTTGACATCCATAAATTTTCTTCCTTATGGGTATCACATCTAAATGCCTTTCAAAGACTTAGTAATTGTACAATTATCAAAACTATGATGAATCATGACTGGACATAACTAGTGAGCGACTGATTTGAAAACTCTTAGATCAAGTGATTGACTACGATCCAATGCCTGTGAAAATGTTATATTTGGTGTAAGAAATATATGGCCTTTAGATCCATATTGTTGAGAAATGGTGTACCTGTCACATGGTAGCCTGGGGTTTTCAAATTGAAAGAATATCACCATGTAAGTTAATTCTGGCAGTAATCAGCACTGTTGTGCAAAGACTATCAAAGTTTTGTACACACCCCATGAGCACTCTGTCCACTGCCACGTTGGTTGTTGAGGAGATGAGCAGTTTCCATGGAAACGGGACATCAGGTGAGTATGAGTCATTTTTGTCAAACACATCCACAAGAAACCTGATGATGACAGACAGCAGGAAGCTCTTCCCAGCCCCAAACACACCTGACATAAAGGATGTCTCACATTATACACGACATCTCAACAACAGAAGTCACCTTATGACACAGCAGGAAGCTCTTACCAGCCCCAAACACACCTGACATAAAGGATGTCTCACATTATACACGACATCTCAACTACAGAAGTCACCTTATGACACAGCAGGAAGCTCTTCCCAGCCCCAAACACACCTGACATAAAGGATGTCTCACATTATACATGACATCTCTACTACAGAAGTCACCTTATGACACAGCAGGAAGCTCTTCCCAGCCCCAAACACACCTGACATAAAGGATGTCTCACATTATACATGACATCTCTACTACAGAAGTCACCTTATGACACAGCAGGAAGCTCTTCCCAGCCCCAAACACACCTGACATAAAGGATGTCTCACATTATACACAACATCTCTACTACAGATGTCACCTTATGACACAGCAGGAAGCTCTTACTCATATTATGTATAATTGCCATCATCAATGGTTAACTGTTGTCTGTGAATTTGTACTGACCATGAATCAACAGGACAGGTTCCGAGGAGGCAGCATCTTTGTTCATCATGGCTGCCACTCTCATCAGGGCCTCTGACTGGTCCTTGTTCAGCTTGAACTGATTCAGGTAGTCCTCGGCCAGCTTTATCTGAAGCACAAAGCATAAAGCCAGCTCCTTTAGAGTGAGTGAGTGAGTGAGTGAGTATTGTTTTATGCCACTTTTAGCAATATTCCAGCAATATCACAGTGGGGAACACCAGAAATGGGCTTCACAGCCCCTTTAGACATCCACAAGCGTCACCCTTATAAGTTACATGTTTCTGTAGCGGAAAGCGGTTAGCAACATAGCAGCATTAGCAACTATTGTGGACAATCATGTTGCAAAAAATAAGCAGAGTAAGTCCGATGAAACAGATAAACGAACACATGCAATATATTTGCATTTAGTTCTCCTTTATTCCATCACCTCTAGTTAGCCATTCACGCACCATCTCTCTTCAAGTGTGCATGTTTTTGCTGTATCTAATGGCTTTTCCGCCCCCACCCCCGTCCAGTTTCTCTTTCCTATCTCATCCTGTAGTTGTGCATTTCATTTTCAATTTTAACTCCTTCTTTTCTTCAGTGAGCATTTATTTCAGGTAACAGCAGAGCAGCTTGTATATATGTAAATAAACCTGTACATATGTAAAATGGGTTCAGCAATGCTTGTGTATATTAATGAATATGTTTTCAGGATGCTTGCATATATGTAAATAAACATGTCTTACCAATACCTGTATATAAGTGAAGGTCTGCTTCAACAATAAACAATCTCGAAGTGTCCATGTACATGGGCTACCCTGCTTGTAACAAATTAACTTGCTTCCAAATTACTACTCACGATTAAGGCTACTTGCTTTTCAGCGGAAACCTTTCCGTGGTTACCTGCTTCTCAGTGGGAACTTGTCTTTCCTAACTTTTCAGACGTAGAATCGTAAAATAGCTTACATTGGGCAACCAATTGCCACATATACTGAACCACAAAAGAAACATCACCCCAAGTAACATTGCATGAAAAGTTATCATTTAAATATCTGGGTAATTTTTGTCAAAGTTTCAAAAATGTAACATTACCTTGTCCGGAAAAATGAGATTTGATGAAAAAAACCAAAGCAGATCCAATAAAACTGATCATCCAAACGCATCACAGCAACGGCCATGGTAACCCGATGCAAGTGAGTTCCGTGCAAATTGAAATGCATATGCGTTACCCAATTTCTTGCCCTATAAAAATCCACCCCGATCGCATAACATTCATTCCTTATTGAATTGCTACCACATGCCAAGATTGACAAGAAATCAGCGACACCAAGCCCTTGGACGATTGCAAGCTGGACAAAGCGCCCAGCAAGTAGCCAATGCATTTCAAGTCCACATAAGGACCACACACAGGCTCCAGCAACAGTACCAGACGTAGTGAAAGACCAAGGGTAAACACCCGACATCAGGATCGTCAGATTGTGTGACAGCATCTTCAAGATCGCTTTGTTACTGCTGCGGAAACTGCTCGACAGACGACGGGGACACATCAGCGACACATTAGAGCGGAAATTGTGCTTCGACGATTGACGAGCAGACACCTCCACTGTCACAGGCCACACCAAGTACACCCATTCTGACACCACGTCATCGCTGGGACTGTTTTCAGTGGGCAAGACAACACCAGCATTGGCGCCACCAGCAGTGGAGAAGAGTCCTCTTCTCAGACGAGACCCGTTACTGTACATGGCAACAGCAGATGGCAGAGAGAGAGAGTCTGGCGGTACATTGTTCAAGTCTTTTGGCACGTCGCCGCAACCAGGAAATTCATCATGATAACGCCGGTGCCCACACTGCGAGAGCAACAAGAGATTTCCTCCAGCAGAATGGCATCAGAACCATGCAGTGGGCAGCACTCAGTCCAGATTTAAATCTTATTGAGCACCTGTGGGACAAGATTCAAAGGCTGAATACGTCCGACCAAGGCCGACAACTGCGTCAGGCGTTCCTCAGAGTGTTGGCTCAAGTGCTTATGGCCTTCATCAACCGCCTCATCCATTCCATGTATCGACGTTGCATGGCAGTCATCAATGCACATGGCGGGCACACAAGATACTGACTTGTGATGCCATTTTCTCAGACTAGTGTTTCACTTTAAGAACATTTGACACTTTAATTTCAATCTTGATGATCAGTTTTGCCAAGTTTCATCTTTTTAATGTCTCAAAGTATGTTAACAGTGTTTGGACATATAAGGTTTCTCATATATCTATCCATGGTGACGTTACTTGTGCTGTTCAGTATGTACTGGCCTGGCGCCAAAATGAAAGTCAGGCCAATACCCATCACAAGTGACAGACTTATTTTTGGTGGAATATGTTCTGTAACAATCAAATGTGACTTTTGACCGCCATCTGACTTTCAGTGTGGTAACTCAAAGCACAAACCTGGATCAATGACCAGATGGCAAGCCGACATGTTTAGGATGTCACAAGACCGTGCTAATGAGAGATATATATCAGTTAGGGAGAACATGTATTCAGTAATGACATTACTTCATGCCACTGAACATTAAATGCAATGTTCAACATGAAGGGAAGAGGGTCCTTCAGGTTTGCTCCTGTAGAAATGAACCAAGGCACCCCTAAATCTTTTACTTCTAACATTAGGGCTATGACAAAGACCGCTTTACTTTCATCCCTAATATTGGACCTGAAATTTGTTCTGTGATTTACTTGATATTCTTTTGACATAAGATTTGTAGAAGTGGTTGAGTGCAATCAGCGTTATTAATTCTGGCTACATTATATCAGATATTAGGAAACTAAAATCTTGTGTGAGTGAATTTTGTTTTAACTCTGCAGTCAGCAGTCTTCTCAGGGCAGCCTATACACGTGCACTGGCAGCAGGAGCAATGAGTGAGTGAGTGACTATGGTTTAACGCCGCTTTTAGCAATATTCCAGCAGTAACACGGCGGGGGACAGCAATATGGGCTTCAGACATTGTACCCATGTCGGGAATCGAACCCGGGTCTTCGGCATGACGAGCGAAGGCTTTAAAGCATGAGCAATGACCATAATAATGTGTATATCTATAACTTACTATAAAGTTGCCAGGGGTGCACAGCCTGGTGTGGGAGGGGGCTGCCACTCCGTGTCGGCGATTGTCTTCAACCCTGTTACATTGAAATAAAAAGTTATCATTAACACTTGTAGGTGATGTATATCACATATATCAGTACAAACAAATCAGATCAGTGGATTTATAATGCGCCAGATTCTATTCACCAAGTGGATGCTGACAGCGCTACACTATTATTACCCCGGTCAATGGATCAGTGTGCACTCGATTTTCATTCTCAGCTCCCTGGGGAGTATACAACCCAAAGCTGCCTGTGAGGCGCTAGAAGGTTAACAGCCACATTACCATCTCATCCTACCGGGTACCCACTCACTGCTGGGTGAACAGAGGCACGTTACGAACAAAGTCACTTGCCTAAGGAGACCCCACATGTGGTACATGTGCTTCAGTGTGGGGCAGGCCCGAAGCCTTAGAAACTCTCAGGAGTCAAGCTGCTGAACAATAAATGGGCTTGCTGAACAATGAGGTGAGGTGAAATGGGGTTTAACGTTGCATCCTAGATTATTGCACTTATATAGCGACGGCATGTACGTGTATGTGTGTTTGTGTGGCTGCTTGTACTAGTCCGGACTGATGCCGATTTATAGTGCTAGCTCACTGAGATACCATGCCACAGTTTAACATGAATACCCCACTCAGACACAGTATACTCTGAGCCGACCAGTCCTTGTTTTAGCCCCTTAATGCCGAGCACCAGACAGGGTAACAACAAGTACCATCTTTTAACGTCTTTTGGTATGACGCGGTCGGGGATCGAACCCCGGACCTTCCGCTCTCCAGGCGGACGCTCTACCACTAGACCACGGAGGCGGTCCGCTGAACAATGAAGACAAATAACTACAGATGAGAATAACTGAGAACATGCATCATTGATTTATACGTGGAATAATTATTGCAGTTATTTGTGATATATTGATATTCAGTCATCACAAAATAAGTTCATATCCTTCATTTTATGATCAATGAAAATTCGAGCAGACCACTGGACGTGCATGTTGCAAAAGTTGACTGAGACAAAAACATCCATCTCGGAATGTCAGGCAGACGGGTATGTTATACACTGCCTATATGCAGATAGAACAACAGTAAAATAATTACTATCATGATTGTATTTAAATGAGAGATTCCAGGGTTTCTTGGAAACGTATGGGAGGTGCTGGTAGTATTGATAGGAATGATAGATATGAGGGCTGGGACGAGTCCAAATTTACTACACGGGTACCAACACCTCTATTACCCGACCCTACCCGGGTACCCGCTGTTGGTATCAAGAGATAGGTACAAAATGTCCGATTGAGAATATTTTGACAGCAGCCGTGGCAAAATGTATTTAGATACATGTATAAAACGATGTGTTCATGCATACACTGAAGTTGACTGAAGTTTTATCTTTGTTCAAACATATGTAAGTCAGAAGGAATGCGTTCATAGCCATGAAGAAATGTGAACATTAGAGACTTCAAGTTGTTGTGTAACCATGTAGTTATAGTGAATTTGTGTCATGAAACAATATATCATGTGACTAGCTTCGGGTCCGGGTATTCCTGTGGGTACCCGTGTCCTACGCGACCCGAGTTACCGAGTTACCCGTCCCAGCCCTAATAGATATGCTTGGTCGCCTGTACTTTCTTTAGGATTGTATCAAAACGTGTGAGGATGAAGAATATATATTCATATTTCTGGCTCGCCCAGGCAACAGACCAACTAACTGTTCTATTACTCAGAGATTCAATAGGTCTGATTTTAAGTAGATTCAAAGTGTGTGTTTAATGTGTGTTTCTGAAAAGTTGAGAAACATTCTTTAGGGCTCGAGATGGCAGTCTGTGAAGACTGAAAGAGGTGTGTGTATGTTTGTTCATAAAACAATATATCCAGTGAATAAACAATAACAGCAGACAAGGTCACTGTTGAGCTGATTCACTTTAATCCTCAAACTGCTGGGCCCATGCCACTGATACATCACAAAGATTTATCTAGAATTCCAAACTTAGTACCCTTGGAAAGCAAATTCGAACAAATATTGTTATTGTGATTAAAATTAGTTTGCTATCATAGTCATAGGTATTTTTGCATTGAAATTGCCATTATGTAACTCTGCATTAAGGCCTCTTCCACTTTATTAGTCCTGTTATCAGTGAATCACATATCACCTCTGATGAGCCAGAACATTTATTATCACAACAATATCAGGAGTTGGGCAATTGTCTATTCCAATTTGGGAGCTCCAACTGACATTTGCAGCAGACGTCCTACCTGTTCAGGATGTAGGGCAGTACAGGCAGACATGACAGCTGTATGTGTTCTTCCAGGTTCCCCAGGCACGACAGTTCCGTCGATGCATTCCCCGCCAACATGGCATGACATTCACCTACAGGAGATACAACATTGTATATATGTACCAACTTGGTAGACATGCTCCCCATCAACATGGCATGACATTCACCTTCAGGAGATACAACATTGTATATAGGTACCAACTTGATAGACACGCTCCCCATCAACATGGCATGACATTCACCTACAGGAGATACAACATTGTATATATGTACCAACTTGATAGACACGCTCCCCATCAACATGGCATGACATTCACCTACAGGAGATACAACATTGTATATATGTACCAACTTGGTAGACATGCTCCCCATCAACATGGCATGACATTCACCTACAGGAGATACAACATTGTATATATGTACCAACTTGGTAGACATGCTCCCCATCAACATGGCATGACATTCACCTACAGGAGATACAACATTGTATATATGTACCAACTTTATAGACATGCTCCCCATCAACATGGCATGACATTCACCTACAGGAGATACAACATTGTATATATGTACCAACTTTATAGACATGCTCCCCATCAACATGGCATGACATTCACCTACAGGAGATACAACATTGTATATATGTACCAACTTGGTAGACATGCTCCCCATCAACATGGCATGACATTCACCTACAGGAGATACAACATTGTATATATGTACCAACTTGGTAGACATGCTCCCCATCAACATGGCATGACATTCACCTTCAGGAGATACAACATTGTATATAGGTACCAACTTGATAGACACGCTCCCCATCAACATGGCATGACATTCACCTACAGGAGATACAACATTGTATATATGTACCAACTTGATAGACACGCTCCCCATCAACATGGCATGACATTCACCTACAGGAGATACAACATTGTATATATGTACCAACTCGATAGACACATTCCCCACCACTACTGCATGGCATTCACATACTGGGCAAACAATTTTGTATCTCTTAAACACAGTAGTAGTGAGCAGTGAATATTGATGCACATATCAAACTTCCACCAGGTTATCATAAGAACTCTCAGACTGAACAAGATAGTGACTCACAGTTGTTGGTCCAGTTGGAGGGGGAGAAGCCAGATATCGGGTCTATTTCGACCTCATTGTTGGAGTTTGGACCGAAGTAGACGCTGCGAGCAACGAATGTCTTCCCTGGTTCAAACATCAGTGACTGCGAGACTACCCATAAGTCATCTGGAGGAACAGAAAGCAGGTTACATGGAAGTGGATTGGATTGGAGTGGATTGGAGTGGATTGGAGTGGATTGGAGTGGAGTGGAGTGGAGTGGAGTGGAGTGGAGTGGAGTGGAGTGGAGTGGAGTGGAGTGGAGTGGCATGAGGGAGGGGTAGAAGGGGTGGGGAGGGGAGAGAAAGAGAGAGAGAAGAGTGAATAATCCATGATGCAGTCACCAATATTCCAGTCATATCATAGCTTATAAATAATTGGGACAGACAGCCATATTGATTCTACCCAAGAATCCCCGTGGGGGCCAGGGTAAATGTAAAACACTGAATCAAAGGTTAGATATTGAATGGACATTCTAGGCAGTTGCCAAGCAACCAGTTACATGCCATACATCATCTTAATCTTGGGTGTATTGAAGAGTCACAGATGGTTGCTTTGAAGCAACAGCTATGAATGACAAACAACTATGATGCACACACCTTTAGCATAGTAGGACGATGCATCCTTCTTGCTGAGCCTGATGTACGTACTCTTCTTCCTGCTCTCCTCCTGTCTCTGTCTCACCCACGCCTGGAACCAAGCATGGAGTCAGTAGGGGCGGTTACAACCCCGCTTACAGCAGTATGTCAGTTGCAGCACTGTGTGTCAGCTAGATTGGGTAAAACCAATGACAGCAATGTGTTGTGTATTAGCAGAGCTCCAGATAAGCTTTTGGTGTTGTGGGTGTTTTACCCATGCATTTTAAAATCATTGGGTATCAGTAATTCTATATGGGTATTCAAATTTCTGTTACCCACTAGTTTTTACACATGTGGGTATTTAAGTTAAATATCTAAAAACACTATTCATCTAGTCCCTGCAAACTGGTGTCGTGTGGGTTCGAGAGCTTTATAGGACTCAAAAATACCACGATACTTCCACAAGAAAGTGTGATGGCAAATGATCATGATGTAACTGTCATCGTGGAGTTTGGCAAGGTTGACGGAATGCCCGTTTATAATTTCAAAATAAGTTGCTGATTTGCTAAATGAATACGCAGGGTTACTTCACAATATTTTGATGATACGCACAAGTTTTATTTTTGTAGCGTGTCTGTAATGTTCGTTGTGTATTTGATACGCTTGGATTTGATTTTACTGCGTATTTCTGCATTTCTGATGCGTATTTTACGCAGATACGCAGCTTATCTGGAGCTCTGTATTAGGATACATATGTGATAATTGCCAAGTTCTAAACTGATGTTGACAATCCAGACTGATTCAAATCTCTCTAAGGACACCTATGATGAGATGAAACAAAGGTTTTAGGATCTATACCATAATAGAATTGGTGTGATTTATAGGTTGGATGTAACACTGATGACTGAGAGTTCAATTTGGGTCATTGGTCATTTTACTGCTGCCCGTCTGCTCCTACATCAGTAGATAACAGTTATCTCCCTTTCATTAACAGCTTTCAGTCGTCTTGTTTCAGAGAGGTGAGGTCAAATTGGGTTTAATGTTACGTTCAAGGTTATTGCACCTAATTAGTGACATGCTTGCACATGTGTGTGTAGCTGCTTGTAGTAGTCCAGACTTTTACCGGTTTCATAGTGCTAGCCCTCTGAGATACCATGCCGCAGATTACAAGGATACCCAACTCAGAACCATTATACTGACTACCAGACCTTGCTTAATCCCATTAATGACGAGGGACAAGTAGGGTGACAAGTCCATCTTTTTCAATCTCTTGGTATCAAACCTTATTTATGAGAGAAACATTTGATAAATTATATCTTTACTAGTTATCAAAATTCATATTTTCATCAACTGATGAGTTAAAAAAACTAAATCTACCATCCTCCATTGTATCATAATCCTGTTTTTTATGATAAATACCCTGCACCCATTGGCTACCACAGCTTCCTTTTGGAAATGGCATCCCCATCTCCATCTCTCTCACGGCTAACTTAGCACGGACGTTCTCTCGCCAATAAAAGAAATGTGAGAGTGTAATCTGATTGGTCATCTAAATTTAGCATCATGCCATTCAAATAGGGCTCAAAACAATGCAATCACAGCTGGATCCTGGATATTTATAATAACAGAATAAGGATACAATACACTTGATAAACAAGAACTACACTCTTGTACTGAATTTCCAATGAAGTCTCAATTGAAAAAAATATATGGAAACTTGTCTGTGTAGGTTTTAAACAATCCCTGGAAGTTACATCTTCATGCTAGGTTTAACTTTCCAAAGGTATAACCACCTAGTGCAGGATTTTAGGTCTTACTTTTGAAAAGTAAGACTTTCCTGAGATTTACATCATAGTAAACTCACAAAAAGAGGTTATTTCTTAAATATAACAAACCTCCAGTTCAACAGTTTAGGCAAAATTTGCAATAGGTTTATAATGAATAAAAATGGACCCATACAATAGACTTTCTCCACACATTTTTGACAACTTTGTCCGCCATTTTGTTGGATATTAATATGGTCACAATGCATGTGTACTAGACATATTATATACAGGAAGCTCGTCATGACTAGTTTTGGCTTTTTTATCACAGGAATCAAGCGCTAATGTATGAATTTCATAGTCTCATTTCAAATTGTCACTTATGTAAACTTTGTCCAAAAGATGAAAATATGCATAATTTTTAAGAACACATTATATTCGGTATTTTCTTAAGTATTGTAGTATGTCTTCATAAGTATTACAAATCATGGTATAGAAGTAATACCATGCATCTCTATTGCTCATAATACCTGTGAAGATCCAGCTTAGAATAGGTCTTCAGCAACCCTTGCTTGTGGTAAGAGGCGACTAACAGGATCGTGGTCAGGCTTGCTGTGGTGTGAAGCATGTCAACGCATCCCAGTTGCGTGGATCCGATGCTCATGATATCAACTACTGGATTGTCTGGTCCAGATTCGATTATTTACAGACTGTCATCATATAGCGGGACAATTTCTGAGTGCGGCGTTAAACAACAAACCATTGCTCATAATACCACTGGTTTTCTGGTCCAATGAGGCAGATGTCATATATTGCTGAGTGCAGCAACAAACAAAACAAACAAACTTACAGGGATGCCCTTTCTGTGTTTGTTGTAGCTGTCCCTATGCTTGTGCAGATACAGACACTGACAGTAGAAGGTGACGGAGTTGCCGCGGATGTAGGCCATGATGCTGTCAGCGCTACCAAGGGTGGCTCGGGTCACGCCCGCAGCAGTTGCGGTCTTACTCCCTGTGCTGCTGGGCTGGTCCATCCACTGGAAGAACTGAGGACAGAGTCAAACAGTCAGTGGGTGGATGGGTATGTGTGAGTCAGTGTGTGTGTGGATGGGTATGTGTGAGTCAGTGTGTGTGTGGATGGGTATGTGTGAGTCAGTGTGTGTGTGGATGGGTCTACGTGAGTCAGTGTGTGGGTGGATGGGTATGTGTGAGTCAGTGTGTGTGTGGATGGGTCTACGTGAGTCAGTGGGTGGATGGATGGGTATGTGTGAGTCAGTGTGTGGGTGGATGGGTATGTGTGAGTCAGTGTGCGGGTGGATGGGTATGTTTGAGTCAGTGTGTGCAGTGTTCGAAATACCTGCCCGACCGTCCGAGACGGGTTGATTTCAACTCGGGCTGCCAGATTTTCAAATCCCCCTGCCCGACGGTCGGGTTATATTTGATATGTGAAAATATTCTAAATATTTCCCGATGATAAGCATTAATTCACATATAAAGATGAATGATAAAATGTAACCAAAAAGAAACCCCGTTAGCTTATCCTGAGAAACATATGATTATAGTGGGCAGGCAGGTTTTGGTCAGGGCTGGCAAGTATTTCAGCTAGCCAGTCCTGTGGTCTGGCTGAAATTTTGGGGAGTTTCATACCCTGGTGTGTGTGTGGATGGGTCTATTTGAGTCAGTGGGTGGATGGATGGGTATGTGTGATTCAGTGTGTGGGTGGATGGGTATGTGTGAGTCAGTGTGTGTGGATGGGTATGTGTGAGTCAGTGAGTGGGTGGATTGGTATGTGTGAGGCAGTGAGTGGGTGGATGGGTCTACGTGAGGCAGTGAGTGGGTGGATGGGTCTACGTGAGTCAGTGGGTGGATGGGTATGTGTGAGTCAGTGAGTGGGTGGATAGGTATGTGTGAGTCAGTGAGTGGGTGGATAGGTATGTGTGAGTCAGTGAGTGGGTGGATTGGTATGTGTGAGGCAGTGAGTGGGTGGATGGGTCTATGTGAGGCAGTGAGTGGGTGGATAGGTATGTGTGAGTCAGTGTGTGGGTGGATGGGTATGTGTGAGTCAGTGAGTGGGTGGATGGGTCTACATGAGTCAGTGGGTGGGTGGATGGGTATGTGTGAGTCAGTGTGTGGGTGGATGGGTATGTGTGAGTCAGTGTGCGGGTGGATGGGTATGTGTGAGTCAGTGTGTGCAGTGTTCGAAATACCTGCCCGACCGTCCGAGACGGGTTGATTTCAACTCGGGCTGCCAGATTTTCAAATCCCCCTGCCCGACGGTCGGGTTATATTTGATATGTGAAAATATTCTAAATATTTCCCGATGATAAGCATTAATTCACATATAAAGATGAATGATAAAATGTAACCAAAAAGAAACCCCGTTAGCTTATCCTGAGAAACATATGATTATAGTGGGCAGGCAGGTTTTGGTCAGGGCTGGCAAGTATTTCAGCTAGCCAGTCCTGTGGTCTGGCTGAAATTTTGGGGAGTTTCATACCCTGGTGTGTGTGTGGATGGGTCTATGTGAGTCAGTGGGTGGATGGATGGGTATGTGTGATTCAGCGTGTGGGTGGATGGGTATGTGTGAGTCAGTGTGTGTGGATGGGTATGTGTGAGTCAGTGAGTGGGTGGATTGGTATGTGTGAGGCAGTGAGTGGGTGGATGGGTCTACGTGAGGCAGTGAGTGGGTGGATGGGTCTACGTGAGTCAGTGGGTGGATAGGTATGTGTGAGTCAGTGAGTGGGTGGATAGGTATGTGTGAGTCAGTGAGTGGGTGGATAGGTATGTGTGAGTCAGTGAGTGGGTGGATTGGTATGTGTGAGGCAGTGAGTGGGTGGATGGGTCTATGTGAGTCAGTGAGTGGGTGGATAGGTATGTGTGAGTCAGTGTGTGGGTGGATGGGTATGTGTGAGTCAGTGAGTGGGTGGATGGGTCTACATGAGTCAGTGGGTGGGTGGATGGGTATGTGTGAGTCAGTGGGTGGGTGGATGGGTATGTGTGAGTCAGTAAGTGGGTGGATGGGTATGTGTGAGTCAGTGTGTGGGAGGATGGTTATGTGTGAGTCAGTGTGTAGGAGGATGGTTATGTGTGAGTCAGTGTGTGGGTGGATGGGTATGTGTGAGTCAGTGTGTGGGTGGATGGGTATGTGTGAGTCAGTGTGTGGGTGGATGGGTATGTGTGAGTCAGTGGGTGGGTGGATGGGTATGTGTGAGTCAGTAAGTGGGTGGATGGGTATGTGTGAGTCAGTGTGTGGGAGGATGGTTATGTGTGAGTCAGTGTGTGGGAGGATGGTTATGTGGAGTCAGTGTGTGGGAGGATGGTTATGTGTGAGTCAGTGTGTGTGTATGTGGATGGATCTACGTGAGTCAGTGCTTGTATGGGTCTACATGAGTCAGTGGGTGGATGGGTATGTGTGAGTCAGTGGGTGGATGAGAAGAGGTGATGGTTATTGGGTGGAGTGAGTCAGCATTATTTCTGCTACTTCATGGTGAGCTGTAAACTAATCTTGACTGAAAAACAATCAGTAATAAAAAATAGTTAGTTTGGGTAAGATGGTCTTATCTGACTTTCCTTGTCATGGCCCAATAAATATCAAAAGATAACTGAACACAGGAGCAAACTTCAAGGACCCCCAGACCCTCCTTAATTTCAAACACTGTCCATATGCAGCATCCATTGTCATCACCCAATTTACTCTCGGTCACAAAATTGCAATGTGAGGGACCCAACCTCCCTGGGATTATGCAGAACTGTCATTACCAGTGTGACTCTCAGCTGAACAAGCCTAACACAGTGGTAGACAGTGTTATATGAGAAGCGAAAGGTACCTTTTTCTTAAAGGGGGACTAGACTCAGCTCTAACAGTTAATTTACGATAAATTTTGGGGAATACTCGATTCAGATTGATTAATCAAAGCTTTCAACTCACAATAACCACCTCTGATTGAAAAAGCTGATTTGACCGCGTCACCACAGAAGATAATATCAATAGAAAAACATTGTTATTGTCAGTCATTGTCAGGAGGCATTTTAAAACAATTCTATGTACAATTATAGGCTATAAACACATAATAAAATGCACATTTGTGTTTTTTAGATTACTACCATATTCAAAGTATGTGTTGGAATTACATTTGTGCTTAAACAGTAGAAATCGACTGATGGTGAATTTCATGTTTTGGGGACATCAGATTTGGTGCTTTCCTTTAGTTGACTGATATTTTTTTTGCATTACAATGAGCGATACAATGTGTGAAATGAATTTCTAGTGTTCCCCACCATTTTTCTGGAACCATGCTCATTTAGTGTTTACCTTACCTTACACTGCTGGTTCCGAGGTGCCTCACAGGCATAGAAGAAGCATCCCTTGTTGGGTCCCTCCTTCCGGACCTGCACCAGCTTGGAGGGGATGCCACACTTACATGGAGGATTGGAGATGGCAGTGGACTTGCCAGGCAGCTTACAGCTTCCGCCTACACACACACATACAGATTATGTTTTCCTCATGCTGCACTGAAGGATCTCTCATCTCTGAACACTTAGCGCTGGACAAGTTAGGCTAACATAGGTTTCTCAGGAAGAAGAGGAAGATGTTCTGGAATGAATGCAACACTCTAGACATGCTAGATAAGGCCACCCAAGGGTGTACATCCCTATAAATACATATGTCTGTCTTTGGGCCACCCATAAAAATATTTTTAAAATGGTTCTTCTTGAATCCAGATTTTATATATAGCAAGGTGACCAGGGTTTTTTCTTCTTCCTGTTCTACACCACATTCTTCTAAAGGGGTGTGGGGTGGGGTGTGTGGGGGGGAAGTGAGTGAGTGAGTGAGTGAGTGAGTGAGTGAGTGAGTGAGTGAGTGAGTGAGTGAGTGAGTGAGTGAGAGAGAGAGAGAGAGAGAGAGAGAGAGAGAGAGAGAGAGAGAGAGAGAGAGAGTGAGAGATTAACACTTGATTCTAATGTACCATGTGACCTCTTTTGGCCATGCCCTCAGAAACTCAAGGATAAAAAAGTTGACAAAGCTGCATAGTTGCATAAAATATAAAAATAATAAGAGCTAGACAGGCCAGGAAAAACAAGCAATTTATTTTAACAAAATTCTTTTGTGTGTATGTTTTACCCTCAACATATTGGAATGAGTGATGAATCTGGCCAAGTTGAGTAATACATCAAACATCTACACAAAGAAAAGGTTGCTACATCATCATTCAAATCAAAGTGAAACTGAACATAAAATCTATACAAAACCCTCGAGAAAGCCATTAATCAGTTGAGTGTGGCAGTAGCGCCAGCGTCCATCTTACCATCTCCGGAGTACTGGGTTATGTCCACTCTGCCCAGAGCACTGTGATAAATCTTCGACAGCTCAAACAACATGATATTTAAGTGTTCTGCAAACAAGATAAAATGATTATTTACCTATAATGACACACTTTACCCAAGAGCTGTACGTTATCAATGATTTTTGATGGATGTGAATTGCAAAAAGACTTCCCCAAAGAAATATTTGAGTTAATTTCATAGTTTCAGCCACCATGGACAATTATTCTTTGTCAATGAAATGATATCACAGAGATGTGTTTGAAAATAATTATTATTTCCACTAGTCTGCAAAAAAGCTCAGCTACAGAGCGTCTATCTACCTCAATCTGTGGGGATTCCGAGTAAGAATACAGGGTCCACTTGCACAAAGCAATCTTAGCGCTATGACTATTGTAAGCCTATGTTAAAATATGGGAGTTACGATCATCTTAGCACTAAGATCGTTTTGTGCTAGTATCAAGAGGCGACTAAATGGATCGGATGGTCGGGTTCAGTGATTTCGTTGATTGGATGTCATCGGATCCCATTTGCGTAGATCAATGCTCATGATGTCAATCACTTGATTGTCTGGTTCAGATTCAATTATTTTCAGACAGCTGTCAAATAGCTGGAATCTTGCTGAATGCGGCGTTACACAACACATGCCATATACACAAGGGTAAAGTGGTAGTCTACAGGGTAGTAACACTTATCCTTGGGTTTTACTTGGTTCGGAGTGTAGACTTATGTTAAGATTTTAACTCTGTACAGCAACAAAAATCCTTCTCAGCATATTTCAAATTATTTCAAATCATTACTGATCAATACAAGTTTATTGTCTGACAGAAATGATTTTGAAATCACACTTTTGAGGTCATGCACAGGTAATATGTTTTTAAGTGCATTGGCAGTTTGGAAGAACAAATTGCATCACCACGTACCAGAATTTTCATAGAGATTTCCTGAGCAACTAAAAGCTAAATGGGCATCTAAATTCCAAGACTCAACAGTTGCAAAGGACCTTAAACAAAAAGTCACAACACACCATCACAACAAACTAAACTGACAGGGCTCTAACTAGACTCCACATGGGGCACACTAACTTTAACAACCACAAGCACAAAATTAATAAACATTGTACAGTCCACTGCCCCACTGTGGAGAATATCACCCACATATATTTCAATGTAAACGCTACAAAATACACAAACACCTGTTAAGTGAGAGAGGCACAAACATTACTACAGTTCAGCAACTCCTCACTAAATCATCCAACTACTGCCACCCTGGCAGTTACCTCATATAATCCAAATGCAATGGATGGATCTAAATTAGACTAACATCTAGTTTCTGAAATGAAAATATTGTACAGAAGAAAAAAAAGTTGTTAAACTATATGATTAATAAAGAGAAGCCCAGAGACTCTCTTCATTTTCATTGCAGTAATCTGGACTTGCCAAACATTATAGACTTGCATGGACTGATATATTTGTATCAGGGTCTGTAAGACAGACTAGATCTAATTATGCTCCTTCTTAACTCCCAACATTACTACCTTGACATAAAAACAATTCCAGGTAATTCCCTCAGCTAAACTTCCAAGGCCCTATTCCACCATACGCCCATTACTCTTGTGTAATTACTTTACGTCCCTTCTTAATCATAACCCTTTATGGTTAATATTCTTTGGCATAAATTTGCAAATTAAATCCTTTTTGGCTATTTCATTGCAATGTTTCTAGGCATGCCCTGAGTGCGACATTGGGTCCTCTGGAATCTCTCATTAAATCGCCAACATCAACACTTTGAGGTGAGGTGAAATGGGGTTTAAAGTCGCATCCAAGATTATTGCACTTATATAGCGACGTGTATGCAAGTTTGTGTGTGGCTGCTTGTACTAGTCCAGGCTGATGCCGATTATTGTGCTAGCACACTGAGATACCATGCCTCAGTTTAACATGAATACCCCACTCAAACACAGTATTCTCCTAGCAGACCAGTCCTTGTTTTAACCCCTTAAAGCCGAGCGCCTGACAGGGTAACAACAAGTACCATCTTTTAACGTCTTTTGGTATGACACGGCTGGGGATTGAACCCTGGACCTTCCGCTCTCCACTAGACCACGGAGGCGGTCTCATCACTTTGAACATTATTTTGGTATCTAGTCGTGCTAGCATCATACCAGCCTTGATGCAAGTCTTATATGTTTACCACTCCGGTGAAAACCACGAGCACAGACATAGTGATGACAAACCCAAAACATAATAAGAGCAAACTGGGGTTCAAAACCATGATTATATGTTTCTGGAGGGACTCAACTCTGCACAGTAAATAGCAGTGCATTAGACAACTGCTGCTCATGTATGTGTCACTAGAAGGACAGGCATGCTGGGTACCTCTGAGGGCAGCTGTGATGACCTGCTTGTACGCCTGGAGGTTCTGGAAGCTGGCTGGGATGACCACCTGGCGGGCGGGGGTCACATTGGCCTCCACCTCGGACTGGCTAGGGAACTGAAGCTCGCCACACAGGCTCCTCTACACAACAGAGTAAGTGAGCATGGAGAGTGAAAGGTGGAGATGCCAACCTCAAATTGAGGCAATATATTTATTAAATTTTTATTATTTTAGTTTTTTTTATGGATGTCAACATCTTTATTGTGAGGAAAACAACATTTCGGAGCATATACCCTTTTTTTCCTTTTATTTGTTATACAAATAAGTACATAAAGTGGGCTTCCGCACAGGGTAGCAGAAAGCCCTTGACATAGATCACAACTTGTCAGAACATCGTTAAAACTGAGGCAATATAGAATATCTGGGACAATCAGGGTCTACAATTAGTAATTTTCAAAATATATCAGTACTGTACTTAGTAATAGTACTTTACTTTCCACCTTTGTTTTCTTATTACTTTTGTTGTCCTTACAGGTACATATATAAAGAAGTTGACATCCATAAATTCTCTTCCTTATATCAGTACTGCAGTAGTCATTATTTAAATGATTGATTATATTTCCAAACATTTCAATTATTTCTGTTCAACGAAATATTTTATTTTCACTTTAAATTTTTGGGAGACAGTGGATTCATAAAGTGTGAAAAAAAAAGTCTGGCCTAAGAACATAAGCAATATTACAGCAATATGAAGGTAGCAAGACTGACCAGTGGTTGATTGTGTAACAACAGTCCATGATGTGAGGGTAAGTGGATACACAATCAATCAGGTCACACATTGTTACCACTGATCCTGTGTTGGTTTCCCACAGCATGGGTGCTGGCATCCCATCCTGTCCTGGGATCTCCACTGGAGATTATTGACAGGAATAGATACAGCCAGTGAATGCAATTCATCAGCAGACCCCCAGTAGACACAAAACTGTCATTACATATAGCCTTCCGACCCAGGAAGATCCAGGGTAGAATAGGTCCTCAGCAACCAATGCTTGCCATAAAAAGTGACTATGCTTGTCGTAAGAGTCGACTAATGGGATTGGGTGGTCAGGCTCGCTGACTTGGTTAATGCATGTCATCGTATCCCAGTTGTGTGGATCGATGCTCATGATGTCAAACGCTGGATTGTCTTGTCCAGACTTGATTATTTACAGACCGCCGTCATATAGCTGGAATACTGCTGAGTGTGGCGTTAAGCAACATATAGCCTGGCACTGTCATCAGCTGAACTTTACAAATCAATTTTCAGTCATTTCTATTCAATAAACTAATGTACAACATTTGTACAGAGAAAAAGTACATAGATGCAAAAAAATAGTAATCATCAGTAGCATTATTAGTGTAATTGACCATACTCTTTTTTCATCACCCGAACCCCCAAAAGCTCTGAATTTGAGTAAAGCTAAAACTAGGTGACAAGGCCTGACAATTCACTTACTACAGGAAGATAAAATCATTTTTGGACAAAGTATGATGTAACTGACTTCCACAGTCCAATAAACATACTGTCCTGTAGGAGCCAACATGCTTCCTACAGTGACCACTGTGACATATAGTCAAGTCAATGTCAAGTCAAAATCACTGATAATTTCTTGTGAAAATTGTTAAACATTATAACATTGGTGAAACTTGGCACAAAATAATGTAATAATTCTGCCAAAATCAAAATGGTTCGCATGTCTGCATTATGGCTGCACAAAAAATTGTAAACACAGGCTAAATACACCACATGACACAAATGGAAAGTCTTTCATATTTTATGATATTTTCTCAATGAAAGTTTCATGACACATGTTTATCTAAATGTGTAGACTTTTCAAAAATGAAATAGGTGACATATGTAATTCATGGAATGAACTGAGTAAGATGTAACAAATCTCTCTGGCCTAAGGCAGAGGTACTAGGTTGACTGAAAGGAACTCTGGGTAGGACAGCGTTATGCTTGCTCATACATTATACCCAGTGGGCATTCCTGGTTAGAATAGGTCGTCAGCAACCTATGCAGGTCGTCAGCAACCTATGCAGGTCGTGGGTCAATAGAGGCCAGAGGTCAGGCTCAGTAAATTGGTTCATAGCGTGTTCTCGTACCCTGACACTGTAGATCATTGCTCACAACATTAATCACTGAATTGTCTGGTCCAGACTCAATTATATACAGGCCAATGTCATATTGCTGGAATATTGCTTAGTGCATCATTAAACAACAAACGAATGAACAAACATACACTACAACTCTGGACACGAAGAACTCCACCAACCTGTGTTCCCTTCAGGGTGCTGCTGGAGAAAGACATCATCACCGGATTCCTGAATTTGCCGAGTCCGACCTTCCTGCTGGACAGCACACTAGAACTCCCTACTGAGTCGCCACACGTAAACCTTGGGCTGGTGAATTTGGTACACACAGAATTCCTACCTTGTTCTTGGGTTATGAACAAATCTGGTGATAATGACGAATCTGTGTTTCTAATATATTCGGAACCTGTATGTGGCGAATGTTGGACATGTTTTTTCTGTGTTACATATTTTGGTTTATATAGATCTTCCTTTGACAGCATAGCATTGTCTTCCTGCAAACAGTCCTCTTCAAAACTATCGTCAAATTCATCCACTAACTGGCCTGTAGTCCAAGTATCACTTCCACCAGTTTCTTTAACAGCATCACATGAGGAATTGTCTGACTGCAGTGTCACAGATTTAGAGTCATGGTTGAACACTCTCCCAAAGAAATTATCACAGCCAGCATCAAGGACCTGGTACAAGGGCAAATCATTGGATTGGTTTCTCTCACGTGACATAATACCTCTATCATTAATTTGCAATCTACTTTCTGAAGGATCACCAAAACATCCTATATTTCGAGTTTCGTGTATCTGTATTTGGGACTTGGTCCTGAATCCTCCATCATCCGTACTGAGGTATCTCCCCCACCGGGATGTCTTCATCTCAACATCCTCCTCTTCTCCCCGAGTTTGGCCCTGCTGTCTCTGCTGCCAACCAGCTGACCCCCTATACCTATATCCCCCACCCCCAGCCCCTGACCGGTCACTCCCACAAAACAACTCCCCCTCCTCCTCCATCCGATTGTGTCCCTGCTGCCAACCAGCTGACCCCTGGTACCTTGACACCCCACCCATAGACTGGTCACTTTGAACATGACCGCTTGGCCCATACAAGTCCGAGTCCATAGTGGGTTTCCTCAACATATGTGATGATGCCTCTGGGTCATGCATGGTGGGACATGTACTCACTACAATCCTCTTTTCAAACTCATTACTCTTCTTTGGTTGAGATTCCCCCACATCGTTAGGTCTCTTGAATCTTTCTCTGCAAAACTGAACCTGTGCTTGACCCAGATGTCTACTTAATCGCCCATGCAGCTGATCATTGCCTACTGTAGCAGTAGAGCCAGCACCACATTGTGGTTCATCGCCAGTCCACTTGACACCTGTCTCAGTCCCACCGGAAGATTCCAGGTATGTGTCATACACTTCCACCTGTTTCCCATCTGTAGATGGGTGAGTTATAATAGGCTTTCTCCTCTGTTGAGAAGTTAATGGTGGCATGAGCATCACACTAGCCTGGGTTGTTGTATCAGCTGAGGCCTCCAATCTTGTATATAAGACAGCCTTCCTTAAATCACCTGTTAACAATAGAAAACACACTTTGGTAAACTCAACCTCACACCAGACTGTGTTGTATCAGCTAACTCCTCCTCTCAATTCCTCCAAAGACAGCCAATCAAAAGTTGCTTTTAGTATTCATCATATTCAAATATTTTCTGCATAAAAACTGAAGACTAATAACAAACACTAAATTATATAGACTTGAACAATATATGATGTCATCAATAGAAGAAACATGCAAAAGGCTGGCAATTAAAGAGATGTTCACAGAGCAAAAAGTGCATTTTGCAAGGATTTAGGAGGATAGTTAAAACACAAAGGTTAAAACAAGGTAAAAATTTACACGATCAGGAAAACAGAGCATTATGTAGAGACCAATTAGTAACTACACGTTCCAAATTTCATTATATTTTGAGTCAAAATGGCCAAGCGATAGCCATATATAGTTTTTTAGGATCCTTTCCACACAAGGATTGGAGAAGAAGGTCGAAATGCATTTTGTGAGATAGGATAAGTTTTGAAAATATACGTTTTTTTCAATCTACATGTATCTGCCATTTGAACACTTTTGAACAAATTCAGGTGTCATCATTGCTAGGAACAAGCATATGAAGTTTCAGCTTCTAGAGTCCAATGGTTTCTGAAGAGACGATTTTTACCGACGTCTATGCAGGCTGTGATGTAGTGTACTTGACTTTCAGTCAGATAAGCCAATAATTTGATTTGATACTAAAACAGCATCAAGGCACTGTTCCTCACCAACTAAAATCAGTGTGTCCTGAAAGTTATTTGTTGTTATATTTCTAGCTACCAAGATTTGGCAACATTTCAGGCTGTCAGCATAAACCACGAAATTGATCTTTCTACTGTTTTTTCCACCAAAATAAAATTCTGAACAGAGCCCCCTATTTCTAATTTTGAGAGCGCCCTGGGCGTTAATTACGTCGAATACGGTAAATGCCACAAATCTGGGTCCCATCATGGTGTGAAACAACCTCTGTACCTCCGGTAATGGGAAGCTAAACAGTATTAACATCAGGATTGACTGTTAGGGTTAGAATTGATTTTTAGATTCACTAGTCTGCAAAAGTGTTATGTTACAAAGCTGCCATCTACCTTATATGGTAATATGGTAGTCCACAAAAAAATGTCACTTCCTCAATTAAAGTACTCAAAGAAGCAGATTTATGTTAACGTTTCGAACACTGACGGTATTGCAATAGATGTTATACTTACCATCTAGGTCCGGCACAACATGGTTGTTGACAGGGATGGAGTCTGACGAGGAAGGTGGAGAGGCCCCATTTGAAGACTGTGGTACATTTTGTGTATCTTGGGAACTGCCTGGCTGTAGGGTAAAATACTCATTATACACGTTTGACATTTTCTGCAGCAGTTCTATCCTGGGAACCAGTGGGGATTACGGGAAAGAATATAGGTCCCCTGCACCTATGCTGGTCATAGGAGACGACTAAAAAGATGCGGTGGTCAGACTCGGGGTCTTGGTGGATTGCATGTCACCATATCCAAATGCTCATTATATCAATCACTGGAATGTCTAGTAAAGACTTGAATATTTACAGACCGTCGTCATACAACTGGAACATTGCAGTGCAGCATTAAACAACAAACACACAATACTATCCTGCCATATCCATTCAATTTTTGAAAAATTCCCAATATTCCTGTCCTCATAGCAACATATGCTGGTATGTTGATTGCCTGTATAAATAATGAGGGATGTAACAATTCACAGTCGTTACAGTGAATTGTGAAAACCTTCCTGTAAGGCCAGTATAGTTTGGTGAGGTCACATATCTGTTTTAAATATTATATGTTTAAATATTTCCTGTTAACTGAACCTCTGGTATTCCCTTTGATGATGGCAGGACGTCTCCGGGTTTAATGTTTAATATTATGTATAGTTTTGCCGCATTCGCGCCATTACTATCAAGATACTCCATGACAAAATATATCACTCAAAACCCTACAAATAATACATCATAACATACAAACACTGAGAGCAGTCTATTTATGAAAACTACAGCACAGTGTAACCAAACCTTGATACCGCACTGCTCCATGTCATATGGCCTTGACACTATCTTTGGCTTCCCCCGATTCCAGTCGATGTAGAATTCCTCATCAGCATCCTCTTGTGACAATGTGTCTACAGGATAGAAATAAATTGCTGGCACTGGCTATTCTCAAAGTCTCACGAACATCGGTTTGAGAAACAATATATTTGTATCTATTTGTGAGTGTGATTTTACGCCACTTTTAGTGATATTCCAGCAATAGTATGGCAAGGGATACAAGAAATGGGCTTCACGCAAAGTATCCATGTTGAGAATCAACCCAGGCATTTAGCTTATTGAGGCTTTAACCTGCCCATAATCTGGATTTGAACATGGTTGAAGATTACAGATACAAATTATTCAATTGACAGAAGTGAATGTAAAGGACATTTAACTCAACAAAACGTTATAACCAATCATATGCAATGCTGGTAGTAACAGAGCACACACATCTTACCCAAGGGCAGCGTTTGAAGTTGTTCTGACTTGAGATGGGTAATAATATTGGGCACAGTCCCCAGCTCAGGCTGTGGTTCTGCTGCGGACGTGGAGGAATGGCTATCTTGCACTAACCAGTGGTCATCGGATGTGGCTCCACAAACACGGTCAAATGCATGCAAAGAAGGAACTGGACTTAAGACAACATCTTTGTGAAAATCATTTCTTTTCGTTAAAGGAAACTGTCCGTTTGAATACATCTTGAGCTTAAATTGCTCAGGTGATGAGTCATCTTTGTCTTGGTATAACGGAAACTGAGAGCTGATAAGATCACTGAGTTCTGGGGAAGTCTGACCACCAATTTGTATGCAACCAGAGGACACATTCTCCAGTGCAGCCTTTAGTTGAATCTGCGTCACAATGCTCGGCCTCCCGTACTGTCTGGTGCATCGGACACCGGTGCTAGAGGGAGGGCCAAGAGGGTCCTCTGGCATGTCCTGTGTGTGTGTCCTTGGTAGACCGTCCCTCCTCACCACTCCACTTGCTACCATCCCCTTCACCAAGTAGCCACCAAGCTTTCGACTAGCCTGCTCAAATAGTCACAATCAATCCCTTAAGTATTGGCTTTCATTCAAAAATCAGTTTTATAGGAAACAGTGGAATAAGGTTACAATAAACCGAATATAAAGTGGGATGATGTGCTTCAACCATGGTTTCCAGGAACGATAACTATAAACTCAACATGTCTTTAATTTCAAATATACAAAGATAACCATAAAGTAAATATCAAAAGCATAATATATGTGATATATATTATTTTTCTAGCATTTTTTTATTTTTTTGGTTTAACGCCGCACTCAGCAATATTCCAGCTATATGACGCCAGTCCAAAAATAATTGAGTCTGGACCAGACAATCCAGTGATTGACATCATGGGCATCAATCTTCGCAATTGGGATACGATGACATGCATTAACCAAGTCAGTGAGCCTGACAACCCGATCCAGTTAGTCGCCTCTTACTGCAAGCATAGGTTGCTGAAGACCTATTCTACCCCAAATCTTCACGGGTCAGATCAATAAAGCATTTTGAAGAAAATAAAGCCAACAATGGACTTCTATAGTTTGCCTGTGTTTTCTCTCCAACTCACCTGACAATGTAGATCCTGATTCTGATGAGGGTCACACATTTCTCCCTGCCTCCGATACGGTCTGCTGGGTGGAGGCAGGGGGGATGCTTTTTCTGCTCTTACAAAGTCTAACAAACAGAAACTGGTGCTTAAGCTTGTACAGTTGGTGGGCAGAGAATGTGGAGTTATTGTATGTCATGTCATGTCATGTAATTGATTATCAGTGTTATGAGAGGTGGTTATTGGCATTTGAAACCTCTGACTGAACATTCAGAATAGAGTATTTTCCAAATCCAGAGAAGAATTTGTTTCAAAACCACTAAAAAAGATGCCCTATTTAGAATAAATCAATTCACAAGTTGACCTGCATCAAATAATGTTGCAGAAGTATGAAATATCCCATAAACAAATCTGGCCCAAAGTCCTGATTCTACGATATGATATTATCCATGTCTTAGAGAGGGTGTGGTCATGCAAACTTAATTTTTAAAAGTCTGAAACAGTTCTTCGGCTTAACTGTTATACGAGTGACTCCATAAAATGTTGTAACTGGGAATGGGTACCACACACAGCGTTCCCCCAATTTTAGTTTCAGTTAGAAACAATTGCACAAAAAGTAAACAACAAGGGAATAACAAAAGTTACCTTCTTGCCTCTGAACATAGGAGTCATCCACAGCCTCAAACTGTCTCAATGTCAGATGTCCATCGGGAATTACACGGTCATGTCTCAACCTCAGATGTCCATCGGGACTGGCAGGGATGTGTTTCAGTGTATTTCTGTCTGCCTGAAGGACATACAGTTCCTGGTCTCTACTACTGACCCGCCTTGAACTCTCATTTTGGGGCCGACCTCGCATTGAAATGATACTGTCAGATGTCAAATACTTTCTCTGTGTAGAGGACACAGTCCCTGTCAAAGTTCTCGGAAATATCTGGGTATCAGACAAAGGACTTTCATCTGAATGGTTACTGACTTTCTCAGGATACTCAAGCTTTGTGTCCAGTGATGTCTGACTGCCTGCCATGGGTATATCTGGTGTATCAGGCATGGGGAACGACATGTCCGAATCACCAGGCTGGACCACCAAGCTCTCAGCGGCATGTCTCGATTGATCAACATCATCAGCAAACACTGTAGACATCACAGACTCACTGGAGGAGGGAAACTTGTACTCAATGTCATCTTTGCTAGACACAGACGAAAACATGTCACTGACAGAATCTTGCTGTGTGTGAGTATCCTGATTACTGATGCAGTGGTTTGAGTTGGCAATGTTGTCATAACCAGGATTAGAGATATTACACAATGTTTGTTTCTCTCGGTGAATGGATGCATCAACAGAGTAATGTGGTAGGAGTTCCTGCTGCTTGTACTGTCTGTGATCCTGTTCAGGGATTTCTGAGCACTGTTCAGCTTCATATGACGGCATACTGTTTGGACAAGGTTCAGTATGATCATATGTAATATTTGTAGCATCATCTACACAACTGATTCCTTGACCTTGTTGCACATCTGATGACTGTAACATATTGTGTGGATCTTCCCATTCACGTGAGATGTGCATACTTGCTTCTACACTCAAACATGACTTATTCTGTGGACCTGAAACGTTATCAGTCAGTGCATCGTCAGTTTCTCGAAGCTGCCTATGACTCAATACTGACTGCTTGTTTACTTGCAGAGGTAGACTTTCCTTGTTAAAACCAAACTGTCTTGGCAGCTTGTCATCAAAAGCAGAAAAAGATGGTGATTTGAGAGAAACTGATGACAAGTTTTCATTCCTGTCAGATCCTGTTGAAGCAGCATTAAGTCTCCCAAGGAAGCCAGATTGTGAGAACTGGGAAAGAGAGCTGTTCAGGTCAAAACTGTCCGGGCTTAACAGGAGGTTGTTCAGGGGGTTAATGCTAGTGTGAATCTCCGGAGACACATGCTCTGATATTTGAGAACAATTTTGTTTCTCAGTTTCAGTATAAGGGTTGGTATTTCCCATCTTATCTGTAGGTGTATCAGTGTCCCCATGTCCTTCAGAATCTGGTATTGATCTGCCAGTTTCTGGACTACCATCAGGACAATCCTCTATTGTCCTCAGCATGACCTTACTCTTAGGTCCATCTGAACTATCTATACTTTCACCGTTATCATCCACTAACTTGGTAGACCTGGAAACCCGTGTATCCGACAGCATTTCCATGGATCTATTACCTTGAATACGATCTGCTCTAAACTCTGCCTCACTGAGTTGAAGTAAATCACTGTCTACAGACCCGGGTTCTATATCACCCCATGAGGATAAATTCAACATCACATCTTCCTTTTCATCACAGGCAACATCAGATTCAACCAATGCGTGCCCTGCTTCCTCTGCTATTCCAGAACACCTCTCTGTCTGTTCCACGGATGCTGATTCTCTAGGAATGCCCCCTGTAGCACCCTCTGCTATGCAGTGTGTATTGTCCTCTGACATTGCCTGCTTTGCATCTTGTCCTATTCCAGAAAGACTCTCCACCTGTTTAACAGGAGCTGCAAGTAAGGGATTGCTGGCTGTACCAGTCGCTGCTACACAGCATTGATTGTTCTCTGCCATTTCCTGCAGTGCATTTTCTTCTTTTCCAGAAAGATCAACTGCTTCTTGGGAATATTCTGACATAGCACACCCTGCTATACAGAGTTGATTGTCATCTGCTAGATCTTGCCTCGCATCCCGTTCTTTTCCAGATGGATTCTGCACCTGTTTTTCAGCAGGTGCTTCTTGCGGATTAACTGCTGTAACACACCCTGCTATACAGTGTAGATTGTCATCTGTCATTTTCTGCCTGGCATCTGGTTCTATTCCAGGACTCTCCACCTGTCTTACAGCAGGTGCTTCATGGGGACTACCTGCTACACAGTCTCGTTTTTCCAGATCAGTCTGCTCATCCTCATCCTCATCACTGGATGACACATGGGACAAAGGAGAGAAGTTAATGTCAAAAGTAGCATCAGACAACTCAAATGGGTTAACAGCACAATCGTACTCATTATCATGATCATCATTTTCATCTGAACATTCATTAATCTTAGAAGCAGGGACCATGTTCTTATTACTTGTCATCTGTGTATCAAAAAGACCATCATTTCCTGGGATGCCAGCTCCAACAACAGACTCCTCTATTCTTAAGTCAGAGTTCTTATAATCTTGAGCTACTTCTACAATGAGATTATTGTTTGGTAAGGACTGGTTTGAACTCATATTGTCTGATTTGACATTTTGATAAATGCTTGACACAGGTTTGTGCTTTAACAGTGCCATTATCTGACTGGTAGATCTCTTGGTGGAGGCTGTGAATTTAGAATGACTCTTATTCACAGAATCATCAGTGCAGCTGCTAGTCTCTAAACCCAGATAGTTTGGATCACCATCAGTTTGAACCATTTCAGTTCCTTTACATTTATTATTCTCAGCTTTGAAGGCTGAATAATCTGTTGTAATAGTTCGAGGTTTGTATTGTTCTTGAGAATTTTCTTCACTAGTCTGGCTTCCTTGAGAATCTGAATTAGATCTGGAACCAAATGTTCTCCAGGGATTACATTTTAATCTCTTGCGGTCTTGCTGTGAAGGACTTCTCTCTCTGCTGCCACCCCTGCCATGCAGCATGGACATGAAACTGGAGAGCTGAGGGGAGATGTCAGAGTCTTCAGGACCAGTTCCCTGACTCTCTACAGCTGTAGCTGCAGGTAGCCCAGGGCTTCTCTGATCTGTTCTACCTCTGTTCCTGAAGCTGCCAAGTCGGTCCATTCCAGTTTGAAGTGCCCTTTCTTTGGGAAATGCTGCTGTCCTGTCTAGTGAGCCTGCTTCAGGGACACCTGCAGGTGCCTGATCTTGACCCGGAATGTTCCTGGAGTAGAGATTCGTGATGCTGGCCCTGTAGCTGGTCATCCCCTGAAGGGGACTGAGTCTGGTGGTGCTACCCTGCTTGGCACTGAGGCAGGACAAGTCAGCAGATGCTGGATCATCCTCTATTTGCTTACAAATTCTGGGTGGTACAAATCCCTGAAAGAAACATGTTTCTGATCAGTCTACAATTGAGTAACTTGCCATGGACTAGCACAACTGGTATAAGCAAGAACATGATGTGCATTTTTCATAGTGAAATCATGTACCGTATTTCAGGTAATAAGCTTATTAGAGCTGGGCGCTTACTACGTCGAATACGGTAAGTGCAATATTAACAGTAAACAGTCAATTACAAGGACAGGCTTCTTTCATGTATCATGAAACACTTCTTATTCAAGATGAAAACTGTCCACTGGTACGTTGCCATGTAATGTTGTTGATTCTGGGGATGAATAGGTTCCTAGTACCTTATGCCTATTTCTCTATGGTTGTTTAGAATGGGGATCAGATAGCTACAATGTGTGACATGCATTGCTGTGTGTCATCATACCCCACAAGGAGTGTAGTATGCCATCAGCCACGTTTGTTGGGTCAAGATGCAGTTAATGTGATACTACTGATACAGCATAAAACATCATTCATTCATCCATCGATCCATCCATCGATCCATTCATTCATTCATTCATTCATTCATTCATCACACCACATACCTTTCTATTCCCCCTTCTGAGTCCCCCTCTTGGTGCAGTCGGGACCCTGCTGCCACTGAGAGGTCGACCCACACATGACAAGGAGGTCGCTGACGGGACATGGGAGGAAGAGGTCTGGGATCTCTTCTCCTCAATGAGGATGAGGTATCTGTCACTCTCAATCTGTTCCCCTGGGAGCACGTCTGCTGCCTTCACAAACAATGTGTCCAGACGAGTCTTCTTGTCATCATACAACACTGCCTGTTGGGAGATGGATAGTCACTTTTATGGTGCTCATTACCAATGATAAAAATAGAAACAACTTTGCAAAATCTTGGACCAACTATCAAGTTTCTAAATCAACATCATTTATTTAATACAATGTAATCTTATACTGACAGGGGTGGTTGGGTAGCCTAGTGGTTAAAGCGTTGGCTCGTCACGCCGAGGACCCGGGTTTGATTCCCGACATGGGTACAATGTGTGAATCCCATTTCTGGTGTCCCCCGCCGTGATATTGCTGGAATATTGCTAAAAGCGTCGTAAAACCATACTCACTCACTCCTGTACTGACAAGTCGGTCAACACATCTAAATTATTCTAATAATGATGAATGTTATATATAAAAATTCAACGTAAGTGTCTTCACTGTCAGTTCTTGATCTCAGCTCTCAAGGTCAAGTTAACTAGTTAAGGAGACCAGCAATATGTAACAACATGCTTTGGTTTGTTTGTTGTTTAACGCCATACTCAGCAATATTCCAGCTATATAATGGGGGTCTGGACCAGAAAGTCCAGTGATTGAAATCATGAACATTGATCCATGCAATTGGGATACGATGACAAGCATCAACCAAATCTGACCACCCAATCCCGTCAAGCACACATTAGAGTCAAAATGGAGGACTGACATGTTAATCAGACTAAATAACAATGCAAAAAATTCAACAAAAGTGTTTTTATTGACAAATTTTAGGTGTTGAAATAACAAACTAAATTTTTCATACTTAACAGTTTTATATGTGAGATGCAGGTGAGATAATCATTTTTTGATCTTTCATTTGGTTTCCTTGTCTTAAATATGAGGACACTGTCCTTGCCATAGGAATCATAGGAATCATGTCCTGCCATGGATTCCTGCCACAGGAATCTGAGTATTCCACATATTATATACTACCTGCTATGATTTGCTTATCTTTGATATCCATACTGGAGTGAAAGCAGACGGGGGGAAAGCACCCAGGAGTTATGTCACCAATGGAGTTAGCTGCCCCAAACTTTCCCTTGCTTAAATCATTCAGCATTAGGGGAAGCATGGTGGGCCTTACCCCTGTCATAGCAGGACAGGATGCAATTATCCCACAGCCCAGTGATGGGGCTGGACACAGTCACACACTACCCCGGGAGACCAGATCCGAACGCATGACAAGACATTTCATGTTGCAGGGTGTTTCATTAGTCTGTATCGACAACTCCCTGGTCTTACGATAGACACGAGGTGCCATAGGGAGAGCGTACATCGTGAGGCAAGTGTTTCTGAATGTGCCTAGGCCAGTCAATGTAACAGAACTCATCTTCCCTCGAAGGAAAAGTTAGCATCTGTATCCATTTGAATCCTGCCTTTTCTTCAAATGCATGCAGAAACCAGGGCCCCATTCCACAAAGTGATCGTAGCGCTACGACAGTCATAAGTCTATGTTAAAGTATGGGAGTTACGATCACCTTAGCACTACGATCGCTTTGTGGAACGAACCCCTGAACAGCCAACTGGGAATGATGACATTATTGCCGAGGTTGTGGGTTGAAGAGGTGCTGCATCAGTACAGGATTTTGCTGTCAGGAATCCTTTGATCACTTAGGTCTCAGTGATAGATCCCTGGATTGTGGCTAAAGAGGAAACCGTAAAACTGAATGCCAAGCTGACCTGGCAGCTGGTTTTTAAAACAAAATCACACATTAGATCTGAATGCAGCTGGGCAATTTTGTGTGCAAAGGTGACTTGTGTGATGTGAAGCGAGTCGATCTGACCAGCCGAGCAGCCTTTGCCACTGTCAACATTATAACCAACTAGACTGCAGAGGTTCACCATTTCACCACACTCAGATCCCATTTGGGGGAGTAGAACTTCCAACACTGGCCTTCCTGTTGGAAACCCTTGATAAAAGCAGAAATTTCCAGAATCATGCTCCTTTCGTGAGATAAGGAACATAAGTATTGATGTCTGCCACATCAGAAGCAATTCGATTCAATAAGGGAAAGTAGAAAATCAGTCACCAACTGGATCAATGCTTTCTGAGATTGAAAACATTTTGTCTTTAGCAGACCGCAAACAAGACCCATTTATTATCATAAAAGAAACAAGTGAAAATGCAATGAGCTGTCGCTACCATACAAAACAATGTAACGTCTGTGTTATTTAAAGATTAGCCAAACAAAGTTGAAGTAGACCACATCTGGTAACGTCCTGAGCAGCCTTGAGGAAACCCAACAGGACTGCGAAATGTCTCTAGATAGGGTTTGAGACATCAGCAGCTAAATCTGTAACCACCTGTCTTGAGGAAGCAATAGGCGATTCAAGACTATGAAACTGACACCCCAAGAAAGTGGGTTAGCAGTCTGAATTTTACATTGATGTTAGCAATACTAAGTGTACATATATAACTAGAATGAGTTTTTATTCACAAAAACAGATCCCCCCTCCTTATTTTCTTATACATTAGTTAAAGTTGTTACTATTTCAAATATGTATTTGTAAACCCTTGTAAAGATTCGGATTAAAGCATTAATGAAGAAGCCTTTCAGTTGATGCCATGTCAACTCTTAAAGGCAGATAAGAGTACTGAACTTTTAACAGCTGTTTGGATGAAAGATTGTATTGTGCAAGTAGATGTACCCATAATGAACAATTAGTAGCTTTATGCTTTCAAGAAAGACTCTTCAGAATTTCCATACTGTTCCATGAAAACACAAGAAGTTTTTTTTTAAAATAATTGAAAAATATAAAAAAGGTAATAGTTGAGCATGTGGTCATTGCACATGTCTAGTTTCATGATAAAATATTCATTGGTTTGAGAGTTAACAGAAGTAAAAGAAAGATCAAGGGAAGCTAACTCTGAAGGTGACTTACTTCCAGCGTCCAGGAAGTGTTCAGGTGAGCTGTTTCCACAGTGGTATGGTTTTTGAACTCCATAAGCAAAAGTGCACTGTCATAGCAGAATAGTAAAAATAGAAGAATGACAAGGACAGAAATCCAGAGTCCCAATAGTGTTTACTATGAATCATAAGTCATTCAAAGTGTTTGTCAGTGACAGTAGCTGACGAACTACATGGCTTGAGGTCAGGAACATAGGAGTGCCTCTTAGGTTTGTTGCCTTTTGTCACCGAACAAATATACATGATTTACCACTACCTATATATAGTACCATATATGATGAGACTGCACTTGACAAAAGGCCACCTTAGGTTCACATGTTCTAATGACACGTGTTTATCTGCTTGTTCTGGGGAAGGAAACATTTCTCAAAGGTTAGCAATGCAGGCTCTCCTAGAAGGGATCTGATTGGCTGACTGAACATGTGTAGGCAGACGTCACCTCTGGAAGAGATCTGATTGGTTAACTGGACAAGTGGAGGCCCTCATCACCTCTGGAACAGATCTGATTGGTTAACTGGGCAATGTATGCACACAACCTCACTTATTTAAAGAACTATATCATATTATTAATAAATGATTTTTTGTAATGCGCTACAGTCCATTTATTGAAGCATGCACAAAGTGTTAACACCATCATAACTGGTCAAACTGATCATAACTCCCTGGGGAATATACAACCCAATCTGCCTGTGAGGCGCTAGTAGGTTTACAGTCACATTACCATCTCGTCCTACTTGAGTACCCATTCACTGCTGGGTGAACGGAAGCATATTTTGAACAGTCACTTGCCTAAGAAGACACATGTCATACACATACTTCAGTGTGGGGCAAGACCGAAGCCCTAGAAACTCTCAGGAGCCACAGTCCCCCATCCAACTACTCTCCATGACCTGATTTAAAAAACAACAACATGACTATAAAAAGAAAACTATGACACTTATCCTGATAAGTATTCATATGTACTGAAATATCCTAACAGGGCTTCATTTGTGACCCACTTGCCTTGCCATAACTTAACTTACACACATAAACCCTTATCCCTTTCATTAATATTGAAGACCGCCTCCGTGGTCTAGTGGTAGAGTGTCCGCCCGGAGAGCGGAAGGTCCGGGGTTCGATCCCCGACTGCGTCACACCCAAAGACGTTAAAAGATGGTACTTGTTATCCTGTCTGGCGCTCAGCATTTAGGGGCTAAAACAAGGACAAGTATACTGTGTCTGAGTGGGGTATTCATGTTAAACTGCGGCATGGTATCTCAGTGAGCTAGCACTATAAATCGGCATCAGTCCGGACTAGTACAAGCAACCACACAAACACACACATGTACATGCACGTCGCTATAAAAGTGCAATAATCTTGGACGCAACGTTAAACCCCATTTCACCTCACCTCACCTCATTAATATTGAGATATTGGTTCCGAAAAAAAAGACGAAATAACTCCCTTTAATATAAGTTTAAATAACAACAGCCAAAAATGAATAAGACTTCCTGTTCACGACCCTAAAACATTAAATTTGCTGACTACGTCCCTCCATGTTGTACAACTCATGTGCGATCACATCAAGGACATGAACTTTGTTGACTTGCCCCTCATGTTGTGATGTTGTACATCATATACCAATGTTAAAGAGGTTAGGAGTTGTGTTTAATACCACTCAGTAGACTCTGGGAGGTGAGGCAGCAGGTACATACGACTTCATAGTTTGTTACAGAGGCAAAGACCATCATAAACTTGTCAATTTCCCCTGACCTAGATCGCAATTGAAGAGGATTGTCAACTGGATTGAACTGGTTTCATATTTCACAATCTCCTCTTACGTCATAAATATCAAATTTAGCTTGTTGTAATAATCAGACATTGTCATGGCACCATTATTGACATGGTAATGTTGAACTTGACATTTTGGTTTATCAAACATTTTGCTAATCATCGTTACTGACAATATTTTTTATTATAGAAAACCTGAGCATCTGGAATTGTTTTATTAAAGTTGCCATGAAACAATGAAGTACAGAATGTAGGAAGACTTTATTACCCAAAGACACATTAGACACCCTTTGGGATGGCTTATTTTATCAACGTATCTATTGCAACTGGAGTGAGTGAGTATGGTTTTACGCCGCTTTAAGCAATATTCCAGCCATATCACGGCAGGGGACACCAGAAATGGGCTTCACACATTGTACCCATGTCAGGAATCGAACCCAGGTCTTCGGCGTGACGAGCGAACGCTTGAACCACTAGGCTACCCGACCGCCCCTATTGCAACTCGAGACTTTCATACACTTCTTAGTTCGTTAGACTTAGGGAAGTTGGATAGCCTCATGGTTAAAGTGTCAGCCCATCATGCTGCAGACCCAGGTTCGATTTCCCACATCAGTACAATGTGTGAAGACCATTTCGGGTGTTTCCATGGTTACCCAGTCCTGTTATCACTCACTCAGCTCAGCTCAGCTCAGCTCAGCTGTCAATGTGACAAAAGAGGATGGACCTCTCAGTTAAAGTGGGGCCTAACTGACATCCCCAGTATGAGTTTCATATATGCCATTCAAACAGCAACTGGAATATTGCGAAACGCAAAGACAAATATATGTTGTGAAATATATATTTTTTCCCCAAGTATTGATTTATTACAATATGAAAATATATTATTTCTCAATTTGTGGCCCTCATACATCGCTTGTCAGCATGTCTCCTCCAGATTTGTGACATTCTGGAAGGAGTATTTGTTTTCTCTCACTTGTCTGTTTGTAGTGGTCTTCAGCAACCCATGCTTGCCGTAAAAGGTGACTATGCTTGTTGTAAAAGGTGACTAACGGGATCGGGTGGTCAGGCTCGCTGACTTGGTTGATGCATGTCATCGATCCCAATTTCGTGGATTGCTGCTCATGATATTAATCACTGGATTGTCTGGTCAAGACTCGATTATTTACAGACCGCCATCATATAGCTGGAATATTGCTGAGTGCGGCGTTAAACAACAAACCAACCAACCAACTGTTTGTACTGAAGATGAGGTGCACTCATCCCAAGGTGTCTTCCTGTTCATAACTGACAGATCCGGGGTAGAATAGGCCTTCAGAAACCCATTCTTGCCATAAAAGGCGACTATGCTTGTCGTAAGAGGTGACTTGTGGGATCGGGTGGTCAGGCTTGCTGACTTGATTGATGCATGTCATCATTTTCTAATTGCATGGATCGACACTCATGATCTCAACCACTGGACTGTCTGGTCCAGACTCGATTATTTACAGACTGACGTCATACAGCTAGAATAATGCTGAGTGCGGCGTTAAACAACAAACAAACAAACAAATCCTAGTGACACTATTGAACTAAACAGGACTGGGTCTGACATAAACTATGTCCTAATCACAAGTGGATTATAAACAAATCACTAACCTTTCTGTACCCAACTACTACAAGGAGATTTGTACAAGAGATTTACTTCAACAATAAATACCGGTATTGAGATAAAAAACAACAACAACACACTAACAACTAAACAAATGCTTTGGTATGTACTGGTGGTAGCTACTTATATTTCAAGAGATTGTTTTACAAGATATTTGTAGGAGGCATTTTGAAAATATTCTTCTATAACAACATAAACTGAATGGGAGTGTGTGCTGCAATCCTATTAGTTGTTAAACTTTATTGAACATGTTAAATGGAAAACTTTTGGACACTTTACTGCATATGAATGGGCGAAATGGATATCACATTTATTAGATAATAAGGTTGATAAATATGTATCAGAACAGCATTGATTCAGTAGAAGTCTGTCACATTCTGCCAGCTTCCTTTTCCCCTTAACCATTGTTAATGTTTGTCGAGTAATCCCTTTATTGTATCTGAACCCGTGAAGACCCGGGGTAGAATAGGTCTTCAGCAACCCATGCTTGCCGTAAAAGGCGACTATGCTTGTCATAAAAGGCGACTAACGGGATGGGGTGGTCAGGCTCGCTGACTTGGTTGATACATGTCATCGATCCCAATTGCGTGGATCGATGCTCATGATATCAATCACTGGATTGTCTGGCCCAGACTCAATTATTTACAGCCCGCCGTCATATAGCTGGAATATTGCTGAGTGCGGCGTTAAGCAACAAACCAACCAACCAACCATCTTGGGCAAACTGTCATCCCCTGCACAGGTTCTACACATGCCAGTCAATCAGCACTCTTGTTCCTCTTCTTCCTCACATTCAGGGATTAGAATGGAAATTTTCCTATTCAGCGGAAACCCCTTTGCAAAGGAGTGTTGTCCATAATTTGGGGGTGTTTATTGGGAAGCCATCAGATTTTAACAAATTTGTGGTCACTAAAATTCGCGGATCCGCAGAAGATTCTCATCCCTGCACATTTGATGATTGATGCTAATCTATCAGTTACTGATGAATACAACTTCAAAGTATCAAAATCTGGACACTGACTGAAAATGGGGAACAGACACTGGATCATTGAATGACAATAACAATATAGGAAAAAACATTACAACATTGTATCGGGCGGAAAGCGGGTCTATAGAAGTCATTGTGCTGCATATAGTACACTGAGTTTTAAAAAAGTATTGCAATAAAGGTTTCTCTTGGATTGGGCCCCTTCAGGTTCTCCTACATGCTACAAACTGATTGCGATCATCATAAATCACTTCACTGAAATACGGAGAGCACCAGTATTTTATGAATGATCATGTGACATTTTATTTACAATTCGAACACACAGCCCCAGCCCAGACAAGTAACCCGGGACACTGAAAAGAGAAACAGGCCTCAAATTTACAGCACATGATCACCAAATGGGGATACTTCAAGTGCCTGTAAATATTTCCTGTGGCATTACAAAGTGTTGACACCCTCCAAACCTGCCTGGAAGAATGGATGTAAATGAGTGATGATCATAGGTAAGCTGTACTGATCCTGTTAAAGGTAAGATAAAGGCTGAGTCTATCACAGTTTATTGTCATTCTTTTGTCACTCTGGCTGATTGTTTTCTACCAGTTACAAACATTTCTGTTGTAGACTCAGGGAAGCACTGATGATGTTGCATGTATCCTTCAATTCTTCACAAACGCACATCTAGGAAGCATATGTTACTTCCTATTGCTCCCAAGCTTTCATTATCAATTCTAAAAACCGCTTTAAATTGTGGTTTAATACTAGTTTCATCATTTAAATATGATTCCAATTAGTTGTTTAGAATCAAGGACCCCTAGAGGTTTTAGGTGTTGACTTCAGAGCATGTAATCCAACTACCGTATTCACTGGTTATAAAGAAATAGAGAAATTGCCAAAAAGGGTGCTTATCATGCTTATTTAAACCATGCACAACAAGTTAATTGATGTGGTGGGATAAGGGTCCTCTTTGGTCCAACGCAAATATATAATTTTAAATTTATGAAAAACTTTGAAATATTGGTATAAAAGTTCTCCTGTTCCGATGACTGACAACCAGCCTTTAGTAGTTCCTACACATGCACGTTTTGGCTTCTGACATGATCAAGTATGTAAGGAAAGAGGTTGAAGTTTCAAACTTCAAAAACAAAATCTAAACATATGCATGACCAAAGATGAGTTCTTTTACCATATGTTTGTGTTGTTTATCAACATATCCCAAGGAAATCAGGTTGTGGCAAATACTTATGTTCAAATAATCAAAACATGCTTGATATCAACCAAACAGTGAAACACCCTGCTATTTTCTGGGGTTACCATGCCAACAGTAATCTGATTCTTTGGGGAAAAGTCAAAACTGAATGTCTAGGTACATGACATGATAAGTAAAGCTTATCTAAAACATTTAGTGTGTTGGGGGATTAACATGATGATACATTTATTGAGTACTGAAGTTGGAATTGCATAATAATGAAAAAGCTAAAACATATATGTTGATGTTATTAACAATACCATTCCTAGTTTAGTGCTAGACATCCCCCTAACATTTCAGGTTCACCCTTTTATTCAGCTGGATGAAAGACAATGAATGCACCATGCCATCAGTTAAAACACTGGCAACTGTTAATGGAAATAATGAGAATACCAGACTAAATTGGGATCATTTAAAAAATTGTCCAAGTGACAAAAATGTCTTGCCACCCACCTCTCCCCAAAACTATTAAAGACATAAAAAAGGCAAGGATTTATCTAGGGTTCCAAACTGAGGCAGGCAAAATTGAAAGAATTTTTTTGTTGTTGACTTTATTAAAGTTCTTATTTTCATAATTTTGGAATGTATATTAGCAAAACACTTCATTCAATACAATAATGAAAAGTTAAGCCCTAAAGCCTCCTCCTCTTTATTGATACCTTTATTTTTAAAAAGTCACGTTGACCAAGCCTTCACGTTAGTTATAACTTCATTGAGTTAAATTGGAAAACGTCTATTTCCCATTTGGGACATTTTACTCACATTGGCTGCATACTTGGGACGGAAAATCGACCTTAGGGCAGGTCCTGATAAATCCATGGAAGATCGAGTTATATATCAAACTCCTTGATTCATTGATGCCTCTTACCCTGGAGACCATGGGCCACCTCTGTGGTCTAGTTGTAGAGCATCCGCCTGGAGAGCGGAAGGTCCCGGTTTCGATCCCTGGCCGCATCATACCAAAAGACGTTAAAAGATGGTACTTATTGTTACCTTGTCTGGCGCTCGACATTAAAGTTCTAAAACAAGGACTGGTCGGCTTGGAGTCAGTATACTGTGTCTGAGTGGGGTATTCATGTTAAACTGCGGCATGGCATCTCAGTGTGTTAGCACTATAAGTTGGCATCAGTCCGGACTAGTACAAGCAGCCACACACAGACAAGTGCATGCACGTCGCTATAATCTTGGACGTGACGTTAAACCCCAAGTCACCTCACCTCACCTCTTACCTTGGAAGCTGCAGAAAAGACTTTCAGCATCCCATCATGCCAGGTTTTAGCTTTCTTCGTCTTCTGTGCTGTGTACAAAATCTGAAGAAACATCACATCATTGTCAAACCAAGTACTATTAGAAGAAAAACATTCTTTGTATGGATTTGTTTCCTGGGTTTGCTTTATCACTGTACTACTGTCTGCAGGTATCTTGCAATGACTTAACAAGATGAGTACCCTGGCACAGTAGCTCATTTGGATGTGGAGTCAACAGTTAAAAATATTAACAAATATAGCCTGACTTAAGCTGCTGTCTTCATTGATATTCAAATATTTCCTGAATAACTTAAACACTCACACTAAATTCTACACATTTTAAGAAAATATGTCATCAAACATGTTAAAAGAAGAAACATACATAAATAAGTTCAGCTTCCTCAGTCTGTTAATTTCCAATGAAAAGATGTTTACAGTGCTAGGAAATGCATTTTAAGAGAATTTAGGAGCATGGTTCAAGTGCAATTGCCAAATCAAGAATTTAAAATATCTACAAAAAGTGAACTTTTGTGTCCTACTAACTACACACATATCAAACTGCATTACACATGGCTTAATGATTGACATAAATAGAATTTTCAATATGGCTGTTGTGGCGGCCATATTGAAAATCTGATTTGAGCCTCTTGATTACATTTTGATGTGAACATCGATAGGAATAAGCATCTGAAGTGTGGTCCAGTGGTTCCTGAAGAGATGATGTTTATAAAGCCAAGAGCTCATTTTGAGAACACAGTAAAAGTGCAGAGGTCAAATCAAGGTCGAAGTTTAAAATATCGCATAAAAAAACAAAACACAAAACATACAACATATAGTTGAGACACTACTACACATATAACAAATTTCATTCTTTACAAAAAACATGTGAATAATGGCCTTAACATGCTTAAAACAGGACTACATTTTAGTGTTTTACGGGAAATGTGTTTTTGAAATGTCTGGGTGCCGGAGGAAAAAGAGAGAGACAAAGATGGAATTTGTTCAAATGCTCAAGAGAAAATAAAATGCAGTTATGCTTAGAATTAATGTCTATCACATGTCTGACCCCCTGATCCCGTTAGTCGCCTCTTACGACAAGCATAGTCGCCTTTTACAGCAAGCATGGGCTGCTACAGACCCATTCTACCCCGGATCTTCACGGGTCGTAAGTAGCAGTACAGAAGTTCCACTAATATAATGATTAAGGAATGATGACAGACATCATGCATGTGATTGAACTTCAAAACTTACAACAAATTCTTCCTCTTCTGCCATTGTTAATCATGGATTTTCATTTCCGATGCTTTTCATCTACAGAATCTGAAACACAAATCAGAAACTTCATAAGGCCCAATGTAGCAAAAATGAGAAATGATGCGGTTAATATCAATAATCATATGATATAATCATAACTCTCAGTATAAGGCTTCTTACTTTGAAACATATATCCAGGTCTGAAGGACAAAAGAGTAAAATAAAATAGACATTTCAACATGTTCAAGGTTTTTTGGTTCCTCAAAATGTTACGTGAATAGTTGCTGTATTAGTTCAGCTTGTTTGTTATTTAACCAACTGTTTTTCAGTTGAACTTATTGTATGCACAGTTTTTGTGGTGAACAAACAAGCGTGCATCTAGTGAGTGGTGGCATGTAGTCCTCTGCTCAGACGAAGGTCACCAATCAGGTGAAGTCAAGTAAGGTTGGACGCTGAGCGTCTTTGGATGGGTGAGCGTGTTTCGGCATCTTGGCTCCTGAGTTTCTTGGGCATCAGTCCTGCCCCACACTGTAGCACATATAGCGTCTCCTTTAATAGTAGGGCTGGGACAATACACCAACTGTGAGATCCGATACTTATCACGATACCTTACTCACGATCTGATATGTATCACAATACTTACGTGTACTCTTATCTGTGGTGTGTAAGCCATCTTTTTTATAGACAGGATGCCCAAATTATTACCTGGCACACTGATGATTTACATTTGGCAGTGTCAAGTATGTCACAAGAAATGAAAATATTTATGTTTTTACTATTAATTTGCACTACTGATTAGTGTTTAGTGAATCAGTTATTAAAATGAAAGCAAACATTTAAGGTCAGAGTCGATATTTTTTACTTAGAGTGCGACTGTAATCGATACTTGTATCGAGAAGTAAAAAATCTGATCCACCGATGCATCAGAGTATCGTCCCATCACTAGTTAAAAAACAAATGACATTTTTTCGAAATATGCCTCTGTTCACCCATGGGAACTAGGTACGGTGAGATGTGACTGTTAACATTCAGTGCCTCACAGACAGCTTGAGCTGTATCCTCCCTAGGGAGCTGAGAAAGGATGTCAAGTGCACACTGATCCATTGACTGGGATAATAATGATGTTAGTACTTTGAGAATGGATCAACGGATGGCCTATAGTGCATTACAAATATCCATTTATTATTTTATTCAAATCGTTTGTAAATACTGCTTTGAATCACGGTTCGCCCAATTATGTTTCTAGGTTTGTCAGCACCATACACGTGCTTGTGAGTTTCACCAAAATGGTAAACGTCTGAGACCTGCACCACTTCGGGCTTTTCTCCTACATCAAGCTGACACGCTGTGATATGACACTAATACTGTTCAAACTAATAAAAGCGACAATAAATTCACCTCACTCACTCGAAAACAAAATATATGAAAATATTGTCTAAAACATCACAGTATATTATCATTTTTTATATGATTATTGTACAAGTGCATAAAGTTCTCAATGAACAACTTAGCATAAATATTTGAAGAAAAATAAGTGTCACCATTTTAATGTTTCAAGGACAAGTTAATTGACACCAATAAGCATGCCAATAAACCTGTTTAACCAAAGCTTATCTGGAGTCATATAGGTCAAAATTAGCCTCTGATAAAATCACCACTCCTAGGTGCTTGTACTATCAACAGAAACAGTAAATCTTCCTAAAATGTGTACCAAACCGAGTACAAATCATTGGTAGGTTGAAAACAGATCACAGCATTTCAACATTGTAAATCTTCTCAACTTCTGAACCAGACCTTCTTAGTATCACTGGCTCTGTGTTTATAGACTCTTCACAACAATCAGCAGAGAAACAAATCACACAACTCTACCTACTGAAATAGCATCAGGAAACAATAAATCTTGTATTTTCCTTCTATGTTTCAGACCGGCTAATTGTTCCAGGTTTACTGCTTCAATATATCTGTCTGCGGGCAAACCGGAGTCTACGTGGGGATGTCGTCATCAACTGCGTCTGAAGAGTCTACTATATCACATGGCGGGGAAAACATTGGGATCTGGAGAGTCCCAGACCCCACTCCGGCCCCAACCACCTCGCCAGTGTGGGTACAGAATGCCAGCAGTAACAACACAACAGCCATGCTTCTTGATCTCTCCCACCTGGAGTCCGACAACACTAATGTCCGACATGACGGGACAGATTTGGACTTAACACCAGGGAAAATTGTGTTTGTGATTGTCATGTTCCTTCTCAACATCTTCATGCTTATTGGAAATTCCATTTCAATTGTAACAATAGCAAAGACACCCAATCTGAGAAGCAGGACTTACTACTGGCTGGTGCTGAATCTTGCTATTGTGGATCTGTTTAATTCACTCACTGTCGTTCCAATCAACACAATATGGGAACTTTACGGAATCTGGCCTTTTAGTATCGACTTCTGCAACATCACAATCTGTGCTGATTTGGCCTTCAGTGCAATTGCAAGTTATTCCACTGTGCTTGTATCTATAGACAAATACCTGTACATCACTAAGCCCTTCCTTTACCACAGTATCTCAGCACCATGTGTCGCACTTGGATCCATGATCGCAGTGTGGGTCATCTGGATCACCTTCTCCGCAGTGTCCGTATTTGGAGACTTTGCTCGGAACCCACACCCAAATGAAACAATCTACAACGGACTGGACACATGTAACTTCGTCATGACAGACATGTACGCAGTCCTCAGTGCAGTAGTAACTTTCATCATCCCCTTCTGTATCCTCCTCTTCACAAGTCTTAAAATTCTGTGTGTGGCCAGGAAACATATTTGCCGCATCGCTGCCAATCACGAAAGTGTGCAACAGTCCGACTCCCAGTCTGTTCTCTTCGGCGGTAACTCGTCTCGGCGGAACACTGACACCAATACAACCAGCCTGCCTCGAACCTCCATCTGGACTACCAGTTCCACACCCAATACACAAACATCAGGCAAAAGCCGCAGAGAGGGAAATCGGTCTATAAAAAGGAAATTTCAGAGGGCCAGTTGTCGAGCTTTTGGAACTGTGATGATCGTCGTTTTGTTTTTTATCATCATGTTTGCCCCCTACTGGTTTGCTTCCATTGTGGACGTTGGGTGCAGCTGTATCGCGCCGTGGGTGTACGAGGATTATCTTTCCGTGTTTTACTTCAGTCATTCTCTGGTAAACCCTTATATCTATATGTTCACAGACCGGAGGTATAAGAAAGCATTGAGAGAGCTTTTCAGAAAAAAGAGGAACCGTAAAGTTTCTCAAAGTCATGTAAGATCCTCTAGTGCACAACAGGATAAATGAAGGTACTTGTGATATTAATATGCAAGAATATTCTTGAAACTTCAGAAGTAAAGAACAATGTGCCGTGATGTACCAAGAAATTTGTTTTGTACATGGTACAATGGTTTTTAAACATATTATGTTGTGTTTAGAATTTAGAATGACAGTCAACGGGTTCTTATCATAACTCTGATGGTAAATGTTATAGATTTAGGGGTCCCTAGATTCAAGTATTATAGGATCATTCCCAAGGAACCCTCTTAAATCTGAACACTGTTATGTGACTAGCATTTGTTCGTTTGTTGTTTAATGCCACACTAAGCAATATTTCGGCTATATGACGGCGGTCTGTAAATAATCAAGTCTGGACCAGACAATCCAAGACCAGACAAGGCGACTAACGGGATCGGGTGGTCAGGCTAGCTGACTTGGTTGATGCATGTCATCGTATCCCAATTTCAGTGGATCGATGCCCATGATGTCAATCATTGGAATGTCTGGTCCAGACTTGATTATTTACAGACCGCCGTCATATAGCTGGAATATTGCTGAGTGCGGCGTTAAACAACAACCAACCAACTTAAAGTTATATTCAACAGTATCATCTTTGTAACGATTACAATCATAGTTGAGAAATGCTGTGCTCCATCAATTGCTTCAAGATGATCATGTTGATAGCAAGTGTTGGTCTGATTATTGGGTTCAATACAACATGGATCAAGCATGTACATGGTCATGATCACATAGCAATCATATTTTTATTTGTTTTAAAATCCATAACTGTTTATTATTGTTAAGAGTTTATCATAGTTAATACTGCCGTGTATAATTCTGTATATCATGAATAAGTATTGCAGGAATTGTGCCGACCATTTGATATTTGAGGAGGGAAGCGGGGAGCCTGTCTACATTGGTACACAAACTTTCAATTCAATCAAAACCCCAGTTCATCCTCATGAATGTTAGAGAGTTTCATGCCACACTTATAGTTAAGGTTATCTGCTGGTATGTTTTGATGTCACTAAGCAGCTCAACCTGTTGTGTTTGGTATGGGAAGTGTTCTAACGACATAATTTTAATCAATCTATTGATACGAAGCAATTCAGCTAAGAATCATGGATTACAAGTCAATTCATCAAACTAATTAATCAGTTCCAGTCTGTGCCAAACACTTTTGAGGCTACTACTAGTACTAGCCCGAACTTGGCTATTGGCATCCTCTTGAGCTGATTTAAGCGTCATTTGGGGAATATTATTAGCATACGAGACCAAATTTCACTAGACTTGGGCTTCAGACTAGATGATAAAGTCACGGACTGCAACTCCCATTTATGTATCTTACTGATTTCAGCAAAGTGAATAATGTGAGTAGTGAGGTGAGGTGAAATGGGGTTTAACGTCACGACCAAGATTATTGCACTTATATAGCGATGTGCATGCACGTGTGTGCGTGTGTACTAATCCGGACTGATGCCGATTTATAGTGCTAGCACACTGAGAATCCATGCTGCAGTTTAACATGAATACCCAACTCAGACACAGTATATTGACTTCGTGCCGACCAGTCCATGTTTTAGCCCCTTTATGCCGAGTGCCAGACAGGGTAACAACAAGTATCATCTTTTAACCTCTTTTGGTATGACGCAGCCGGGGATCGAACCTCGGACCTTCCGCTCTCCGGGCGGACGCTCTACCACTAGACCACAGAGGCAGTCTGAATGTGAGAAGTGCCACAATGTTCTTATCCATGAAGCACTGTATTGTTTCGTTGTTGAGTGATGGCAGTATGTCAAGATGTCACAATGGAAAGTTACAGCACATCAGAAATTGAGGAAAATATATAAATGTGCACACATAGACATTTTCTCCCAAATTAGACACAAACATAAGAAATCATAAACAATATAAAGTTTTCATAATACATGTAGTCTGAAACTTCCGCCACTACTCAGAATCCCAAGTCTAATAAACTACTCCTGGTCAAGGAAGAGCAAGTGGGTTAAGATTTTGTCTTTATCTTTCAACTGTATAGCAACGTGGTACAGTAAGGTAATACTGGTCCATATACTAAGGCTAAAATATACCATGATTAATGATAATGTTAACCTGTTTTCCTATATATGTTTCCATAGTAGATCATGGTAGTGTGTCTGACAATGATAGTGATTGAGCCTGGTTTAAAGCCCCATGAACTGTATTGGACATTCTGTAACAATGCTGTGCTTCATGGATTGGAACATTGTGGCACGACTGAATAACATTCATTTTGCTGAAATCAGTAAGATACACAAAATGGGAATATATTGCAGTCTGCGACTTTATCCACTAGTCTGAAGCCCAAGTCCAGTGAAATTCAGTTACATCATGCTAAAGTTTGGAGGGGAACCTAGAGTGACACAGTTGTCGCAGAAACCCATCACAGAAACCAAAGATCATAATCAAGGAAAATATTAGGTTTAAACCCATGATCAGTTGGTCCTGTTAAGTTAGTTAGTTTGTTTGTTTTTAACGCTGCACTCAACAATATTCCAGCTATATAACGATGGTCTGGAAATAATTGAGTCCAGTCCAGAAAATCCAAGATTGATCTATGCAATTGGTAGATGATGACATGCATCAACTAAGTCAACAAGCCTGACCACCTGATCCTGTTAGTCGCCTCTTACAACAGCATGGGCTGCTGAAGACCTCTTCTAACCCGGATCTTCACTGGGTGGTCTTGTTAAGGATGCAGCTTTGCATGTGTTGTGGACCTTAGACCTCTTGACCACCCATGCCCCTGGCTAAACACACCAAGCATAATAGACTGCATAGCAACCCATTACTGTTCACTTTGAGATTCAAGGGATTGGGGAAATATTGATGTCAGAAAAAGTTAAATCCTTTACCAGACCAGCTGATATCCATAACATATGTAACTCATTATACTGTACACTCCTATCCCCTCGACACTATCAGTTTTATTGAAGCATTTCTTTAGGCAGTACAGGGTATATAACACTAACAGAGAAAAGCTGAACAGTATCTGTCATTCATTTTATCCTACAAAAACGACACCGGTAAATGTTTCATCATGAAACAATGCCAATGTTCATGGTATAATAAATGTATATTATTCAAAAAAAAGTTAAGGACACCTGATACTTTCACATTACTATAGTTAATCTGTCATGCCATGTATATCTTGATTAACATTGAGTACTAACTTTGCATGCTTATTAGCAAGAAAAACACACACTTTCCCTTTGACATTCCGTGCAAGGAGCAGACATTTGCTGCTGTACAGTTTCAAGTAGCAGCATTTCAGTTCATACTACCCACTTCAACATGTTCAAGTAGCCCTGAAACACAAACCAAGATAACTATTGCTAAAATTAATTTCTTGTTTCTCATGAACTACATTTCCTAATTCTAAAGCACTGTAATGAAAAACTTTTTAAAATTAAATTTCATTTTTGTAAGCACATGCCATCCAGTAATTACGTGTACCGGTAATCACCATGGCCTGTCTCTACCTACTTCCAGATGCAGGTCACAGAAGCGGATACATGTTACATGAGAGTTAACTTATATCATGTATATCATTTTGTATGTAGATTTGTAACCAAATAAAAAAACAGAATGTCAACTATTAAAACCCTCCCTCCCTAAGCCGTTGTCATGAGACACAAGAATATTGTTTGTAAGTGGCCTAATACTGCACGAAAACTTGTGATGAGATGTTTTAGAATATTACTAAATAGTATTACTTGAGTACTTGGCGTGCTCAGTGGGTATTTTGATAAGGGTAGAATACACTTGATATTGTTATCCAACAATTATTTAGATTTGTTTAGTGGTGGCGGAAAGAGTGAGTGAGTGAGTATAGTTTTACGCCGCTTTTAGCAATATTCCAGCAATATCACGGCGGGGGACACCAGAAATGGGCTTCACACATTGTACCCATATCAGGAATTGAACATTCGGCGTGACAAGCAAACGATTTAACCCTTAGGCTACCTGACCGTCCCTTGTGACGGAAAAAGTGAGAGAGTATAATTTTACGCCCTTTTAGCAATATCACAGCAATATCACAGCAGCGGACACCAGAAATGGGCTTCACACATTGTACCTATGTCAGGATTCAAAATTGGATCTTCGGCATGACCATGATGACAAGCGAACACTTTAACTACTAGGTTCCCCAACCGCCCTGGTGGCGGAAAGAAACAAGTATTCATCTCACATGTCTTTATCTTATTGGGAAATACAAGGCGATTACATCCTCAGACTCAATTGTTTACAACCATAATTGATTGATGACCAATGATTGGATACCCATGATGGACTGATCCCCACTAAAGTGGATGGCCTTGAAAACTGTCCATCATTTCCTTAATCTAGAAACATTTTTAAAACACAGGCTTAATAGCTATTCATGTGAGATAGTAATATTTATTTGTTGTAGCCTTACTTGGCATTGATAGCACATTTGCTTGGGTAAAATAAACTTGCTTCCATGGAAACATTGTGTTGATTATGTATGTTAAATGGAGGACACAGCCAGTCCATGGAGCTTGATGGAAAAGAACTACAGTCAAGTCCCGTTAATCAGATACTCGTTAATCCGACAATCGGCTTTATCCAACACTAATGATGGGAACCGACTAAATCAGTGCTATTTAGACCCGTTAATCCGACAGTCTCGCACTCCGACTCTGACACACCCAATTTAAAACGAATTACCGAAATCACTCATCAATCAGTCTCGTTAATCCGACACAGTGATCAGCATACTCCATGGTCATCTGCCTGCGAGTACACAGCCCATGTCATACAGTCCGTAACAGTTGTTTTGTGTTGAACTTTAGAGGTTGCATGATTAGAAAACATTCCGCTAACAATGTAACATAATATGAATATTTCATTTTTATTTTTTTATTACGGGTTTATATTGTTATCTATTATGGAGTTGTCTGATTTTCAATCACGAACGTTGATACTACTTAATTTCGTTTGTCCGACATACTCATTAATCCGAC